ACGGACTGTGCAGGTCTTGCTCCCTGTTTGTAATGCTGCCAAGTCCCTCTCCAGAGAGCACTTCAGGAGGATATAGAATTCCTGCCCTTCTGCCATGGCGGCGACGACCAGGCCACCGGTATCGTCCACTATCAGCCATCGTCCCTTTGCCGGGTTAACCGCTCCATTCACCTTTGCCACACCATCAGACTCTCCGCTGCCGCCATAATGTACATTAGCCCAAGCTCCGATTAAACCTATAGTTTCATCCCGTAATTCCAAAATCCGCCCCGGATCTTTCTGCTCAAGCATCCATTCAGTCAGCACCCCTACATCCATTGGTTCCACCGTGAATCGATGTAAGTATTTCTTTCGTTTCCTAAGCATATATTTGGCACGCGAGAACTGCGTCTTCTGGTCAAGTGCGGAATGCGACTCAAGCAGTTTTGAAATGATCTCTCTCCCAGCATCCGTAGAAGACTGTTTTAGCTCCTCAATCTGCTCCATTGTAAGCTGCTGTGTGCTCTTGTTATCAATGATGTGCCTGTTATCCTCTTGAGGAAATGGCGCAGATGGAGTGCTTGTCCCAGCTTCACCATCGCCTTCACCCTCACCATCTGCAAGCAGCGCCTCGGTATGAAGCTCAGCTGCGGGCACAATATGCAGAACATGGCCGTCAGCATCTGGATTGTCTGCAATCTCAAAAGTTGCATAAAACGGTCTTCCAATTATTTGGTTACATGGAAAAGACCCGTACTTCCCAAGAGATATGTTCCTACCGCTACCGTTAGCTATCACTCCATGACTCGCGAGATGGTGTTTGCCGTACGAGTTAGGTACTGTCTGTATAATCTTTGTGACGTCTGACGGCAGCTTAAGCGCCACATACACATTTGGTGGTATGGATGAATGCATCTTTGATCTACTTCCCACCTACAAACTGCTCTTCGATCCCCGCGTTGATCCCAAAAACCTGACGCTTCACCGTCAAAATTTCCTAAAAGAGAAAAAAGCTTGAAAAAGACCACGGGCCGGAACTTTATTTACCCGGACGCCGTCCTTACGTCATCTGGCGCTTATTAAACTTTCTTTCAACTTCCGTTCTCGTTTCTTCTTTCTACTAGTTAACACCTCAGCCAAAGTATGAAACAACTAATTATTAACGGCTAACTAGCCTCTCTGCCGGCTATCAACCGCTCTACCACGACGGCGCGCGAAACGAGTTCCCGAGAACAGCCTCACAAATCGAACTGCAGTGTTTGCCTCCGCAACTGTTTGCTCCTTTCGCGGTGTCACTGGGTGGAGACCTGCGCCCCATCCAGGCTGCCGCCAAAACCTCCATATGAAAGAGGGACGGAGCATTTTCTCACAGTCCCCCGCCATCAAAGGATATAAAGCCGCAATCAGTGTTATGATGCGACCAATTTCTAAGCCGAACGCGATTATCCTTACTTTCGCTTTTCGCCGGTAGAAGGGAACTTTACCTTTCGCCCTATCTACTACATACACATACCTGTTGGCAACCATGGTTTCAACACACGATGGACTTGAGGCAGGCAATGCTGCGGGATATAGGGATATGTCGCAGGAATCTAACACACAGTCCTCACCTAGTGTGAGGGAATCGCATAACGATGTACATGCGAACGCGGAGTTATCGCAAACCCCACCGTCACAGACAGTTGATCACGCCCAAAACAAAACTGTAGAGGGAACGTCGAGCCCCTCTGCGTCTGAACTGGGGCATGTCGCCTTGCCTCAGATCCCTCCTGCCAATGGCCTCGAAAATTCCGCAGACATCTGGGCTGACAGCGTAAATAGCGATTTGCGAAGATACAATCCGCCTACGCAGCCATTTTCTGCCCAGGTAAAAGGGCAGACAGATCCTAGCTCTCTAAACGACCACACACTGGGTGACTTACCGACATCTGAAATACAGCTACAGTCAAATAACCCATTCCTCAAAGCCAAACTGAGTCGTGATCGTGAGTGTCCCCTAACTTCATTTATTAGACAGCGCTTACTGACTGCAGCTACAGAAAACTTGAACACAGCTTCAAATGCTGCAAAAGACCCTTACGATAACCAGAATGCTTCTATCCACCCCCAACGTTCCTATAATGCCAACCAGATCTGCGACGAAATAGGCAACTTGACCCTGACTTCCCCCACCCATAATACTACTGCCGACGCACATGATGGTCAAGCTGTCCCTGCGGAAGGTAGGGTGCGCGCGACCCATGAAGTTACATCGCCAACGGAATCAGGGAACTTGATTGAATTAGACTCCCATGACCACTCAGAATCAGAAACACACTCTGCGATGAATATTCCTGGTGAATCTAGCGACGAGAAAATAGACAGAGGTAAAGGAGTGGCCACTCAAAATAGTGAACATCCGGAGCCTTTTGTGACAAACCCAACAAGCCCATCTCTAGTTCCGGACATAGTTGAACCAGCTCCGAGTCCTAAACCCACATCCCCTGCGCCGTCATCTCAACACTCAAGTCATAAGTCTGAAATATATGATATTCGCATTATTAATTGGACAGATGGAACCACCGAGTTACGTCAGTCGCCAATTTTGGTGCAAAATGAAAACGGGCCATGTCCACTCCTTGCGTTAGTCAACGGCCTTGTGTTAAGGTCTCCGATTAATGCACAAACGCCGCTTATCCGGGCACTGCATTCTAGAGAAAGGATATCTCTAGGATTGCTCATACAGGCCCTGTTTGATGAACTCGTTAGTTCACCAGACGTAAACAGTGAATTGCCCGATATTGAAGCCTTGAGCGTGTTTCTCACAATGTTGCACACTGGAATGAACGTAAACCCACGATTAACTCCGGTACGTTCCTGAATTGACCCAGACTTTTTAGTTCCCTAACTAACCCTTGTAGATACTACATCCTCCTACACCTGGAACTTTTCTCAAGACACGAGATATTGAGCTATATAGTACATTTGATCTCCCGCTAGTCCACGGCTGGACTGCGGCGCCATCTTCGCCAACTCACGAAGCAATGCTTCGTGTTGCTGAATATCACGACGATATTCAGTTACTTCATTTCAAAAGAGAAGATCTAGAATCTAGAGCTATAAATACCGGGTCGCTAGCTCCAGACGAACAACGACTGTTTGAGGATATAGATACCATTCAACGATTTGTGACAGTAGATCACCCTACCCAATTGAGCCCCTTTGGCCTCCAGCACCTGGAGAGATCCATACCGGCGGGTAGCATTTGTGTGTTATTCAGGAACGACCACTTTGCAACACTCTTTAAACACCCACTATCTAACCAGCTATTCACACTGGTTACCGATGCCGGGTATGCTGGCCATGCAGAAATTGTCTGGGAGAGTCTGGTGGATGTGAATGGCACCAGCTCGGAGCTATACTCCGGTGACTTTCGCCCCGTAGGTCATAGCAGCTCTGCACCTAGCCAGCATCCGCCATGCACAGAGGGGCCATCTTCGAGGGAGAATGCGAGTGCTACCGAACAAACAGATGCAGACTATGCCTTTGCACTCTCGTTACAGTATGAAGATGAGCAAAACCGGCGAAACGAGCAAGGTCCTCCACAACCCCCACGCAGGTCACAGAACAACCTCAGAATAAACTCTGAAAATACCTCTCCCCGGGGCCGATCCCAGCATCAAGTCCGGAACACCCGGTCCGCTAGCTTTTCACGACCTAATTCTGCTCTCCCGTCAACTTTGACCCCCCTCCCCCGTACACCTACTACTCACCGCCCACCCCCATCAAGAGCTCAAGGCTTCCCTCCAATGGTTCCACCTGCCCCTAACCAAAATAATCCTGTCAATGACCCTAGTGCCCCTCCCCCGACCTATGAGCAAGCTGCTCAAGAACCAGCATATATACCACCACCTAACGGGCCTTTACACCCTCAGCAGCAACAGCATCAGCCCTATCACGGTCCTTTGGGCCCAAATCCTCAATATAATCGAATGTCGGGGTATGGTCCAGGTCCACACATGTCTGGCAGGAGACGACAATACCCTGGCTCGCTGTCAACCTCTTCATTACCCCATCGTGACGATTACTATAGAGAGAGAGAGAGGAATAAAGATTGCATTGTGATGTGATTCGCCGCATTGTTGGTCAAGTATTTTATTCCTAGGCATTTACTTATTGCGTATGTTCGGATTCCTCGGTTTTAGTTAACGATTATCTGTTGTATGTATGTGCACGTTATTCCCCATCTGTCTCAGACGAATATGTGGTGGGGTTCTGAATTTATGAGAATATTATGGTGATTCTGGAGTTCGGACGATGTTTGGAGTAGCTCTTAGCATACCTATATCAATCCTCTCGTCTATGTGTCGAGTACATACGACCATAGGAAGTGGAAAACAGAGCTTCCCGTCCGCTCAGCTGTACTTAAGCCACTTGCCGGTCGGTTAGTAGTTGGGTGGGTGACCACCAGCGAATCCCGACTGTCGTATGTTTTAACTTTTTTTACTATCTTTTTTTGATACTTGTATTTGCATTATCTGCAAATAATATTCTTCTCCTTTTGCTTCTTGGCTATAGCCGGTTGTTGAAGAGGAGTCGTGCTTATAGAGAATGTTTATTATTAGAAACGTAGGTAAATTATTTTATTATAACAAGAGAATTTTCTATACAAGTAACAAAGACACTATCTAGCAATGACTCTAACAAGCCATTTCATTTTATCTGCACTTCACTAAACATTCCGCCTAACAACCGAGGTAGATAGCTGAAGATATGGTCAGTCGAAGTTTTGGCTATATAGTGAAGGTGATGGATAAACTTACCATTAGCAAAAAGGGCATAGGAATCGGCATTCTGAATTGCCTGAGCAGCAGAAAGAGAAGTGGCATCTTCATATCCATAACCCAAGTCATCACAGAAGGGACTAACAACGGCAGAGTTATGGGTCATCTCGTGAAGAGTGGTAGTGGCCTGATCCTGCTCGTAGCAAGACTGGGCAAGGGCAGGCAGGTCGGAGTAGTAGATTGGGCAGTTGAAAATGAGATTCTGGTCCGGAAGAGTATAGGCAAGGACACCAGGAGAGCAGCCATTCATGGAATCAGTGCAATAGTAGGTAGTGCTTCCATAATCAACATAGGAGGATTCACTCGCAACGGACTGGAGACGGGAGACGATGGTGTTAACAGTGCTGCTGCTAGTAGATTTGAAGAACTCTGCGACAGTGTTGAGGTTGGAAGGGGCAGCTTCGGCAGCGGCTTGAGCGAGGGCAGCAGAGTTGTAAAGGGCACCTTCCAGAGCCTCAAGTTGGCCCTGGTTGCAGCTGGAGGTGTCGATGTTGGTGCGCTTATCGATAGTTCCGCGTGATTTCTTGACCTTTCCCATGGCTTGTCCAACGGAGGATGCCTTCTTTGCGTCAACATCCAATTCAAGCTTGTTGGACTCGTATCTGGCATATCCGGTGATGGTGGTTGCATTTGCTCCATGTCCCTCGGCAGTACGAATGATTCCAGAGGCCATGAGGGTGATCTTTCCACTGCGAGTCAAATCATGGGTACGAGCGATGTCAAAGGTGCTTTCAATGCTGGATTTTGGGTCAAGAGGGGTGAAATATTTAGGAGAGAGATTAGACATTTTATACCGGGGAAGCATTCCGGTGAACTTGACCTCGGTGCCTATTCCACAGTGTCAATATACAGGAAGTTGTACCGGGATAAGAGCTAACTTACCGTTCTGGTAGACCCTGACCTTGCGGGTTGGATTCTTGTCGAGAATGGTATTGAATTGCAGCAAGTTCAAAGCCTTGTCTCCTTTGTTGGTGATGGTGGCTTTAATCATGGTGTTTCCGGTAGCCGAAAGCTGAACGTCAATCATGGACTGCTTTGCTGGCGTATTTGGAACAGCAGCTGCCGTAGCGGTGGCTATCAACGCCCCAATAGCGGAGAGAGCAGTGAGGAACTTCATCTTGTATGGTAGTAAGGAAAGGAAAAGGAGAAATTAGTGATAGGAGCAGAGAAGCGGAGAGTTAGAATTGAAGAGGGCGTTTGTAGGGACTGGCTGCTCTGACTATAGAGGTATCAGGACTGCGGGTTGATGCCACTTTATATATCTTTTTCTACCATGTCCGTGTAGGACTTGGAACGTGATGAGCACGATGGACTGTTAAAGCAGCCGCCCACAAGGTACAATTATCCACTGGGGTAATAATATATAATAATGAGGTTTTATAGGATGTTGTTGGAGATATTCAGTTAAGTTTCGGATACCCGTGGGCATGGACCAGGAACTATGTAGCATCATTCGGACATGGCCATCACAGCATCAAAATATGATAATCAACAATGACAGCCTGGATCGCTGTGCATGACTGTATAGGAAGTGAAAAGGGACGCAGTCACTCTATGATATGCGCCTGACGGACATCTGGAGGAACCCAGGGTTTCTATTGAAAGCCACGGTGCACCAAGCTCTCACTAAAGGTCATAACCATCATATCGATAAAAATGGTGAATTTCGTATTGCGCGGTAACAGTAAGGAGCTTTTACCGAGGCAATTGGAAAATAAGAATGACGCTGAGTCGAACCATAGGTTTGCTCGAATTTATCACGACCACATTCGGGCATTGTCCCAAGAAGGCAAGCCGACCGGAGAACGAGTTAACAACTGGAGCGGTGATAGTTTATTTATTCAAAATCTCCAGGGGATATATAGTGTGTTGTGCCTGGAAAACCCCACGCCGTTGGATGGCGGTAAGCTAGCCGAACTATCTCAAAACTCCTCAATCCGTCAAGGTTTAGTAGTTTAAGATGTCATGTTAGAGCGTGGCTAGCATCAGACTCCAATCTTGAAACATATCTTTATAGCTCTTAGGTTGCAGTAGGTATACTCCATAATGGTATTCCTTATCAGTTCACGTATTTCATATGAAACATGAAACGGTGTGAACTCGCAGAGAGCAGCATACACGCCGAATTTGTTCCTCAGCTGTTAATATGGAATGTCCCTGGAAGGTATAACATAGACACGGAAGATCCGCAGCTAAATATTAGCTACTTTAGCTACCCCTGCGTCTTGTGTTCAGGTGCCTGTGGGCCTTCATCATGACTAATTAGGGGACCAGGCTGAGCTCTTCACGACAAGGCATCCTCTTACTTGGATTGGAGTCATGCTCCCCACAAGTAAAGAGGCCCATCCACTCAGGAGAGTTGACCCCAATCACGGGCCTTAAAACATGAACATGCGTTCCCTGAAGATATATTATCGATGTGGTAACTGTCCAAGCGAAGCATAGCACATGGGGATCCCTATAAATATAATCCCTGGCATTAAGTGGTTAATGATCCTCATGCTTGCCCCTTCGTTGAGAAATTTTGCTTTGGTATCCAAAACAATTGTTTACTTGTTCCGAACAGGTCCTTGGATTGGATGTATGCTCCGTATGTTAGTGGAGGACGGAGGTTCTTGCGATAAACAACCTCAGGAAGCGGCTGCAGAATGTGTGAACAGCATGAGCAGCGGTTGATAAAGGGCCCTTCGAGTTTTCTCTGGTCCCAAGACCTGAGAGTTAGCCACTTTCACTCCCACCTTTGGCCGTTCAATCAGCTCAGAATGACAGGGTGGGAAAAGGGGTTGTCGAAGTCTTCGCGCTTGAAGTCAAAAAGTAGGTGAAAACTGCGTCACGTGCAGCATTAGTAGTAGTTAATAAGCCATCACTTTCCGCTGGGTAGTTATCCGCCGATATAGAGTACTTCAGGCGAGATAATCTCTGGTTGAATGGATCATCCGGTCGATAACTATATAGTCCTTCTAGAAACTTGTCTCTCTATCAAATCTTTATCTAGCGCAGCGGTCCGCCCCCATTGCATTAACTTGATTGCCGACAAGGATCCGCAGACTCGCGTCTTCAGATCTCGCTTCCTCAGGTATTTCTGGACGATAAATCACCTATAAAGGGATCTCGCCTGCACGATGCAATCTAACAAGACCAGACCTCTCCCCTCTAGTGGAAACCTTCTCTGGTTCAGTGGGTGAACAATCCAACGCTTACCGAATTCTGCTTTGCCCCGTTGCTCACAAATTTGAAAGAGGTTGAAAAGACATATCGCAGGTTTTTGGGGCATACTCTACGGACGATTTGGAGCCGATTGGTAAGTAGCCGCGGAATATATTTCTTAAACTAAAACTATAATTCTATTCGGGAGATGGTGGTTTGCCAACAGATGAAGAGGTGGAAGTTATAGGCAGTGGAGAAGCCGGGAAACTTTCCATAATTGCAGGTATTCATGGTTAAGTCTGTATGAGTTGAGCCTTGGAACGTATCTGCCGGACGTGTACGTATAAAGGTCTTCGGATACTTTGGTGCCTAGTATTGATAAACTTAGCGAAAGTAGACATCGATGGATGCCAATATATGCATACCCATCCTTCGAAGATATCCGGACTTCAAAACGCTGACGGGTTTGCCTGCCAACAGCATTTTAAAGGAAAGAAATGAACCGCCTTGAAGATACAGAGAGATGCTGAAGACGCCAAAAATCGAACGCGTCAAGTCCGTATAACTAACACTCAACTAAAATATCTGTCACCACAGTCGTGTTCTTGAGAAACAGACCAGCGAATAACATAGAGTCAATAGTACGCCCAAGGACAGGGGCGGTCGAGTAGGCGCCGCTGGGGTGGAGATCGGCGTAGTCTGTGTCTCCAAATATGAGGGCTATGACTCGTGTTTTACCAGACAAAGCATTTACAGTGAAATTGTCTAGGTTTCAAACCATCTTTGATTCTATAATATCTCCCATCTTCTGCACTTCGGGAAGCCCCCAGTTTTGCATCCACTCGCATCTAACTACCTCCCCAATAGTGGCCCTCCGGCCCGGCTCAAGAACGAGCATTGACCTCAGCATGTCATTCAATGCCTTTTCCTCGTCAGGCTGTAGTACCTCAAAATTTTTCCTCCGTCGAGATTTCTGTATATCTCCAGGGAAACGCTGATCCCAGTCTCTAGCTTCGTTACCATACCACTGGCGAATGCTTTCCTTGACATTCTTTCGTCCATCTTCGTCGAACCAATCACTTCTCTTCTCCCACATTTTCCACCATCGCTCGGGGAGTTTTCCAAGCGTCTCAACATGTTCAACCGTCACATCATCCAGCGTGGCAGGGAAGGATTCAAAGGGTGGGTTAGACCCAAAGATCTCCCAGATAGAACATGCAAGCGTCCAAATATCTCCAGGAAAAGAGAGAGACTTGCCTTCTTCGGTTAAGAAGCGAGACTCTGGCGGTGATAATAAAAGTGGAGTATGGGCCGTGAATCGTTTTGTAGTTTGAGGATCAAATGCTTCTCCAAAATCTGTAATCAAAATCGAAGAGTCGGCTAATGTAAATTCATCACTCCCAAGACCAAGCCAGATAGGAACAACCACCTCCGAAGGTACTCCAGGGTCAAGTGCTACGCTATCACAACGAATAACGCGCTCCGTTCTTGGTTCTCCAGCTTTTAAGTAGAGCTGCTGGCTGCTCATTTTTTGTATGTCAGGAGGCAGGCTGAGAAGGATATTTCCGAGGTGAAGGTCTATATCCTGATTCAGATTAAAGTCTAGAATGGATGAATACTTATATAAATAGGTCCATACATACCACCATGAACAATTCCTTGGGAGTGTATGAATTGTAAGCCGAGTATAAGCTGCGAGGCAATTGCTCTAGCAGCTGGGAGATGAAGAAGCCGATGATAAGATGCATCTTTAGCTTCATGAATACTGATTCTCGCAGCATCGGTAACGAAACATCGATGGGTGCCATTTGGTCCAGAAAAGGTAAATGAGTCCAATAATGATGGTATATTCATCTTTCCAGGATGTTCAGATGGAGCGTTCGCGAGACGTGAGAGGATTTGCGCCTCATAAGTTCGCTCTACTGACTCTGCTGTGGAAATTTTGAGTGCAACCAGGCGACCTTCTCTCATATCCTTAGCTAGCCAGGTCGTTGCAGATCTTCCAAACCCCAGCTTATGGCATATAATGTATCTACCATTATGATATGCATCCCCTATCATGGTTGGGTGGTATCCACCATGAGTATAGTAATCAAGCCGCTCAACCTCTTCGATGTACTGATACTTCACATCGCTGGGTTGTAGAGTTGACACACTCCTGCAAGTGTAGTGCACAAAGGGTATTTGGTGTCTTTTAGTTGATATCAGGGGTCTTAATTGTGTCTTTAACAAGGCAAATAAAGCACTACTGGCCATGGTGCTTTGATGGCCGAATGCATTTCGTAGTATCCTGTCTGTGAAATTGGTAATGTGAAATGTTTGCAGTGATCTGCCATACCCCAGAAGTTATGATTCGCTAGCCAGCTAACTAGTTAGTTATTGGATTTTAACTCACAAGCGACCGATTAGAGAAACTCTTGATTGGTTGATTAACTATTTACTATATCCTCCTCTGACAACAATTAACTACCTAATTGGTTAATATATGACAAGTTCTCAATCTGAAATCCCCCAGTCATAACACCTACATGCCTAAGTCAGCCTGTTCTCCCAAAGGAGACTGTGTCCATGAAGCACCAGTCATACTCTTTAAGAGTAATTCCTTCGGAACTGTCCGGGTTTTTCAATAGCAGCCTTTGTCAGCTCATCAATGTCTTCCTTTGACAAGTTGAGCAAGTCATTCTGAAGGTTATTCGTAGCTTCAAATGCGCCAGAGCCATTTCCTGACCCTTCTGGGTAAAACATTCTTGTGAACATGGCCCTCACAAAGCCAGCTCGATCCCCCTGGCGGAACGATTCCACTGCACTTTTATAACGTTGCTCCGATGGCTCATGGGTGATTTTCCAGTCGTCCTCTTTAGTTCTAGTTGCTCGCAGAATGGACTGGAACATATCTTTCTGGCTAACTAGGAAGGATGAGAAGAAAACGTTCTTGTTCCTGAAGCCAGAAATGGTCAGGCGCTCATCCTCGCCATTCTCGGGCTTTTCCTTTAGAGAAAGGAAATTTGCAACTGCTCGTCCTGTTTGATCCCAGGTTGAGGTGTTGATGCGAGCCGTGCCGTCATCAAAAAATGTCACAGAGCGGTTCTCGATATCGAATCCGAATGCGTTTGGGCCCCCAACCAAGCTGAACTGATACCAGAAACCAGACACAAAGTTGATCCAGGCGCTTTTACCAAGCTCCTCTATACGCTTATAGACCGCACGCTGAGGAGGTCCAATAAAAGCGTCATCAGACACCGGATGAGTTGCATCCAGTCCCCAGCCATTCGGGATGATGTATGGAACATCGGCTTCTGCAGCCGCTTCAACCAATTTGATATGTATATCTTTTGGTGCAGAAGCAGCCATAGTAATGATAAGGACATCTTGTCCCCGGAGTGCGGATACTAGAGTAGATTGATTGTCGTAATCGACTTTGGCAACGTTGACCCCCTCTGGCATAACTGTAGTGCTGGCACTTCGCGTAATAGCAGTCACTTCATGTTTTTGAGCTTTGAGGATCTCCCGAATAATATATTGTCCAATTGTCCCGGTGGCCTGGAAGTTCAGTTAGCGTATGTACATGTATGTCCGACTATCAGTTGTCCACTACCTACCCCGACAATAGCGACCTTCTTCAGGTAAGACATGCTGAAATGAGATGGTAGTAATTTCTCCGAAACAGTTGATGAGTGTTAGCCGCAAAATAGGTATCTTGATAAAGACTTGAAGATGCCCGAGGTATTTTGACAGAAGATGGAATTGACTGCTAAAAATTGACCTGGGCGGGTTGTTTGGGGCCATATTTATGTTATTGGTATCTCTAATCAAAGTAGTTCCCTGTGAGGCATTGAGGTGGTGAAAGGGGGATTCCGATAACCCCGTTTCTAGATTTCCTCCATGGTTCCATGAAGGATCGAGCGGTTCGCTAATTGATTTCTTTCTTGCCTTTCAACTTGATAGACTTGAAGCCCGGAGTTTACGTTTATGACGTAAGCAAGAGAGAATTGTCTCTTAAGTCCGGGCACTCCGGCTTTAAGCAGAGCTGTCTTATCCCCATGCATCAGTCGCGTCAAACAAGATATGTAGGATTGAAGGATCAAGAGAGTTTCAAAAGGTGCAGTTGAATGGTCGGGATAGATTAGAAATATAGATGGGTTGAATTTCAGTCTCTAAAAAGAGTTTTGGAACGGACAATGCCGGCGCGGAGACATGAAACAAAAGTTGCGGGACCTGTATAATAAGGATTCATTCATTTCTTGTATGCTCATGTAAAATAAGTACACTTAGCCGATAGATCTATCTCCATAGGATTCCGGCTCTCGGCCTGTGTGGCATTAGTCCATATCATAACAGAAGTGAGCGCACAGTAAGTAATCCTTGAGAGTATCTACAGGGACTTCCCCATGAATTTCCGTTTCGAAAAGCTTAGCCACCACTACCGGTCACCTGTGTTAGCATAGAACGTCTATTGGAGGGGAGCTTTAACTTACTTTGGATGGCCCTTCACCCCCTGGGTATAATCTGGTGTGTAGTCGAATTGCGAGTTCTTGTCGCACTTGGGATATGTATCTAGGTTTTTACAGCGTTAAACCCTTATCATGGTACACGTCCACAAAACCTGACAGACAGAAGCACAACATACTGTCTTAAAGCCTCAGCATCCTGGCGGTCCTTTGGAGGCTCAAACGCCTGGTTAAGAGGGAAGGCGGCGTCGCCCGGTATGGCAAAGTGGTCGAGGGAAGCGTTGATAAGTGCCTAGCAAGTGTCAGCAGCGACTTATCGTACACATGCCCCGGCCGTCCGAATCATCACCATACCTTCTCTGCTTCTCTTGAAGACATGTTCGGTTTAACTTTACCAAGACACTCGCTCACAAATAATATGCCGTATATCATCATACGGTCCGCGGGGCCTTTGATTTCGAAATTACGGAAGAAAGTATTGGCACGGTATAGCGAGAGGACTTCATCGAGGCAGTCGTACGATTCACTGTCAGGGTCGATATCGAGGTCGGATGATCCTGGGGGAAGTAGAGGTAGTGTATATGCTGGTCCGCGTGTGCGGGTGCGGAGGGGAAGAATAGGGAAGTTCCCTATTAATTCGAGTAAGCAAATATTCCTTGTCTATTCCTTAGAGATAACTGCGCTAGTCCAGGTGTATGGAATACCTATGGTCTGCACATTGGCTTCATCAAGGAAGATAGAGTGGTAGGCCTAGTTTGCGAGTTAGGTATCAATGTAATCTGGCAGGAAGGCTATTTGTCCACATACCGGCATTATGACAGGAGTGTAGTACCGTAACCGTGGAAATAATTCAGATTGAGAATTGCTCCTGTGCTCTGTTGTGGATTGCGTGCCGTCTATCTATATAGTATCAGTTCTTCAAGGCCGCCGAGCTTGTTGATTATGGCGGGATAACACCTGCCAGGTGGGCGGCAGCCGCGGAAGCGCGGGTTTTTGTTTCTCCGATTCCAGCTTTAAACGCGCCGCGAGCGCGCGTCAAAAAGTAAGCTGAAGCTATCAAGGAGCAGTTGATAGAAGCCAATTGTTCCTCCCAGGCCGAGCGATACTAGAGAATAGCTCTCTAGGATCGATATATTGTCACTTACTCTTAGAATATCCAGATATTGTGAATACACGCCAACATGTCTGACTACGAGGATGATATGGACGTTGATGCCCCGCCTGCCCGGGACACGGCCGCGTTTACTGCAGACCCTACAGATGTGAAGGGGAAGAGAATAGTTGCTGATTTACCAATCGAAGCGGGAGATAATCTTCCCTGGTAAGTATTCTTCCATGACTAGGAGTTTCTCGATAGTTATGATGTAATGCTGATCTAGAAAATAGGGTTGAGAAATACCGCCCAGATACACTCGACGATGTCTCTGGACACCAAGATATCATTGCCACGATAAACAGATTTGTCGACTCAAATGTGAGAACAAACCAGCATACCCAGCATGTGAAGTCCCTACTAAAATATCATGCGTAGAGACTTCCCCATCTACTACTCTATGGCCCTCCAGGAACCGGAAAGACTTCCACAATCCTCGCGCTGGCGCGGCGGATATATGGATCAAAAAACATGCGGCAGATGGTCCTGGAACTTAACGCAAGTGACGATAGAGGAATCGACGTAGTGAGAGAGCAGATCAAGACCTTTGCCAGTAGGTATCTGTATACAATGGCAGAAGCAAGACAGAATCACTAACAGTCATCATTGTAGGTACGAAACAAATATTCTCAACGGCGCCCTCGTCCGGCTCTGGGCTGGGGGCATTCAAGTTAATTATTCTTGACGAGGCCGATGCGATGACCTCCGCGGCTCAGATGGCACTGCGTCGAATTATGGAAAAGTACACCGCCAACACCCGATTTTGTATTATTGCAAACTACACACACAAGCTTTCGCCCGCACTCCTGTCTCGATGCACACGGTTTCGATTTAGTCCGTTGAAGGAAAAGGATATCAGAAGGCTAGTTGATACCGTGATAGAAAAGGAGGAAGTGCAGATACAGCCAGATGCCATTGACAGCCTAGTTAAGTTGAGCAAGGGAGATATGCGACGAGCCTTGAACGTTCTTCAAGCCTGCCACGCAAGCAGTAAGTATCATTTGGGTACTCTATTACTTCGTTGGATGGGCATAGATTGCTAACGAGCCCAACATAGGCATGCCTCTACCATCGAAAAAGGGCGATGCTAATGAACAGCAGCGAGAAAGAGAGACGATAACCGAAGAGACGATATATACATGTATCGCTGCACCACACCCAGCTGATATCAAAATTATCCTCGAAACCTTACTATCAACATCAGACGTGACTTCGTGTTTAAATACTGTACAAACCCTCAAGGCCAACAAAGGGCTAGCATTGGCCGATATAATCTCCGCACTATCGACGGAACTTCAGAGCCTAGAGGTCCCTGCACAAGTAAGGGTTTCCTGGATAGAAGGACTGGCAGACGTCGAATGGAGACTGTCAGGGGGTGGAAATGAGGTTATACAGACGGGTGGAATGATTGGAGTAATACGCTCTGGCTGCGAGCTAATGGGAGACAAAGATATATTAATGAATGAATAGACGACTAGTCTTTGATTTCTGATCTGTGTCGATTTCATGAAAGACGCATACGTGTGCAAATAACCATACCCGTATTGTATATATAAAAATATAACAAGGCGCTCCAAAAGCGACTACCGTGGCTGGATATAATCCTGAAGAGGTTTGGTACGTTTAGACATCTTTGCAGCAATGGTTTCGACTTCACTCAAGACCCTCAGGATATTACGGCCCATCACGTTCTTGAGATCCTCCGCGCCAATTCCACGGTTAGCCAGCTCCTGGATCAAATCCGGGTAGTGAGAGACATCCTCAAGCCCTGTGGGAACACCACTCATGCCATCGAAGTCAGAGCCAATTCCAACATGTTTGTAGCCGATCAAGTTGCCGATATATTGAATGTGGTCAGCAACATCAGACAGGGTAGCGTTGCCGGATAGATTGACGTAGCCCGGCAAGAAAGTAACCATTATAACACCTCCGTTCGCCTTGAGCATATTAAGGACATCATCCGGTGCGTTTCTTGTATGTTTGCAGACAGTAAAGGCATTGGAATGAGAGAATATAACCGGTGCGCGGGAGGTCTTCAGTGCATCTCGCTGTGTGTCTGCACTTGTATGCGAGATATCGACCATCATGCCGATGCGGTTCATCTCATGCACTAGGTCTCTGCCGGCATCTGACAGACCACCGTGGAGAGGCTTTGCAGGATGCTCGCTATCAGCGTACTTGTTGTGGCAGAAGTGAGTGAGTGTAGCATATCGGACTCCGAGATTGTAGTATGCTCGCAGGATACTGGCACTGTTTCCGATCTGATGAAGTCCCTCGATGCCCATCAGACTGGAGATCTTGCCTGGTTGCCGTGCAAAGTTCATCTTCACGTCTGCTGCTGTCAGGGCGCCGACGAGGGTGTCTGGGTATCGTTGAATGAGCCTCTGCACCAGGTCGATCTGCTGAAACGTATCATGTACGCTCTTTAAATAGACTGAATCATCATACTTGTCTGATTCTTCCGGGCTATTGACTACGTTAGCTATGGTTATACATTGCTATATATATATCGTATAGCAACGCTGGAGATATCTTACCAATCGACATAGACACTCCAGAACTGACCCCCCACACGGCCCTTTCGTAGCCTGGGGAAGTCAACATGCATGGGCAAACGGTCCTCCACAGTGAAATTCTTCTGGTAGATGTCATTCCCATACATCCCGCGAATGAACTCCGGGAAGTCATTATGCGTATCTGCTCAGCCGATTAGCCAGATGCCATGCAAGTGAGATTTTTGAACACGTAGCTCAACTTACCTATCAATGGAGACTCTCGCATCAGCTTGTCTACATCGATGCTTCCATTTCCCTGGTTAGCACGGCCATAAAAGATGCAGGCATAGAGTGCGCCGGTCAAGCAGAGGAGCTGGGCAAGCCGCAGAGCCATGGTGCGCCAGCCAGGACGTCTTGGGGCTTCTGGATGTTCAACATCGAGCTCTCCATAGAGGAGACTCGCTTTCTTCTCGGACATCTCGTCTTGCAGAGGTTGGATCAAGGGAGATCCAGATGCCGGAGTCATCGTTCAACTCGTTGTGTGGAAGTTTGGTCTTTGCAGCCAAAGCAGTCACGACATCCCCAGCTTCCGACCCGCAAATCTCAATAATAATGAATATTGATCAACAAGGCTTTGAGAAAAAGAAAACATCAATGTCAAGCAAGCATCTTTCGACTTTTTCCCGGGGGGAAGGGTCCTCGGCTGTAAGAAACAAGCCCCCTGCTGGAGGGCGCGTCTGGTTACGAGCTGGCGGCCATCCAGACATCTCCAAGCAAGAGTGAAGAGTCTGCTGCGTGCTGAACAAGCCGGGAGACGTAGCAATTAATTATGGCCTGCCTCTGTATATCATCAAGGGGATCAATTCATGTCTGATACTCCAGCTGTTCTCCGGTCGAAGAGTCCCAGCCATTATCGGGGCCCAACTATGACCGACAGGGAGGCCGGGAAGGACGGAAGCCACCGTTCAGATGCTTGCTTTCGTGCATGAACCAGACTGCGAATATCTTCGACTCATGGCTTTGTCTCACTGGCTGGATACGAGTATCAGCCCGCAGTTCGGGTGAGGATTCCACGGTTCAACCACCCACAAGCCAACGGGCCCCCAGTCATATAACCATAAAAGCAGGCCTGCAGTTGCTGCGGAGAAAACAAAGAAGGACAAGCATGAACTAGGTATTATTATAGCCAGTTCAATCCCCCACTTGGACCCCTCGACGGTGACTGCCGATAGCCCGGAGGGACTGCGCCGGCTGGCTAGCTACCAAGTTACGCGGGCATATAACTACCGCCGTGGATCCTTTTTCTATCTCCAAAAATCCTCAGAGAAAACACTGAGGAATATCTATCTCAAGTCAATTGAATATATATCTCGAGTCAATTGATAAAGAGAAATAGCGAGGAACACCAGATGCTGAACTCGGCGTCACTGTTGGCCGTCTCCCTACTGGCCCAGGCTGCGGTGGCAGAGACAGTGCTGGGAGCCTACATCTTCTCCCGCCATGGAGACCGGACGTCCAAGTCGACTCCTCCTACTGTTCTGACTGACCTGGGATACAGCCAGGTCTACTCGTCGGGCAGATACTACCGTGACCGATACATATCTTCCTCGTCCTCTTCGCAGGTGCTAGGTATCAGCCCAAACATCATCTCTCCCGGGGAGATTACGGCCTCCGCTCCGCAGGACGAGGTCCTCCAGAAGTCGGCCCTCGCCTTCTTCCAGGGCCTCTACCCGCCGGCCGGCAAGGAAGCAAAGACGACTTTGCGCAATGGCACCGTCGTCGAGGCCCCCATGGACGGATACCAGCTCGTTGCCATCGAGCAGGTCAAGTCTGGCTCCAACAGCGAGAATGTTGTCTGGCTGCAGAGCGCCAGTGCATGCAAGAATGCTAAGGTCAGCAGCAACGATTATTTCGCTTCAAAGGAGTACAAGGACCTGCTAAAGTCAACGGAGGGCTTCTACAAGGACGTTGCTCCTCTGGTGAAAGACACTATTGTTGCGGACAAGGTCAGCTTCAAGAATGCATATACCGTCTTCGACCTTCTTAACGTTGCTTCCATCCATAATTCATCGGATTCTTTCCCATCTCTGTCCAGCGAAGTTTACACCCAGCTGCAGTCCCTGGCCAATATTCATGAATTCGGCCTGGCCTACAATGCCTCAGAGCCCATTCGTGCCGTCAGCGGAGCTCTCTTGGCCGGCGAAGTACTGAACTCCTTCATGGATACGATCAAATCACCCAAGACCAAGCCAAAGGTCAACGTCCAGTTCGGAGCCTACGCTACTTTCCTCTCGTTCTTCGGCTTGACCAAGCTTCCTGCTGCCAATAATGACTTTAACGGCATACCAGACTACGCATCTAGCATGGCCTTTGAGCTCGTCACCAACGCTAGCACTTCTTCTGACTCCTTCCCGGCTGAATCAGAAATTAGCGTCCGATTCCTTTTCCACAACGGGACTACCATCCCTGGTTCATCTGAGACGGAGCCAACGGTCTATCCTCTCTTCGGCCAGGAGAAGACCCTACTTCCTTGGTCCGACTTCGTCTCGCTCATGAAGGAGATTGCCATCACTTCCCAGGATCAGTGGTGTCAAGCCTGTGGTAGTGCAAGTGAAGGATGTCCCGGTGCTCCCTCTTCCAGCGGCCCCTCCGGTCCTTCTACCAGTGACAACGGCATCTCCAGGCCAGTGGCTGGCGTTATCGGTGCCTTGGTTACGCTTTCAGTAATCCTCGGTGTGCAGGCTCTAATCTTCTTCGTTGGCGGGTTCACCATTGCACGCAAGAGTAAGCGTGTGAACAGTCTCAGTGAAATGAAACAAGGGTCTGTTTGAGAATGAGATGGGAGAGAATATTCTTACGAACTGATATGCTCTGACGATTCACGTTCATACGAGTAGTTGAAGCTGCTAAACTACAGCTATGATTCGACGTTTACACTAAAAACTTCCACTCAATTGATGCTACTATAGCCATTAACGATACTAATAAAATGATACACATAAACGTTATGCTCAAGCCTCTTTATTCACAAATTTTTTATATAGATTCGATTCTCGTAGTCAAGGGGTGAGGAGATATATGAGCTAGGTAGTGGACGTACCTGAGGCCATCCCAGCGGAAGAACATATTTTCCATGGAAATTAATTTATTTATCTTGAGCGTGGTAGATGGGTTTAGGACTAGCTAGATGCTATGGATAAGGAAGCAATCTGCATTTATACGGTATATGCTCATGAGAATCTACTAAATAGCGGCCGGCTGTTGTTGTGCTGAGCTGGCTAGCCAAGTACAAGCACGGCTGAAGTCCATGACTTCGAGCTCCCCGGCCGAGCCCCCAAAGAACAGCCACATCCCAACATCACCCTCGCAACGAGAGCTCAAGAACAGCCCTGAAAATCAAATATGTCTGCTCATTACGATACCGAGCCTCCTCCAACAGCCTCCGCGACCCTCCATACCACCGTCGGGCCCATCCACATCTCCCTGTTTGCGCGACAGACACCGCTCGCGTGCAAGAACTTCCTCCAGCACTGCCTCGACGGATACTACGAGAATACCACTTTCCACCGCGTGGTACCCAACTTCATTATCCAGGGTGGTGATCCCACTGGCTCTGGTTCAGGAGGCTCCTCCATTTACGAATACCCGGAGTTCGAGTATGATCCTCGTGATGGCGAAAAGGTCGTGTTTAAAGACGAATTCCACAGCCGACTGCGATTTAACAGGCGCGGCCTGGTAGGTCTGGCGAAGAGCGAAGATGGTACCTATGGAAGCCAATTCTTCATTACGCTGGCGAACGTGGAGAGAGATTTGAAAAATAGCTGTACCATGTTTGGCAGGGTAGAAGGAGAGAGCATATACAAGGTTGCTAGCATTGCGGAAGCAGAGCTGGTAGAAGGCTCTGATCGGCCAATGTATGCTGTGAAGATTACTGGGTGTGAGGTGGATCAGCTAGGTCCATTCGAAGGGCAGCTAAGGCGGAGGGAACGTATTGCTGTTGCAGACAAGGCCTCCGAAGAAGCGCCCATGAAGGGGAAGAAGAAAAAGAAAGCCAAGGTGGGAAAGGCGCTCTTGAGCTTTGCAGGTGATGAAGAGGATGGAGAGGCCATCGTACCGACAAAGCCGAAGTTCAATACCCGGCTTGTCAGAGAGGAGGAAGAGGCTGCTTCGGTAGCGAAGAAACAAGCACAAAAGACCAGGGAGGACAGGGACATGCATAAATCAGAGCCAGCGCGAGCACTCAAAGAGCTTCCTGCGAGGAAAAAGAAAGAAATACCAAAGGCACCACCGCGGGAGCCAGACCCAAATACACAACTTCCAATACCAGACCCTGAATCACCGTCTCGCCCTGCATCTCCTTCCAGTTCAGAATCAGAATCACCGCCTCCTCGCCAATCGTTGCTCTCCAAAACAAATGCTGAAATTGCTGCGCTCAAGGCGTCTATGAAACGAAGTACAGCTGCCGCACCCGCGGAGCCAGCTAGGAAGAAATCAGCTCTAGAGTCACTGATACCAGAAACATCAGTACGTGGTGCTAGAAAGAGGACGGCGGCAGGAAACTCATCACAGGATGCAATTGCGCTGGACATGTTCAATGCTTTCAAAGCCAAACTTGAGAGCGCTGATTCTGCATATAAGTTATCCAAACCAAAACGAAGCCATGATACTAGCTCTAAACCTGAGAAGGAAGACACAGATAAACAAACTAATGACCAGGACGAGGAGGAAGAACAGGTCTGTGATCTACACTTTGTTGCTGGGTGTCTATCATGTCGATCATGGGACGTCCCTGAGTCAGAAAGGGCTGGGGCAGAAGACGATGACGATGATACAGGTTGGATGACGCACACGCTTCAATTTGGTAAAGATACCCTTGGAAAGGACCTAAGTTGGAAGAAGAAACATCAGGTGAATGATGATTTGGTTGTTATTGATCCACGGCAGAAGGAAAAAGAGATTACTGGTGCCGGTGGAAGAAAGAGGGAGCGTGAAAGGAAGAGAAAGCTTGAAACAGGGCATGATAGAGAGTGGGATCGAAGAGATGCTAAAAAGGCTGGGAATAGTCGCTCATGACTGGATTGTATAAGATATTAATTGAATATAACTAACACTATGAGGTGTTTTGATACTGCATTTACAATTGGCAGGGGGAAATATACTGGTTGTACTTCTCCTTCCTAGTAGACAGACAGAGGTAAGGACAGTAGAGTAGATGTAGATGATAGATCAAAATGAGTAAATTATACACCATTTCAAAAACCAGGTCGGGAAGGGGGAAAAGAGCGCCCCCAGCAACATTAAACACGGGTTCGATCAGAAGCCAGACGAGACAAAAAGCAAACAAACGTCGATAACACAGACTTTGATATGCAAATGCAAGGCAAAAGATAGGAGTTGAAAATAAAAGAAACTTGATAGGAAAAGAACTATCACATAATACCCCCCCCCCCCCCCCCCCCCCCCCGTTTGATAAAAGAAAAGAAAATAAGACGGCAAAGAACAATCAATCCTTCGGATACCACAAACTAAACCAAACCATTAGGGCCGGGACAGAAAGCCAAATAAGATAATGGGGGACGGGAGTAGAGAGATGAGATGAAACAGAAAATCAGGAAATAGTTTATGATTTTTTTTTTAAGAAATGAAATGGAGAAGAGGGAAAAATTGGAAACGAAAAACGAAGAGGAAAGAGGCAGAAGAAAGACGTGTATAAAAAATCATTAAAATAGCCGACTTTGAGGAACGGAGGAAAACAATAACCTCGATTGGCCAGACCTTACGGAGATAGGTCCTCGGAAACAAGAACAGCAGCGGAAAGAACACAAGGGAAGAGAGTGACCTTAAAGCAGGGGGTAGGGGGATAAAGGGAAACAAGCAGCAAGCTAATCTCAGTCTTTCGGTAGAACAGTAAATAGCATAGAGTTGCTGCATCGCAGTGTAGTTGGCAGTGAATCATGGCAAAAGGAGGGTAAAAGAGATAGGGGAATGCAATCACCATGGCACGTTGATAGTTTCTCCGTTCAACGAGAACTTCCCCTTTTTGAGGTTCATCATTCGAACTTGGATTCGAAATTGAACTTCACTTCCCTTCTCTTCCTCACTTTATACTCACGGAGACGCAAAAAATGAACTTCAACGTAAAAAAATGACAAGCGCCTGGCTCAACACGAGGGTAAGAGGCAAAAATAAACGATCAAACGCAAAAAAAGGTATATTATTCATCCCATCGTCTTCAATCGCTTTCCAATTTCCAGCCATCCAGTCGTTGGAGTTGAAGACGGCGTTCAACAAAAAGAAACCTGTAAGCATTGGTATCCATTGAGTTTGGGTCGGATTGGGTTGCCCCGGGGTCGGTCCAGGCATCATTTGTGGCAAGTGATGACGGCAGCGACTGTAGATTATCAGAATCTAACCATGTCTTAAACCATTATGAAACAAATAATGAAACGCAAGCGGGACAAGTCAGCAAATAGAATCGTCAAAAACTTTTGGAGGCTTCCGGTATGGCGGCGACGGGTAAAAACTGGGGCTGCAGCTCGTTTTGTTCTTTTCTGCGGCTGTGGGGATCTTGGCTGGTTCTTGTTTTTTGTTTTTTTTTTTCTTTCTTTTCATCCTCTGAATTTCTGGGGGGTGGTAAAGTCATTTCGTCATCCATCATCGAATCGTAAAGGGGACGCTGGCGTTTGCATTTGGTTGGGGTTCAAGGGCTGTTTTCATTTGTTGTTGTGCTCTCTTCCCCTGAACTTAACTGCTGTCTGATATATGAGGGGGATTTGTCGTGGATCTTTCCTTTCGGCATGGCGTCGTCAGGTACGTGTTTTGAATTGAATTGAAATTGTATATTAAATTAAATCTCATGGGCTTTAACTCTTTGTATCGCTTATGTCTTTTTCTTCGTGTCATCGTGGTATAAGGGTCATGGATTCGTTCAGTATGGGCATACAGAGTTATCGATCGACTGGGTCCAGAATCTTCTATTGATTTTTTTATTTGTTGGTTCTCTTACTCAACGATGATTTCCACGCCGGGATTGCTCCTTAGCTCGTCGCTACCACGTTGCTGGTGGCTATTCTGGCGACGGAATCCAGGACCTCTCTCCGGAGCAGGGCCTCTAGGTTGTCTCACTGGGACACGTTCCTGGTTTTGGTTTCCAGAATCAAATCCAAGTCCAATGGAGCGGTTAGATCCGATAGCACCAGCACTGGAACCGGAACCGTTGTTTGATCCCGCTGTAGTTGTGGGAAGGTCAGAAGCATCCCATATACCGCGTGTACGGCGAGGAGAACCGGAGGGTCCAGTGACCGAGGTACCAAGTGATAGGCCGCTTAGACTGTTAACCAGGAGACTGTCGTCGACACGCTGAATACCAAGAGACGAACCAGACGGAGTGGGAGTGAGTGTGGGAGTGTTAGAGGCTCCGCTGGTCCCAGTATCATAAGCCTGTTGTTGTTGCTGCTGCTGCTGCTGCTGGAATCGAGCACCGTTAGTTTGCAAGGCAGCAGGGAAGCTAGCAGAAGATGGAACAGGAGATGGAGTAAAAGAACGCAGGTCCGCAAACGACTTAGCAGCACGAAGGTTCTGCGCGTTTGCGTAACCCCCCGGGCCTGGAGAGTCTAGGACGTTCAAGAACGAAGACTGGCGCATGCTACTGCCATAAGCTTGCTGTTCATGGCGAGATTCTCCAAAGTCAATGGTAGCTGCACGGGAGAGACCGCGGCGAGCAGCATCAGAAGTGACCGTTGCTGGCATAGCCGGGACAGGAGGGCTGACATTGGCGCCGGGGCCAGCGCGGTAGACATGGACCTGACGCTGGTCTCCAGTGCCACGGGAAGTATGGGCAAGACCCATATTATGGGAGATAGTATGCACTATCCGGCGCTGGGCCGGGGTTAAGTTTGTGCCGAAGATGAGAGCTTCTTTGCTCAGGTCCTGTTTGAACAGGAGCAGTTGCGAGTAGTATTGCAATGTCTGTGCGTCATTCATATCAACCTCTGAAGCGGATGTTAGTACTAGTGACAAATCTAACAAGGATTTTGAAGAAGTTACTTGACGAAGCAGACATACCTAGTTTACCTGCGCGCTGCGAGACAGGCGAGGGAGAAGTGGTTGGTAGATGTGACGCCAACGAAGACATCGAAGTCTGATGTTGCAACTGGGAGGTAGCCATGGGCCTATGCTGTTCCTCGAGCTGGCCTCTACGCTCACGCTTCTCTCTCTCGATCCTCTCACGTTCCTGCGCGGGGAGCATTTTCTTATACTCAACTCTCAATTTTCTTCCCTGAAGCTCGAAATGGTTTAGCAATTCAATAACGGTAGCCGTTTCCTCCGCGGAGGTGAAGTTTGCAAAAGCAAGACCTCGGAACACGCCATTATCGAAATGATAGTTGAAGGCATATGGCAACGGTAGATTCATTTCAGTCATCAGCTGTATCAACTGCTCCTTCTTCACAGCAAATGGGATGTTCTTAATAACAATAGCGGTTGGGATGAGTTCATCTTCCGCATCGTGAGGGTTCTCCGCGCGAATCTGAGGAGATGGCTGGTGCTGACCAGGAGCTAGAGAGAACGAATTTGGGAGGCTGTTCTGCTGATCCAACCAGGTCTGTTATAGGTTAGAAAACAATAATCATTGCCTCACTACACCTGTCACGAAGATACACTTACCGTGGGAAGAGCGGTGCGTGAACGAACGTTTCTCATCCTCGAAGTAGCAGTGGCGGAGTTAACTCCCAATCCGCCCAGACCGACACTGTTAGCGTTCCACGTCTGAGAGCCGGAGATATCATATGGATACGAGCCACTGGGCATAGTTGCATTCAATCTATCCAACGGATTTGTATCGTAACGGCCAAGCGGGGGCTCCTCATACAGAGTAGAAGACATGGGCCCGTAGGCGTCAAACTGGCGAGAGGGCTGGCGACGAAGCTGCTGTGGTGGGTGACGGTGGGAGCCAGGAGATCGAGAGGCGGACGAGTTGTACATATCCTGGTAACCACTCATGATGGGCAGTGAGCGTTCTTTCAGGAGATGGGGAGGAAGATAAAAGATGGGACGGTTGTATTGGGCAGCTGCAAGATCTGGCTAGACCTTGTAGAATAAAGAGACTAAGCTGCAGGTCAGGCAGGGGTGTAATGAAAACGAAAACAGGCCGACGCGCAGGGCAACGAGGTCTGTCTAAAAGTATATCAAGCGGGTGGCGGAGGTCATCAGTTCGTCGAAAACGTCAAGGTCGTCAAAACAACGAAGTAGAGGCAGGAAGCAAGCATGAGCTAGCCAGATGGTTGAGTCGTCTGCATGCGCACTTGTATTTTTTTTGTTTCCGGGATAAGAAAAAAAATACAGAGACAGCAGTTCCTGGACGGAAGCGAAAAGATAGCAAAGTTGTACAGCAGAATTGTCTGTCTGATCTCCTTGAACGATAACTTCTTCTCCGCTCCGTATGGGACTCAGTCGACGTGTGCGAGAGGGATGGAAGGTGTTCGGTGGTAGGAAAAATGGCGATTTTCCCCCCGTCTTTCTCCCTTGACTAAAACCAGGTCAACACGGCCAAACAGCGAGTAGGCAGCTGACCAAAGTACCGAGAAATGCGTCTCTATGTCAAGACGCGAGGCTGCTCTGTAGGATAGACAAAGCACAACCGGCCGATCGAGCTGGCTGAGGCTGCCTGGTTTACAAGGGCGCAGGACCGTCAGGAAGGGTCAGGGCTCACACCTCCAGGTTCGACGAGCGAAAAGCGACGAGCCTCGCTGGTGGAAGAGACGGACTCAAGAAAGAGATATATCGAGCACGACAGCAAGCTGCAGCGGTGTTTCTGGCAGATAAATGGTGAAGGAGGAGGAGGAGGAAGAAGAAGAAGTGAAGTGAGGTCGAGGTGAAAGTTGGTGCAGGAAGAAGAGGAAGAAAAAAAAAGACGACGAGGTCCTAGGGCGGTCACGACGGCAGTAAAAAAAAGGTGGTGGTGGTGGTAATACCGTTACGGCAGACTAACAACCACCCACTTGCCCACCAAAAACCACACTGACACAGCAGGACAAACGACGGCGATGGGAGGGCGATGAGCAGAGAAAAGATGGTGAGTCGACCTCAGCGATGAAGGCAGACGTGCTAATTATGAGTATTACAGCCTCTCTCCCCGCGGTATCGCCCCTTTACAGCCCATTGGGGCCAGCATCGCTCTACCCGTATAACTATCCAAACGCTCAGCCGAGATGATTCAGGGCCAGACGCTGTTTGAGACTCGTCCAGGGGTGGCTATGTCACCGTATTCTGGAAGTTTTGATGTCTCCGTATCTGACTCTTCTGTCTCTTCTTTGCCCCTTTTCTCCCTACTTTTTTTTTTCCTTAGTTCCCCGACAGGAGGAACGGAGGGATGCTCAACTACTCCGTACACCAATTCCATCCACAGAGACCACCCAAAAGACAGAAAAAGAAATCATGCCAGAGACGGGCCTCAACCCAAAATTATGTTGTCAACCAACAACAGATCCCTGAAGGGCGGGTTCAAACGTTAGTTGGCGTATATCGATAGTTCGATGCAGCCGACTGGATAGCTGGAAGAGCAGAAGGCGAAGGAAAAAGGGAGAAAGACGATTTAAAGCTCGCCTCCTCTGTTAATCCTTTTTTTCTCCTCATGGCAAGCAAGGCCTGTTCGCTTGTTTCATTCGTTTACGCCTGTCTGCAACGCCCGCCACGGCCACTTGACCATGTCCGTCGGGCCCTGGTGGTGAATGTGACCAGTTCCAAGATGGTCGCCCCGGTGGCACTGGGTGCTAACTACCACTTGTCTTTCTCTCCTTTCATTCCTTACATTATGCATACACCTTCAACTACCGTCCAAGGGAGGCCTCTGCTATCAAGACCTGATATTGAGCCCTTCGAAGCTCGAAGCTGCATACCAAGATGGAGCATAGGCGCCTAATGTCTTGCTTAAATAGTTCCCGCGTCTATAACATCCAGTCGCTCTGCTAGACACCCATGCTGCGTCTGCTCTCTTCAACCAGTGCACACCATACAACCAAAAAGAAATTACCCGAGAGCTCCAAGGACTAATGTTGTTAATAGTCCTCTCAAAACATGACGATCACCCTCAAGGCTCGGCCCATGCGTACGATCGCGCAATAGTTTAATGCATGAGCACGGAGACAACAAGGAGGGTGCTTAATAGTTATATACATGAACGGGCTTCTTTCTGCCATGATTCAATACCGCGAACATCATCCGTCCCCTCGACCATCCTCCGTCCATAGTTCTGCGGTGCAACTCAATGTTTGGGAAATTTTGGGAAATTTATCAGGGGAGAACACCGTTCTATTCCATCTCGACCTTGCTGGATCTTGGATATACGCCACAACCTTGCGTACCAGACTGATTAGTGACCAGAACACCGTTCGCATCATGTGCTTATGTGTGTCGCACAGCGTCAGAGAAAAAACACGGCGTTCATGGACGCCTATCGATAGGACTACCCGGGTAACTGGGCCATGCAATCCCGACCTCGCATGATTTTGTTTTGCTTCCCCCGAGCAAATTTGACGTAGTACGACCAAAACAAAAGGAGTGGTTGACCTACCATATTATTACAAAAAACTATTACGTGATCTCAAAAGGAAGGTGTGGTTGCCATGAAAATTAAATGTAGCTAGAACTGACAGAGTGTTGGATATTTAGTCCGTTATATCTACGTAAGAAGTACGCTTGAAGGTAGGGTTGTTTAATATACATATAAAGTAGGTTATCAACTCAATTCAATGAACGATGATTCAGTGCTATACAGCGTTTATATGTCTTCTGCCTCGGTATTTGATTGGTGATTAATCTAGCTAGCCCCGAAACATCCCACCTCTGTGTCCCAATGTGATATGCATGTGAGAATCATCAATAAGTTCAGGTACACATCGCTAGATTGGGCTCATAAAAAACAAGGCTAACGAGGAGCTCCAGCTTTGACTCAATTTTACAAATGGCGAATGGAGCGAGAAAAATGGAGAATGTATCCAAGGTACAAGATTTATCATTTAATTGTCTCGACCGATACTTGTGGAGAGTAAGCTCACGAAGTAGAGTCTTTACTCCCTAGAAGAACAAGAAAGCTGCCAATGAACTCATTCATTCTTCTTCAAGCTTCCGGGGGAAAGGTCCAATGAATTTAACAGGGTATTTTGACAAGTCAGCCTTTCCCGGAGAAGTCTCGGGTGATTGACTGCGCTCAATAATAACCAGCCCGCTAACTTCCAGCTAAATGTACATGTAATGCGGTGGTTGAGACACCAAATATGACGCGGTGAAAGATCGCCGTGCGTAAATCTGATGCAGCCTTGAAGACGCAGATCATCGAAAGGGCCATAACCTGCATAATCTGTTGAACCAACAGCCCCGGTTTGATTTTGGCTCTTGTGGATGGAGTTCATCCATGTGGCCACGTAGGTGAGTGGGGGGGGGCTTTCTTTTCTTCCATGGATATGGGAGTATTCGACATGGGGGCGCCGGGACATCGTTTCATCATGGTGTAGCACGTACCATAATGTCATTTAGCTCCTTACGACCGAATCATTCGCAGTGTTGGAATTGCTGTCCAGTATTTTTGCTATAAAATTAATTGCATATGCTTCGGCTGGGGTATCATACCGTCGGTATTTGACAATGTAGCTAGAATTATGCTAACCACCTCGAAGCGCAAGCCCAGGTATAAAATATCGGGCAAAGGTGATAGCGCAAGGGAGCAGTCTGACCATGAAGCGATCCGCAATCGCGAAGTGAGAGCCGAGACTCCAACGTAGTATAATTTCTTAAATCATATCCGACCCTAGAAGAACATGAAGGACTTAAGTCAACCCATTAATGGGAGTTTAATGGGAGTGCGTACGGAGTAATTGGTGCAGATTTATATCAGAGGTTGTTGCAAAGAAATCTTGCTCAGAATTAACAAAGCGGCTATTTCACGTGATCTACGCGTTTTCAATGTGAGCTAATTAGTGTTAATTGTTGACGCCGAAACCTAATGAAAAGAAATGTTACAGAGTAAAAACAGAATACATAAAGGGGTATTTTGCGGTTCTGCTTTCTCCTTTCGAAGTGGAAGAAGAACTTGACCATCTTTCTAGAACGACCGTTGAACACGGGAAGTGAATGGATATCCCGTTTTTTAGGCCGGTCTTGATCCACAAGCGGCGCTTAGTTCGCCGCTTAGCTCAACCTTATCATCACATTCATCAGTGTTCTCCTTTTACCCTTCAGCGATATTTCTCAATGTGTGCCTCATTCTATGGGAATCAATTGAACTAGTCTTAGAGGTATTAGAAGAATTATACTGGGTCTTGTTGTTTGCTGTGCTGACCGGAATGCTGTGGCGAGACGGATTGGCCGTTTCGCCGTCTGAAAAACAACCCATACCCTTAACCTTAACAGTAAGACATTGACAGCCTGCTGTAGGGAATATCCGTGGAGAAACATGCTACAAAGTGGAAGTGTATTTATTCTTCAGGACAGCTGGCCCTTCCACCGGATTCGCGGATATATCCGAAGGGCCAGGGATCAAGCCTAGGCATATTCCCTTCGGCAGTGGGCCAATACCGTTCAAAATATAGCGCAGGCCTCAGTTTAGCTAATGAGATAATGGTCTCGTGCACTTGATCGAATCTTTCTAGCCGGTCCAGGAGGTATACCATGCGCGTCGCAAGTTGATGAAAGAGTTAAAAAGGAGGTAGATAAGTTTTGCTGTCCCGCTAGCATGAAACAGATGAGAGGTTGAGACATTCCTTGAGACACGTCTTGAAACGAGTCCTGAAGGTCTTTTGCGGGATAAGGCAGAAGATTTTGGCATACAATACCCTTTGACGGACCGCTAGATTGATAACAATGTTATTCATAACTCTGATATGGAGAGAGGATTCCAAGGGTCTGCTCTGATCTATTGTTGGGATGCGTCTCTCTGGAATAGAACACCACTGAACAATGCTTTGTATAGAGCTTATCCATGATTGGCTTGTTTTCCTACGCTGCCAGCCTATTCCTCCCAAAATTTCAGCTAGAAGCCAGAGAAACCTATTTCAAAAAAAAATAGCTCTATAGCTTAATATCCTGAACCAGTTCTACTAACCACTTCTATTTCTCTCATGAAAGAAGCGAACAACACCTCTTATTGACAGCTTGTCTTCTTTTGCATCTATTAAATATCATCATCCACTGCCTCTGCCACCCTGTATCTTCCACTCATTCCGCTGCTTTTCCTTCCTCTCTCCAGCTTTCCAGCTATTTCCCCCCTTTATCGGATGTGCAATTAAAGTTCGCTGACTCAGCTTCCGTGACTTATTCCGAACCAATAAAAACATGACATTTTGCCAAGCCTTCCAGACGCGAATTTGCCTATCTAACGTAATATCAGTTCTGCGGGAGAAAGACGAAAGCTGACTTGTATCTCCAGAGCATGTCAACAGATCAACTCGCACTTTGCAGCACCAGTGCAATCGATATTTTCCCTTCGACGCTCCTGTACTGTCAGCCATACGCATTTCCTCTCATTCGATTCCCCTGTGACACTTCCCCCTTCGTTTGCAGCGGCCTGCAGGCGGTGTGTCAGAAGGCTTTGGAGCCTGCATGCGTGTCGAAGAAATAGGACAAGGAGGATTAAAAGTTTTCAGGCTGATATCCTGCATCAAGATATCGAGGGCGCAGAGTCATTGATGGCAATTTTCGAGTTGTCGAGGTGATCTGTCGAGTTTAACGGTCGAGTCTGACGGTCCCCGCCGAGTTTCCGTCGCATCCAACAACTACGACCAGGGCAGCGCAATCTACCACATCCACCTTACATATCTACTGTTTTTCGTCATATCAGCGATAACAGATCAATTTGCCATATCTATTATCCCAGTACCGACGCATCTTCGTTTTACCTGCCTCCCGAGCCTTCCCCCGCACCCTCGGTCAATCTTTCCATTAGCCAAGTACACAGCTACCTGGGGGGAGTCTATTGTTATCTGAAATACCGGTATCTCCGACGTCATGTCATCACAGAGCCTCTCTCGCAAGAGGCCTGCACCAGGAGCAACACCATTAGCGCATCAGCAGATGTCTCCATTGCCAAACTTCCCAATTCCGTCGCAGCTCTCGAACGAGCAATTTCTACAGCAATGGGCGCCCAACACGGCAACTTCCGGTGTAAATCAGCCAAACCCGAACAGCGCTGCGTTTACGACTGGCGATGATGGGACTGGGCTAATGTCAAACCAACTTACCAGACGACCCGGAAACAATCAGATAATCAGTCGGGCTAGGATGGGGGATCAAAACTTGGTACCGATGATGGATCAAAACTCGCTGAGCATGAATGATGTTAGCAATTCAGGGACTAGCGAGACCGAGGAAGAGATGAGACAGAGAGCTCTTAGAGTCAAGAAGGAATCACTGGCCAAGCGAAAACATATTCCTCCTTTCATTCAGAAGCTGACCAGGTATGTTGCTATAACCTTTGCTTCAACCGGACTGTTTCATACTAACTAATGAACTATAGTTTCCTCGACGATTCGAAAAACGCGGATTTAATTCAATGGTCCGAGGATGGAAACTCGTTCATTGTCCTGGATGAGGATGAGTTTGCGAAATCGCTGATACCCGAACTCTTCAAGCACAACAACTACGCCTCGTTTGTACGGCAATTGAACATGTATGGCTTCCACAAGAAGGTTGGGCTATCGGACAACTCGATGAGAGCCAGCGAGAGGAAGAATAAGAGCCCCAGTGAATATTCGAACCCTTACTTCAAACGCGGACAACCCGACCTCCTGTGGCTGATCCAAAAACCGAAAAATGTATCCAGCCAAGGCAGAGGAGGCTCAAAGGGCGGCCGTGTCAAGCTGGAGCCTGATGTGGATGATGCCGAAGGTGAAGAATTTGGAGAAGAAGGCGGTGGTGGTCCAAGCAGTGCTGGAGGCCGAGAAGACAAATCACGGCTCAGAGGCCAGCTTGCTCTCGGGTCGGGAGAAGGGATGTTACATGGAGATCAGCTGACGGATGTCTACCGTGAGCTGCAAGCCATTCGGCATCAGCAGCACGTTATCTCAAGCACGATCCAGAAACTACGAAGGGATCATGAACAACTGTACGAGCAGGCCGCGAATTTCCAGGAGCAACATACCCGTCATGAAAACTCAATCAACGCCATCCTCACCTTTCTAGCTACTGTTTACAACAGAAGTCTACAGGGCCACGAAGGTGCTCAGGGGCTAGCTAATTCATTTGCTGGAGCTATATCCCAAGACCACCAGGGCCTGTCAGGCAATATTGTTGACGTTGATGAGCTGGCAGATAACTATGAATCGGAGCTCACTCCCAACCAGCCACCGTTTAAGAAGCAGAGACTTCTCCTTGGAGCGCCACCCACTCGCGATGGCCAAAGGCACAATACCCTGTCTCCAAATCCCGCCAACAGTGCGTATGTTGGTCATCAACGCAGCAGCTCTGGCCCTCAAAAGGCCAGTGTGCAGCCCGTCTCCGAAGTAGAGGAGCTGTTTGACCCTACCAGCCCGATGACCGGCACTGCTCCAGCTCAACAGCAACCGCAATTACAACGCCAAGATCAGCCCCGACAGACACCACAACCACAGACACAGGCGCAGAATCAGAACCTTACACACCCTCATCCCAAGCACCAGGGCAGTCCCGGTCACCTCCCGCAACGAGACATTATGTCCCTTATCCAGAACTCCAACGCACGCAGCAGCTTCTCTACCAACCCTTCCGATTTTCCTACTGTGCTGTCCTCCCTTGAAACGTCTGGCGGCAACTCACCTCTTACTCCTGCCCAGCGCGCTGACATGCTCCGCTTGATCTCAAATGAGAACAATGCTGCCCATCCAACAGGTGGTCAACCGCAGAATAACGCCCTGATTGCGCCTAACGCGCCTCAGATGCCACTCAACTACTCAGCTCAGCTCGCCAATACACGCTCTGAGCTGGACAACCTGGTGAAGATGCAGGCCGAGCAGGCTAGATCTGTGCAACACCTGACCAACATGCTACAGCCGCTTAGTCCTACGGGCTCCATCCCAGGGATAGACAACAACCAGATACCGCCTCCACCTCTTGACCTAGACAACATCTTCAATAGCGGCGACTACTTCTCTGACATCCCTGGCGTAGAGAACAACAACTCTTCCAAGGATACCCAAAACCAGGCAGATCCCAACAATGCTGCCGCAACTACCACTGCAGGAGGAAAGAATGATAGCAGCAATAACAATATCACTGCTACGGCTGACAACAACCAAACAGATGACTTGTTCGATTTTGACACTTTGGCTGCCGACCCATCGCAGCCAACCCCGAATTTCTTCGACACGTTTGATCAGTTCGACGGCGCATCCAGCCATGGCCTAAGTGGTCTTGGCGATGTTGGTTCCACCAATATGAACATGAACAACAATGATAATAACAATCTAGGTAGCGGTGTCGGACAGGATCTGGACCGTAACAGGGTCACAGAGACGTTCACTAGCAGCGAGGCAACGAGTCCTGCTAACACGCTGGTTGACGATAATAGCCAGAACCACAGCCAGAACCACAGCCGGAATCAGAGCCAGAGCCAGAGTCAGAGCCAAGGAGGAGACGGCAGCACAGGACATACCCACGGCAGTCCACAGATCATGCAGAGACGCAGTGCTCGGAACCAGCGATGAGTGATAGAGACTATTAAACGCTCTCTATCAACGCGCCTAGTTACCTACGCCTGCCTCTTCTGCCGTTTCCATCTATTGTTAGCAAAGTGCAAGAGAAAAAAAGAAGATAGACCAAAGCATATCCTTATCACTACTCCCTTGCTCGTATTCATGAGAACAAACTATCAATACCCGCTTCCCAAGTTCTACATATGAGTCGCTGCCTCTTCATCTACTACTACTTTGAATACCCCCATTCTCGCATTGCCCCATGCTACGTTACTTACTACCCTTGGCGAGAACTAGAAACATACCTACTTGTGATAGCCAAAAAGAAAACTAAAAAAAAAGGGAGACAGACTCAAAACCTGTCTCCTATTTCTCTTTTCTATCTATCTATCTCCTTATTTAATATTCTTCTTCTGCTTTTCATCTACTACTCTGGCGTTGTGCTGAAATTAAAAGGCGCGCTCTCAAAAAATGGTGGTGGTGGTGGCGGGTGGTGGTTGTGGAGGAAAGAAGGGTCATAAAATGACATAAATTGCTGCTGTTGATACCTCATTCTATATCCAATATCAAACAAATCAAGCAATTAATACTTGAACTGTCTGTCTCCAATATCTTGACCTCGCCGTCCTCTTACTTGCCTGTTGTCCTCCCTGTCCTTCCGCCTTCACTGTCCTGTCCTGTCCCGGACTCTTCCTTCCCCGCCGTCGTCATCACAAGAACGTGACTGCCAAAAAGAAGGAGGCTGGGCCCTCGCGACTGCCAAATGAGGCAAGCAACGCTGGCAAATCAGAACGCGTAGTTGAAACCTCGCTTAGCTTTGGCGCCTTCCAGAAAAGATATAAAAAGGGCCTCCTTTCCTCCCTTTCCTGACCTCCTTCCTTTTCCTTCCTTTTTCCTTCCTTCATGTTCGCTACCAGCCCCTTTTCTTCTTCTTGCTCTTCTTGCTCTTCTTGCTCTTCTCACCACCACCAGCGCGCTATACAGACAGCTAACACTTCTTTCTACCTGCCACAGCATCAGTCTTGCATCTCCCCTTTTCTTCTCTTCTCTTCTGCACCACGAGTCTATTTCCCAGCTTCTCTCGAGCAGCTTAGGGTGTTTTCTCGTTTCCCTTACACACACACACACACACACAAATGTTCTACATTGCAAGGAACACATGGCGATGATGATACACAACAGAGCAAAAAGCAAACAGACACGCACAGTTCCCACTGCTTCGGCTTTTAGGGACCTGTTGTGAGTCTTGCTACAAAGTGCATTCTCACCAGATCTGAGCCTATGGAGTGGATGCGCGGTACGCGTTGCATACACATACATATGACTTCCACACTGAACATCCACTCCCACCCACACAAAAGCACTTACAACCCATTCCCTTCCCTCGCAACAGTGACAACTTGATTCATCTTTACACGTTGGTTTCGAGTCTTCGGACAGTGACAAATCCTCATGCTCTGCCTCTACATATCACGTTTGAGTTGACGATGTTGAAGATGTTGGGTTTCCTATGATGAGATATCTGGAATAGATATGCTTACAGTTGTAGTGCCCACGCGGCCAGACAGCTAGCATGTTCCAATCTGAGGAGACGTTGGTGGTTGACGGTCATAGTGATAGTGATGTAGATAGGTATTATGTTGTTGCTACTTGTTGCTACTTGATGTTGATACTGTTGTTGATGTTGTGGTTGTCGATGTAGTGGTTGGTAGTTGATGTTGATGTTCATGCTTGTTGACGATGTCGATGTCGATGTTGTCGATGTTGTGGTAATTTGTCTACTATGTTACCTGCTACTTCATATTGATGCCTCGTGGTTGTTTACTTGCTGAAGTTGATAGTCAAGTTTCATAGATAAGCCTCTCAAGTCTTTCAATCAACCCTTTGCTACTCTATACTTTACTATATTGCATCTATAACAACTTGCTCTAGACGAATACGAGGTTGTTCTTGACTCTACATCCACATCACAATTACAAATACGAGAAACACAAAAGATAAACGACCGCACACCAAGTCAAACAAGCAGTATAAAATCAAGAAAAAGATCATACAAGCCATCCATTTTTTTTATATCAAGCAGTTTTGGTTCGATTGCTAAGATAGAAACTGTTCCTTAAAAGCCAGAGCCTCCCACTGCATTCCCATCTACCACCCACTATTAAACAGCGCCCTAAAATAACATGAGAAAAGGAAAAAGGAAGCAATAGAAAGAGCAGAGAAAAAGGGGGACGAAGAGGATATAAATGAAGACACAAAAAGACAGAACGAAGCTGGCTGACTTTGACTCTGGGCCGGCTAGCTGACCTTGGCTGTGCCGCGTGGGTATCGACCTGGGAGAGCAGCAGTTTCATTTGGTTACCTGGGAATCTACTGACTTCTTCCATCCGTTCATCGTACAAAACACGACGTGAAAGTGGAAAGCAGGTAAGCAAGTAAGGGGTAAGGGTCAGAGAGACGGAGTCTCTTTTGTTTTTTTTTTTGGTTTTTTTTTCTTTCTTTTCTGGCATAAGCATAGCGTATACGTTGCTGTATTGTATAGAGAGATAAAGATTGAAGCCCACGTCAAAGTAAGACCAGCGCGTGCAACGCGTAATTCATATAATAGCAACACACGAGGAAGCAAAGGCGGCGTTTAAGCCCTGGTTAGCACGGGAAAGAGGTGAGTTGAGGTATGGATATTTCGGAGAGGACCGGTTGAAACGAGCAGAACGCCGCGTTAAGAGAAGAAAAAAAGAAGTAAAAAAGATAAAAAATAAGAGACAAGTGGTTTGTCACAGTTCGAAGACAGTTTGACGGGTATGGGTATGGATATGGAAGATGGGGGTTGGACAGGGAGAAGGTGTTCTAGCTGTGCTTCTTCTTGTCGGCGTTGGTGATCAAGGCTCTGTTAATGTGTGGCAGGACACCTCCGTAGGCGATGGTGGCGCGAATGAGAGTGTCGAGTTCTTCGTCACCGCGGATGGCGAGCTGGAGATGTCGCGGCGTGATACGCTTGACTTTCAGGTCCTTGGCGGCGTTGCCTGCGAGCTCCAGAACTTCGGCGGTCAGGTACTCGAGCACTGCTGTGGTATAGACGGCAGCTGTGGGGAGCAAGAAAAGGACGTATTAGCATTCGGGGTCCATGGTGGAATAGGGAAGGGGGGAAAATAAAATCATAACATACCCTTTGCTCCGACGCGCATCTTGTTGCGTGTGTTGTTCTTTAGGAATCGCTTGACACGGCCGCAAGGGAACTACATAACAAACCACCGGTCAGCATCTATCGCCGCATCAACCGGTAGATAAACGACTGCGATGCGCGTTGTGGTCTTGTGTGTATACACGACCAACAAACACGTGTCGTTCACCCCCCAAGACGGAGATAAAAAAGACATGAAAAGATAGCCGACTCAGCTATCGTTCACTAAGGGGCGAGCAACGAACCTGCAGTCCGGCCTTTGCACTGTGCGATCGTGGTCCTTTGCCGTTGGCATCTTTGGGCGCGGCCTTTCCTCCTCCCACGGACTTTCCTTTGCCTCCTGGCATGGTTGTATCCTTGTCTTTATCGTCGTGTGAAAACGGGAAAAGGCGATGCGAGCGGTGCTATGGTGCGTCGGGAGCTGATGTGCTTTTGTATGAGTGGGGGAGGGTGCGAGCAAAGCGTGGTGCGTTTCGCGTGTATTTCTTCTTCTGCTGCCTGGCAAGTTAAGTTGGAGGGTTTTGGAGGGATAAAGATGTTAAGTAAGGTAAGTTTATCTTCCTCAGTGGACGGTCGGTCGATGTTGGTCATAGCGTGGGCCCTTTTTTTTTTTTTTTTTTCAACTTTTTCCTCCTTGCTTGCAGAGAGAAAGGACGCTAGACCGCTTTCGGACGGGCGGTTGTCGCAGGGTGAAGCAAGCGGGAGTGAAGGCGACAGGCAGCGCGAAGTGAAGGAGGGAGGCAGTGGCGGCGGTGGCAGGTCGGTGACAGAGCGGATAGCATGGCGGTAGGAGTGAGTCTGTCGCTGCTTGGAGTTAGTGGTGGTCAGTAGTCGCTGTCGAGATGCTCAGCAGCCTGTGTTAGTGCTGGTAGTTAGTTGGTAGAGGCCATCTTGCGAGCATGTCCAACGTCACATATAGAGCGTAGGTAGTCACTCTTGCCAGGGAAGACGGCTTTGGAGCTACTCTCTCTTGCAGGGGGGCCTCGCTCCGAACGGCGATGCGTCTTCGCTTCGAGCATCTCTGCCCTCCCCGTCTCCATCTCGGCCACCATCTTCTCCCTCTTCTGTGCGCTTCTTCGTCCGCTTCATTCTTGAAGTTCTGGCGAGGAGTTGATATCAGATTATGTAATATTTCACGTGACTTATCGCTTTTGTGGCCGCATGGAAAACTTTTCAGCAGCCCTTTTTCTCGTTTAGCAAGGAGGAAGCAGGATAAATTTCGCAGCCTTGGGATCGCAGCACCGTCGTCTTACTATCCGTCGTCTTACTCTCTGTCTTGTCTTGTCGTCTGCCGTCTTTGGTTGCATCTCTGTTCACCATGGCTTTCTCGATGTTTAGCCCCCAAATGTAAGAGCTCCTCGGACCCTCAATTTTGACCAGATAGCAAGGAGCCCGCGTGCGCATCTGGGGATGGGCCTTGAGAGGCTGGGAGAGTTGAAGAAAGCATGCTAACAGCTTGGTTATAGAACCAACCTTGCCATCATCCTGGTCATGATGCAGGTGTCGAAGAAGATCCCCTTCGATAACCCAGATGTCCTCCTCGGCGTTCGCACCATGTACATTGCCTCCAACATTGCCATTGCAGCACTCTACTACTACATCTACACCGTCATTGTCCAGAAGAAAGGTACGCCTAACCAATCTTCAGTTCAGGCTACGTTCAACTGTCACCCACTAACACAAAAGATATAGACCTTAAAACTCTCAAGTATGTTGAGCCCCCAGCCATGGGCTCCCAAGATGAACCCCGTCCCGTCGTCACCACCGTCCAGGAGTACGACAAGCAACAGCTTCGCGCCGCCCTCAAGTCTCAGCTCATGGGCGTCGGCATGATGGCCGTCATGCACCTATACTTCAAATACACCAACCCATTGCTCATGCAGTCCATTATCCCCATCAAGAGCGCTCTTGAGAGCAACATCGTCAAGGTCCACTTGTTCAATGTTCCTGCCAAGGGTGATCTTGAGAGACCATGGAAGGCTGGCGGTGGAATGATGGGCATGGGCCAGCCACCCGTCAAGACCGACAAGGCCAGCGTTGAGTCTGCTGAGAAGAACTGGAGGGGCGGTGCTAAGGAGGAGTAGAGTAAAAAGACACTGAGGCGACATATTTTCTTTCAAAACTTCTTCTTGTCTTGGAGCCGGACCGGGTGGATGAACGGGATTGGGAATTGTGACATTATGAGGCAAAGCTGTTTTCTTCCTTTCATGCCGGTATTATGAATATTCTTTTTCCTCTTTTTGCTATTTTTTTTTTTTATTATTTGCTTGGCTGTCCTCCTTTCATTCTTATCGGCTATGCGTCCTGTCCTCGGCGTTGCGTTGATAAATAAAGAAGCATCCTATAGATTTAGCAGAATATATTTTGGTAGAAACAATTCAGATAAGGTACATCTTTTGCTTGCATCTTATCCGACAGCAAGCTGTTATCTCTGCTTAGTCATACCATTTTCATCACCCCTTAAAATATTAATGTTTATTGTTTTAGAATCAACGTTTTCGAGAGCCATCATCAAACTTCGTTTTGTTTTCCTTGATATCATAAGTTGCTGTTCAATGGGAGCAGCATGCTGGAGAATTACCCCCTGGATATCCTTCGGACGGTCGTATCACAACTTGATGATCGGGCTGACCTGAAAAGCTTGTCCGAAGTATCACGGTTTTGGAACGAGGTCACAAATCCGTTTCTATACAGAAATATCTTTATTTCAACCGCTACGAAAGATAATGGCATAATCAGGGCTCACCAGAGAGCGGGAGTACTTCAGTATACCAGGGACATTCAAGTTTTATGCACGGATTCTCCAACTGGGCCTGATGCTTTTGATTTTGACGACTATTCCCCTTGCACCGACTCACTCAACCACTATTGCACCAACTTCGATAGCAATGAAAGTATGGCTGATTCTTTTGGTGACTGGGACCCTTACCAAGGCCTCAGTAGTGCCGAGCAAGCAGATAAGGAGCGGTGGATAGATCCTGAGGGCGACCCTGAATTCTATCCTGAATTATTCAACCTTGAATCCAGGCAGAGGATACTGTCCATATTAATAAGATGCAGGGAGGGATATTTGAAGAGTTTTAGGTTAGTAATGCCTGCCCCAACTAATGTAATTGCGAGCTGACATAGGAATGTACTATGGAAGCTGGCCCCGGCAAGACGTTATCCCACCTGAGATCATGGGAGAGGGGGGGTATCTTCCTACCAGACAGCCTTTTATAGAACAGCTCCGCTTTGGGTTCCGTGAATATTGCAATTTACAACACCCTCAACTATTTACCGGGTTAAAACGCCTGGCAATACTTAATGTGGAAGAATCCACGTTTATTAATCATGAATCCGAAGTAAAGAATATCCGGGACTGCGTGAACCTCAACTGCGGTCAACTGGAGTATCTTGAAATCAGCTGCATATACTGGCAGCTCTTGGGCGAAGAACATGATATCGATGACGAGCATTTCACGGAGGCGCTGCTAAAGCCGTGTCGAAATGATCAGCTCCGGTTCCCGAATATACAGCATCTCGTACTCGAAGGATATACATTCAACAATGGCCGAGTTAGCTTACTCGAGGATTTGAATCCAGAGGTGCTGCACACCCTGTCTTTAAGATCCTGTTTCTTCTGGGAAGATTTCCTGCACTTACTTAGCTCTGAGAGACGACCTTTGCATCTACGAACGTTGGAGGTGCAGGCATATTCCGGATGTTTACCTGGAGCTGGGTACTTGCCGACGGATGAGTGCCATGATCTAGCAAGTTTTATCGAGGAATGCGAAGCACTCGAAAACATATTCGTTGCGATAGAACAGGCATTTGGTCTTGAGCGACTCTGGAGGTCGCTCCTTCGGCACCGAAAGACACTCAAGTCATTTGTTTTCTACTCTCTTCCCGGCACAACTAATGGTCTAGATGTTGCTCCAACACCGTACTGTGTCCCGAATCTTTCATTTGACCCGCCGTACCACAACGAGATAGAACCCGAGAGGTTGACTTTGAAGCATCTGGATTTGGAGCTACTCGGGGTCGGCTATGAGCCGAAATACCTGGTGTGTTTTGACGTTGATTCAATGGTATGGGAAGATACTAATATGTCGGTGTTGTTAGATACCAGCTCTCTCTCCGCTAACTACTATGGGCAGCCTGAAAGTGTTGCTTATTCGAGGCTTCTATATACCTCATCCCGCCTTCCAGAAATTAGAACGCATAGGGAGGCTTTCTAACGTTCGACCTTTACATCGACACCTGATTCAGGACTTTGGCAAGTTTGTTCAATGGGCGTTTGGGCCTGAGGGATTCCGATCGCTAAGGCTAATAGTTCACTGCAACCCGTTCGGCGGTGAAGGTGATGTAATGCTACTCTGCCCTAAAGTAGGGCCAGATGCTGAGCCGCCATTCCCAGGGAGGAACTACCGGCTTGTGACCAAGCGTGACCATGTCCAGCATGGTCTACTCCGCAAACACGCCAGCGCCCTTAGAGCTTGTCCAATTCGAGGTGCGCCTATATACGATAGCGACTTCATATAGACAAATCAGCCACCATAACACCCAATCTATCCATTTAAGAAGTCATCACTGTATATCTTCCTGTCTCCATGCATTCCATTCGGCTGTCCGGCTCTTTCTGTGGATCAACATTAGACCGATCGGACAAACTTGCCCAATGCAGCAGAGTGTTTTTTGCCGCCGAAACCGCAAACCTTGAAGGAAAATAAGATGAAGGAATTGATATTCGATAGCTGAGATGAAGTTTTGTTGGACGCAAAAGACGAATTGAAACTGGTCAATTGGCGAGCAGAGCAAGCCAGGAAAGAAACAGAGAGCTGCAGCGGTAGAAGTCCATCGAAGCAGAGGGAAAAACACCATCCGGGTGGGTAACTAACTGAAAGACTAAGCGTTGTCCACGACTACCCGCCCGACCTCCTGTAGCGGGACATCTCGGGAGTCTTTTTTTCGCCAGGGAGGAAAGGAAGACGTGGGAGTGGAAAGGAAGCTGTCCGACTGACCCCGTCTCCATATGATCAACCCGCCATCCATGTCTCAGCGGCCGAAGGTAGATGGAGATGCCTGCGGGCGGTTGTTCTCCGGCGTGTCAGGAGAGCCCGCGGACACCAAACCAACTCCGTAGTACGGTAGCGTAGCCCGTAGGCCTGTAATAGTACTTGAAAACTGTGGTTGAGCGAGAGCTGGGTAGGGCTGCCAGGGTTAAGTTTCTGTTGCGTCAGTTGCTAGCAAGAGATTGAAAGCAAGTCGGGGCGGAGGCCGAGAGCGCGTTATTTATTGCCTGCCCCTCGCCCGCCTCCCTTCCACCTCTTTCTTCCTCTCTCCTTTTCCTCTACTTCTTCTCTGCTTCACTATCACCATCTCAGAAGTCCTCCGTCTTCTCGTCTACGAGCTCGTTTCACGTCTTATCTAGGTAAGCCGATGGCTTCCGTCGACCCCGAGATGGCCGTGTTTGGTGGTTGTGGTGGGATACTAACTGCTACCCCGCTATACAGAATCATCCCGCCATCATGGTTGTCAAGGTACATACAATAGCAGAAAAACGACCCTTTTTGCACTGCAGTTCGTCAGATTAACAGGAGCCCAGGTCGGAATCAACGGCTTCGGTCGTATTGGCAGAATTGTCTTCCGCAATGCGTGAGTTGAGCCTCGACAAGTGGGATTCGGGGGTGGATGCCATGAGAGAAGGACAGTTATAGCTGACTACGGTGCTACAGCTACGAGAACCCAGACATCCAGGTTGTTGCTGTCAACGACCCTTTCATTGAGACCAAATACGCCGTATGTTCTATGTCTGTCTGGGGTGCATTGATGCAATGACTTGGTTGTCGTGCTAACATAGATCGACCAGGAATACATGTTAAAATATGACTCTCAACACGGCCAATTCAAAGATGATATCAAGCACAACGAGTGTGGCCTCATCGTTGGCGGCCAGCACATCAAGTTCTACGCTGAGCGTGACCCAGCCAACATCAAGTGGTCCGAGACTGGAGCTGACTACATCGTCGAGTCCACCGGTGTCTTCACCACCACCGAGAAGGCCAGCGCTCACTTGAAGGGAGGTGCCAAGAAGGTCATCATCTCTGCTCCCTCTGCGGATGCTCCCATGTTCGTAATGGGTGTCAATGAGGAGAAGTACACTTCCGATATCCAGGTTCTCTCCAACGCTTCCTGCACCACCAATTGCCTTGCTCCCCTCGCCAAGGTCGTCCACAAGAACTGGGGTCTCAAGGAAGGTTTGATGACCACCGTCCACTCCTACACTGCCACCCAGAAGACCGTCGACGGTCCCTCCGGCAAGGACTGGCGTGGTGGCCGTACCGCTGCCCAGAACATCATCCCCAGCAGCACCGGTGCCGCCAAGGCCGTCGGAAAGGTCATCCCAGAGCTCAACGGAAAGCTGACTGGTATGTCCATGCGTGTGCCCACATCCAACGTCTCCGTTGTCGACTTGACCTGCCGCACCGAGAAGCCAGTCACCTACGACGAGATCAAGAAGGTCATGAAGGCCGCTTCCGAGGGCGAGCTTAAGGGTATGTTTCCTTGTTTTTTTCATCTTCTCTCTCAATGGGGGTATAACTTGTCTAACGTGATGGTATAGGTATTCTCGGATACACCGAGGACGCCGTTGTCTCCACTGACATGAACGGCAATACCAACTCCTCCATCTTCGATGCCGGTGCCGGTATCGCCCTCAACGAGAACTTCATCAAGCTCGTCTCCTGGTACGACAACGAATGGGGCTACTCTCGCCGTGTCGTTGACCTCATCTGTAAGCTTCCCCTCTTCGTTGTCTTGTCTGCTCCGAATTCAGGGCATGAGCTAACCCATATCTCTCACAGCCTACATTGCCAAGGTCGACTCTGGCAGCAAATAGCAATTAACGGGAAGCGCGGAACAACGGAGCATGCTCTAGTTAGGTCCACCACCAGTTTCCCATTTCTCTCTCTTCCTGCCTATATCCCACTATCAATATAAACCAACAAAAGTGGATACCATCTTACCCCAGAAAAGTAAATAAAAAAAAGAATGTAATTCTCTTTGCCTGTGATGGGCTGAAATATTCATAAGAATGGATAAATATGAAATCAATGCCACTATCTCAGTATCCCCAGCTGGCATCATAGCATGTCTTGATAAAACGTACCTGTAGTGGGCTTGTCTGACTGTTTCAAGGCCGGTCTCCAATCTCGCCTTATCCTTGAACCTCTCAATCTTCAACTTGAATCCATTTACATCAAACTGATCTATATATCTGCTCTCAAACTGTTCTCATGCTACCCTTAACCTACCCCTAATCATCGTAAGCCATCTTTAACTGCAAAATGCGCGCGAGCAAGGTCTATCACGTGAACAGCTAACTATCTATATCACGTGACTCCTATTTCTTAAGGCCAGAAAGTTACGCCCTCAAAGCTTCATCAAGTTGCTTGACTTGCTCGATCTTCATCCACTGGCTGCTGCGTCTTGCACTGCATCTTCTTCTTCGTCGCAGGCTGTCTGCATCTTATACCCTGGAATTGGCAACTCTGGCGGCTACAGGCCACACATAGCTCTCGCTCTATGTGCATCTGGCGCCGCTGACGTCTTTGCCGTGCATCTATACCTTCTATACACACTGCCCTGGCCGTATTGGCGTGCTGATGCCCAAAGGCGCCTGCCTGGCTTCTGGACCTTTTGCCTAATAGCCAGTCAATTACTGTTCTCCTTTCTTCTTTATAGCTGAGGTCTCAAACATTACATTGATGGGGAGTTGAGCTAGCGCATTTGGTTCTCATTTCGAGCTTTGTTTTTTGCCTTGTCATACCCGCGGAGGAAGAAAAGAACCAGCAGAATTGAGTATTTTCCGCGGCCCCGTCTTTTCCTACATGATACCATCTCTAGCTCGTACTATGACCATCGAGCTCTGACCGTCGACTTCCTTTTTTCATTCCCATCATCTCTCAGCGATCTTATACGTACCAAGCATCATGGACGGGGACGAAGACGTGGTCATGGGCGAAGCCCGCGTACCAGCATCCGTACCAGGCCCAGCTCCCACATCAACTTCCACCATCCCCATCGGCGGCGGTCGTCCGTCTCCTCCGTCTGCAGAAGAGGCATCGCTCACGCCAGAAGCACAAATACAAGCTCCCAATGGATCCAAGGAACATACCCAGTCCCTACTAGCGACGTTCCACCAAAAAGTGCATAGTCCCGGGAAACTCCTGAAGGAGATTGAAGACCACCAGGCAGGCATCTCGACTCCCAACAACGATCCAACTACCGGCACCCCCCGGCCCACTGTGGCGGCAGGACACCACGTCAAGACCGAAGCAGATACCGCCATCGCAGACGAAGAGGCAGAGGACTCAGATTGGTCTGCTGATCACCATGAAGGGCGTAGTAGGGCGCTGCACCGCGCCCAGCTTCCGACGGGGTATTGCTATGATAATCGCATGCGGTATCATTGTGAAGTGAAGCCTACGCTGGACGTGCATCCGGAAGACCCCAGGCGTGTGTATTATATCTATCGAGAGCTGGGTAGGGCTGGGCTGATTGCTGATGGAGGGGAGTTTCAGGGGCCATTGGTGCCTCAGCCGCTGAAGAGGATTGAGGCGAGAGATGCGACGGAGGCAGAGATCATGTTGGTGCATACCAAGGAGCATTATGAGTTTGTGAAAAGCACGAAGGGTGAGTGAGAAAATGGGTTTTGTTTGTTTTCCTGGCTAACTTGGGGTAGATATGTCGGAGGATGAACTGCTTGAGCTTGAACATACGCGGGACTCTATCTATTTTAATTCGTTGACGTTTACGTCTGCGCTGCTCTCGTGCGGCGGTGCAATTGAGACGTGCAAGGCTGTGGCGGAGGAGCGAGTCAAGAACGCGATTGCGGTGATTCGTCCGCCCGGCCACCATGCCGAGAGCAATAAGACGATGGGATTCTGTCTGTTTAATAATGTCTCTGTGGCTGCGAGGGCATGTCAGCATGTTCTTGGGGACAAGTGTCGCAAGATCATGATACTGGACTGGTAAGTGAAGGCAAAGTTGAAGTTGATGCTTGATATAGACTAATTATGGCTGCAGGGACGTCCATCACGGTATGTGCCGTTTACCAGTATAATATAGCGTGATGCATGTATGGGTCTAACGGTACCAGGCAATGGCGTGCAGAGGATGTTCTACAATGACCCGAACGTACTGTACATCTCGATCCACGTCTACCGGGATGGCAGCTTCTATCCCGGCGGCGACGAGGGCAACTGGGACTACTGCGGTGAAGGCCTTGGTCTAGGGAAGTACGTCGAAACAAACTACAATATCATGATGATATGATCTTTTATGCTCACCGTTGTAGGAACGTCAACATCCCCTGGCCGACACAAGGGATGGGAGACGGCGACTACCTCTATGCCTTCCAGGAAGTTGTTATGCCAATCGGCTACGAGTTTGATCCCGACCTCGTTATCAGTAAGTTGCCGTCATCACTTATCATCAGATAATACATAATGCAGGGTTCCATGTTCCACGTCTAACGGCCTGGTGTCATGTAGTATCCGCCGGCTTCGATGCGGCGGCAGGCGACGAGCTGGGAGGCTGTTTCGTGACACCCCCTTGCTACTCACACATGACACGCATGCTGATGAACCTTGCCAACGGAAAGGTAGCGGTGTGTCTTGAGGGAGGGTATAACTTCCGATCGATCTCCAAGTCAGCACTAGCGGTTACGCGGACATTGATGGGCGAGCCGCCGGATCGGCTGATTGCGCCGTCAGCGTCGCGGCCGGCCGTTGAGACGGTGAGAGAGGTGGCGATGATGCATTCACGGTATTGGAAGTGCATGTATCCGAAGGGTGAGCAAAGAAAGCAAACTAGCAAGGGAAAGCAGACGATGCATGGACGCTTACCTTACCACTTTAGGCCCGTCGTCGAACTTTGCCGGCAACCGTGTACATGGTATGTATGGTGATAACAGGAGAAGAGGGAAGAATGCTAATTTGGTGCTGGGGGTACAGATATCATCCGGCAGTACCAGGCGAAACAGCTGTATGAGGAGCACAAGCTGACGAGCCTGTACATCTACCGGGACACGATCTCGAAGTCGTTTGAGAACCAGGTGCTGGCGAGGTAAGTCTCCTGTCTTCGGCAACTCACGTATTTTATTTATTGCCTTTTGCATCTCGGCAATAAGCGACGACCTGATAACTAACTGGCGGGTGTTACACAGCCAGAACTACGACAAGGTGGACACTCTGCTTGTTATCTTCCACGACCCGTAAGTTCTACCACTGTTACTGCTGTCATTAGTGTATGCATGCTGATAGAGTGTAACTAAACAGGCCCGAGCTGATGGGCATCCCGCACCCGGTGACCAACGTGCTCGAAGCCCACAACACCTGGCTGGTACGTTGACTGCCCACAGACTGTCACAAGCAAGTCCAGAAAGAGGAATGGCTAACAGGGGAACAAAAAAGGCTGATAATGTCAAGGATTACATCTCCTGGGCGGTCGAGCATAACGTGGGCGTTATCGACGTCAACATCCCGAAGCACATCTCAGAAGCCGACGTAAGTGGCACCCACACTATAACATTACATAGTAACCGAGTTAATAATAGCTAATTTTATTAATTAAAATGTAGCAAAATTCACGAAGCTACGAGCGGGAGAGCCCGAACCGGGCCCTTTACTCCGAGCAGCTTGCCGAGTACCTGTGGGAGAACTACATCGAGTGCGTCTATCCCACTGCACTATTATGACCTGCAGCAGTAGTAGTAGGCTGTTACTAACAACCGCAGGACCAACGACACCAGCCGCATCTTCTTCATGGGGGTGGGCGATGCCTTTCTCGGACTGGCCAACCTTCTCATCAACAAAGGTCCGTCTCTATACCTATCCCTTTTATTTCAAATGCGATCCCGCTAACTGGGCAACTAGAGCGAGTCCACACAATGGTCAGTGGCGTGATATGCTTTGTGGCCGAGAACCCCGTCCGCGCCGTCGCCAGCACCACCATCACCTGGCTCTCCAAGTGGTACAAAGAGGTAAGTCTCTTTCTCTCTCTTTCCTACAAAGAAATAGAAAAGACATAAGAGTAACAAGAGCAGAACTCCCTGGTCTTTGTGTCCCACCGGCACATGGTGTGGGAGGGCCAGGAGAACAAGCAGAAGCAGTACAAGCGCTACGGGCGGCTGGTGAAGTCGACGGCGGCGCACACGCTGAACGAGATGCTGGTCAACCACCGCGCGGATGTGTTCAAGTGGATCGAGGAGCGAGTCGAGGCCGGGTCGGAGAGCAGTTCATAGCAGTTCTACTTCTAACTTCCTTCTTCTTAGTTCGCTATTATTATTACATCTAAGTTAGCTTTTGTTGTTCGCTGTTGTCTTGCCTGCATGCGTCCATGCAAAGAGACGATGCAGGCTGCCCGAGTGACCATGCCATGCGCCTGAAACAAAGCCTGCGCCAGCCAGTCAAGACCGCCAGAGGACAGAGTCAAAGACGAGCTTATCTGACGTGAAGGAAGAGAAAAAGCAACGAGAGTCCGGGGTGGCCGTTGGCAGCGCAGTCGTAGCAGTAGAAGTAACAGACCGCAGAGGATTGTCGGTGCAGAGAAGCAGAAGCAGAGAAGCAGCAGACGAGATGTAACCCCCCGACTGCTAGGACGAGGCCCGGCGCTGCCGCTAGACCAGCTAACCAGCTAACCAGCTAACCAGCTAACTAGCTAACCCGCTGCTTGTCTGGTCTCTATAAGCAGCGATCCTGACTGAGGCCGCCAGCCTTTACGAGCCGGCTAGCAAGGCCACAAAGCTTGTCTCCAGCTCTCTCTCTCTCTCTCCGTCTCTTCATCTCAAATTAGAGAGAGTATATGAACGTCCCGCCGGAAATGAGCCTGTCTCGACACGCGACCATCGCCACCGTCCTCGTCCTCTCTGGCCTGTCTTGTCCGTCTTGTCCGTCTTGTCTGCCTCTCGTCCTGTCCCTCTTTCTCCTGTCCATCGCCGCCTCTTCCCATCTTGACTGGCCAGCGCATTCTCCACAGAGCCAAAGAAAAACTCCCGGCCACGCGAGGTCCACTGGTCACCTACTAATAAACTATGTACTTAGCTGCTGGCATACTTTACTCTACGCCTGCGGTCTTGCATCTGACGGCGGATCCACGGTTCGACGCTCGGCCAGCTCCAGGTGGCAGGGTGACATCGAGCAGAGGAGCCAGGGAGGGCCCTTCTGGGCGGTCTCTGGTCTTTTGCCGCCCGACAGAGGCTGCGGGCTGGTTGGTTGGACGGGGCCTTGCTGGCTGGTGCTAGGCTGGCTGGGCTGGGAGGATGCCCGTCTCGGTGATTAGACAGGGGTTGGTGGACATGGAAGACCTGGAGGAAGAGATTTCACAGACACAGAGATGACACTGGGAAGAAGAGACGGGATGGGAGGAACCGGCAGCCAGAACCAGAGAAGGAGGAGGAGGAGGAGAAGAAGAAGAAGAAGAAGAAGAAGAAGCAAAGGAGGCCACGAGCCGCGAGCCATGGAAAGGGATGATAATCTACGGAGCACAGGCAGGCAGGCAAAAAGAATCGTGGATGGACGAGAGTCGCAGGGGCAAAGACAGGCAGCGGAAGGCCTTAGCTCTTTTGCTCCGGCTTTTTTCTCTTTGCTTCTTTTGCTTCCTATTATTACGGTTGCATTAGGCATAATTAGAGCAGGAAATAAGGGCAGAGAGGCAAAGATCGTAATATTAAAGGACGGCGTCTTGCCTGCCTGCGTCTTTCTCTCTCTCGTCCCTTTTCTTCTGTCCGTCTGTCTGTCTCCTGGCCGCCAGTGGTTGTACGAGGAAAAAGCAACGACTGATAAAGAGAAGCAAGAAGCGGGAGAAGCAAAGAGGAAGAACCAGAAGAAGGAGAAGAAGAAGAGAGCTCTCCCCAGGTTCATCTCCAGGTCTATCTCCAGGTCTATCTCCAGGTTGTCTCCAGGTCGATCTCGTCTCCAGGTTTTTGCATCAGCTACATCTATCTACAACACCCAAGGACATCCGGAACAGCAACATCTCAAGCAACATCTGAGCAACATCTCAGCAGCATGGCGGGCACGACAGACGTCTCGCGCGTCGAGGCGCCGGTGACGATGAAGGCCTACTTCATGTGCGCCTTCGCGGCGTTTGGAGGCATCTTCTTCGGCTTCGACTCGGGCTACATCAACGGCGTCATGGGCATGGAGTACTTCATCACCCTCTTCACCGGCCTCAAGAAGTCCGACTTCCCGCCCCCGAACGAAGACAAGTTCTCCCTGCCCTCGTGGCAGAAGTCCCTGATCACCTCGATCCTGTCTGCAGGCACCTTCTTCGGCTCCATCGCTGCAGGAGACCTCGCAGACATCATCGGCCGTCGCACCACCATCATCGCCGGCTGCGGCATCTTCATCATCGGCGTCATCCTCCAGACCGCCTCTGCAGGCCTCAACCTGCTCGTCGCCGGCCGTCTGATCGCTGGCATCGGCGTCGGCTTCGTCTCTGCCATCATCGTGCTGTACATGTCTGAGATCGCCCCGCGCAAGGTCAGAGGCGCCATCGTCTCCGGGTACCAGTTCTGCATCACCGTCGGCCTCCTGCTCGCCTCCTGCGTCGACTACGGCACCCAGTCGCGCCAGGACTCGGGCTCCTATCGCATCCCCATCGCCCTGCAGATGCTCTGGGCGCTCATCCTGGCCGGCGGGCTCTTCCTCCTGCCCGAGTCCCCCCGTTATTTCGTCAAGAAGGGCAAGCTCGAGGATGCGCAGACCGTGCTCGCTCGGCTGCGTGGCCAGGACCGCGACTCAGACTACATCCGCGAAGAGCTCGCTGAGATCGTGGCCAACCACGAGTACGAGATGCAGGCTGTCCCCGCGGGCTACTGGGCCTCCTGGATGCACTGCTTCAGCGGCAGCCTGTTCAACCCGGCCAGCAACATCCGCCGTGTCATCCTCGGAACCGCCCTGCAGATGTTCCAGCAGTTCACGGGTATCAACTTCATCTTCTACTTTGGCACCACCTTCTTCCAGGACCTGGGCACCATCGACAACCCCTTCCTGATCGGCCTGATCACTACCTTGGTCAACGTCTGCTCTACCCCCGTCTCGTTCTGGACCATCGAGCGCTTCGGTCGTCGGGCACTGCTTATCTGGGGTGCTATCGGCATGTTCACGTGTGAGTTCATCGTCGCCATCGTGGGCGTCACGGACGGCGAGAACCGCAAGGCCGTGCAGGGCATGATTGCCTTGATCTGTCTGTACATCTTCTTCTTCGCCTCGACCTGGGGTCCCGGCGCCTGGGTCGTCATCGGCGAAATCTACCCGCTGCCCATCCGTTCCCGAGGTGTCGGTCTCTCTACCGCCTCCAACTGGCTTTGGAACTGCGTAAGTCTTAACTCATCCCCCTCCCCCCTTTTTTTTTTCTCAGTTTGATGCTAACGCAGACTTACAGATCATATCTGTCATCACTCCCTTCTTGGTCGGCACCGACAAGGCCAACCTCGGCGCCAAGGTGTTCTTCATCTGGGGCTCGCTCTGCGTAGGCTGCTTCCTCTACGCCTTCTTCCTCATCCCCGAGACCAAGGGCCTCACCCTCGAGCAGGTCGACAAGATGATGGAGGAGACCACTCCCATCAAGTCCTCCAAGTGGAAGCCTCACACCACCTTTGCCGCTGAGATGGGCCATGTTGCGACCGCCGCTGCTGATGAGAAGAACGCTGTTCTCGATGCTGCTGCCGACTCTGCTGTTTAATTAGAGTCATACAGACTTGGGCCCCATAGTGGACTCTTCTATTCATTTTTACTCCACCTTACTTAATGTCTGCTTACTTATGCTCGGCTGCACCTAGACTTGGGCCTGCAGTCTGCTACGTCCTCTACGAATGAATGCCATTCATATGACCATACATTCTCACATCTATAACCTGTAGAACCGCTCTGTAGAAACCTGTAGCTTAATATATCACTAGTAAGGGATTGCCATGCCGCTCGGCGTTGCGGCTCTCTGATTGGCCCACTGCGGCACGCGACCAACTCCCGCCCGCTTTTCCTTCTCGCCGGCGCATCGCATCTTATCTTCACTTCGCCAACTCTTGGAACCTCATGGCATTAGCCAATATCTATCTACGAGCACCTCGCCAGCCAACTCGCCGTCGCGGCAAAGACCAACCCCAGGCCATGCAGGATGTCCCTACAAAGTAGTATCGACCAGCCACGGACTTGACCGAGCAATACGAACGCTCCACCGCCATCCAACCATTGGCATCCCGTCGCCGGCCACAGCAACCCCAGAATCCGGGGTAGCCAACGAACCAGCATGATCCCAAGACATCAACCTCTCCCTCCCCCTCCCCCCTCACTGCGGCGAGCTTCCATCTCTCGCCATTCTCTTGTCTTCTCCCATCGACACTGATAAATCTGATGGCTGTCTGCGACCCCGGCCGAGGCCCAAGTCGACTCTGCCCGGCTATTCCTGAAGATCTCGCTTCTTCCCTGACACGGCCAAGATGGAACTTGCCATCGACCCTTTGCTTTCAACCGACCCGACCCATTGGCCCGTTCTACGCCCAGCTCTAGCTTAATGTAGACGAGAGAGCATCGACCTGGACCTGGACCTGGACGGCGAGATCTAGCTATGGGTGCTGTCGTGCGTGTGTGCGGGGGTAATTCCGGGCCCCCTTCCAGAGCGTTGAACAAGTCGCGCTTTGTGTACTGATACTGATAGAACGTCCCGAACTATATGCAGATAGTTCCCTATCAGGGGGCGAGAGAGATAAATACCTGGACGGTTCGCCGATCCCCCGGCCTGTGTTTCTTTTTCCCTCTCTCTCTCTCTCTCTCTCTCTCTCTCTCTTTCTTTCAGACGTTTGCATTCAAATATAACCTACTTATCCTGGGATTTTGTTGGAATTGGGCCATTCTTGCTGGTTGGTTGGTATTGATCATGCGGACTGATGAAGAAAAGGCCTCGAAGGGCGGCGCCGCGGACCATGTCGATGATTTGAAGCAGGTTACTACCGCTGACGTCGATGATGATGAAGAGTTCTCGCGCCAGGAACAGCGCAAGATCGTCCACCGCATCGATGCGCGGCTGGTTGTCATTTGTGGTGTGGGATACCTCGTCAGCTTGATGGACAGGACGAACACCTCGGTTGCTGCCATTGCTGGGTGCGTACTGCCTAACATACCTACCTACTTGGCCCTAATCTATAGTCTATACTGACAATGCATAGCATGACCAAAGATCTGGGTCTAAAGATAGGATTTAGATACGTTAGGTTGCCCCCTGACAGTGTACAACCATCTTCTAACGTCATAACTAGTCAATTATCGTCCTGCTGTTCTTCGTCACATACATCGTTGCTCAACCATAGCACGTAGCATCAGAAAATTGGCCCTAGGATATTCATTCCTTCATTGTTTTCACATGGGGGTGTCATCTGATAGTACGTACCCCCTGACTTAATACTGCCATGCTAAAAGAGTATTCTAACATGTATGTCGGACAGGGGTTTGGCTTTGTCAAGGACTGGCAGCAGATGGCCGGCCTGCGAGCATTGCTAGGTTTCCTCGAAGCTGGATTCTTCCCGGGAACAGTATACCTCCTGTCCACCTGGTACTGCCGACGTGAGTCGTCCTTGGATTATACCCCGCTAAACATTACACAAGTTAACAATGCTATAGATGAGGTCCAGAAGCGTTACTCGGTCTTCTACATCATCGGTGCAGTCGCCGGTTCTCTCTCCGGCATCCTTGCATTCGGCCTCAGCCAGATGGAAGGTCTCCAGGGCATCCGTGGCTGGAGATGGATCTTCATCATAGAGGGAGTGGTAAGCCCATTCTACATCCTATCTTCTCCAACGTCATACCCTAACATGTACAGATATCCATCCTCGTGGCTTTCCTCAGCTACATCTTCCTCATTGATTTCCCGGACCGAGCCTCCGGAGCATGGGGATTCCTAAACGAAAAGGAACTCGCCTTCGTCGTGAGACGAGTCAACCGTGACAGAGGAGACGTGCACGTCGAGCCCTTTACCCTAGGCAGATTCCTCCGTCCAGCCCTCGACCTGAAGATATGGGGTTTCGCCTTGATCTTCTTGTACGTTCTACCCTAACGCATACCCAGCTTTCACTCCCTCCCCTTTCTAACATGTTTTATTTCCAGCTGCTCTACCACTGTAACATACGCCATAGCATACTTCCTGCCCATCATCCTAGTGGACGGACTAGGCTTTGGCGTTGGCGAGTCCCAATGTCTAATTGCGCCTCCCTACGCCTTCGCCGCCATAGTAATGTACACCTCTGCCTACGTCGCGGATAAATACCGTATCCGCGCACCCGTCATTGCATTCAACTCGCTCATTACGCTCATCGGGCTGCCCATGGTGGGATTCGGCAAGGGCAGCGCCCTCCGCTACACCGGGGTGTTCCTCGCAACGGCCGGAGCGAATGCAAATATCCCCTTCTGCCATGGCGTATCAGGCCAATAACATCCGTGGCCAGTGGACCAGAGCCCTGGCCAGCGCTACTCTCGTTGGCTTTGGAGGTATCGGGGGCATCGCGGGCAGTCTGGTATTTAGATCCCAGGATGCGCCGGCATATATACCCGGTATCTGGGCTGCAATCACGTAAGTTGATCATTCATCTTCCCTTAACTTTACATAATAACCGTGCTAACACATGTTTGAACGGGTATAGGTCGCAGCTTGTTCTTCTCTTGACTGCAGCGGTGATGAGCTGGTATTTCTGGAGATCCAACAAGAAGGCTGACAGGGGAGAGCTTGTCATCGAGGGGTCGGAGTCTTTCCGTTATACTATTTAATTTAGCGGTAGAAGCGTTAGCGAACGTGAGCGTATTGGATTAGCTCTATTAATGAATTTATTTTATGTCTATACTGTCTGTATTGTTCATCTATTTAGGTCGCTGTCTGTAAACCCTTTCGCGCTAGGCGAGTAAGTGGTTATAAACAACCGAGGCTGAATTTCCCGCTAAAGGCTCGCTTCTATGGTGTAGTGGTAGCACATCGGATTTTGATTCCGACGACGTCAGTTCGATCCTGGCTAGGAGCTATGATTTTTTTTATTTATTTTCACTTTTTTAACTACTTCACCTACCATCTACTAATGTGAAGGTCAATAAGTTTATATCCTGTGAATAGTTTTATGTGTCTCGATAATATCGCAGCTGCTTCGTAATGGCGAACGCGAAGTAGATAACCAGAAGGCCAACCGGCAGCCCGCCAATTGTTGTCTACAGCCTTCGAACCTCAGCATTCAGCCACGCTGACTTGTTACTGGCTCGCCGAGTCTGAACCACAGGTTATACCAACATTGTTTATATTAATGACTACCTTTTGCACACGGTTATCACATGCATATAATTCCATCCAAGTACATAATGATTCGCTCGATACCCTAGAATCAGCAACAATGACACTGGTTATTGAGGCTATGTCTCAGACATCATGAGATATTTACCACATTTTCCAGTACAAGGCCCGACTCGACCCCCTAAGCCCATACAACCGACAACCGTTCCACATCATCCTCGGCCATCCACAGCTTCTACTTTCTTCCAAATGCCTTTGGGAGTAATGCAAAATCCAGGGCCGGCCTCTTCTGGTAAAGTCTCAGAACTCGCCGTGCATCGGTGTTGCTATTCGCTTCCATAGTACAGTAGTATGGAGATCCGCTTGATGATCTGAGTCTGATACCGAAAAGTAGACAATGGTATGGAATATTCGCTGCTACAGTGACGACAGTCGCTGCATCTTTGCTAAGCGTTGCTGTTGTGCCATCCTCTGTTCGACGGAAATAAATAAACTGATTGGTCTTGCGGTGCCGTATAATGTGGGATCCGCGGTCTGGGGGAATGGGCTCAATAAGCCATATATCGGTTGCATTTGGCTTAATTTCAAGGAGTCCATCAAGCGGGCTGATAGTCAAAACGTCGTGATTGTAGTTTTCAAGAATGGTGAAGTTGCCCGTGAGGCAGAGGCAGGTTTGGGCTAAGAAGGCTACCAGGCAGACTGCGGGTAAATTGAAGAGGTGCATGGTGCATACAGGATTCAATTGAATGTGAAAATTGAGCGTGGAGCAGGAGAAGATGTGGAATTTCGAATGTGATTAAGCAAATGGGTAGTAAAAGGCATCCAAACAACTATTTATGTAGAGACCAATTGCTCAACGCCGGATCTTCTTCGACTTTTTCGGCTCCTCCTTTGATTTCTATAAGCGCATGACTTACATACGCTTAGAAATGGAAACTATCGCCAGATGTTGATATCCTACAAAATCCCTAGGCTAGGATAACTGCAGACATAACACATATATTGGCCCCCAGAGAGTTATCAATGCAATATACATTGGTGAGAGTAAGCTTACGCCAAGTATGAGGTGATTAACTAGTTAACTGCAGTTATAACCAGACCGAGACCCTCCCCTTCTTATACAGCCCCTAGCTATGGTCATTAGTCCATTGTATGCAATATAATGTGTGAGAGTAAGCTTACGCCAAGGGCAAGATAGCTAGATAAATAAGTTCTAACTAGGTAGCTAAGTTATGGTAACCTTACTCTATTGATCGGATATCAAATTTACTGGAGGTTCGACATCGATGTTTGACATACAATGTCGCATAGAAGAGGTCTTAGTAGTTGCTCGAGGTTAGCCCCGGAATATTCAAAGTGAGACTACATCTATATTAAGGTAGTTCATGTCCTGCCTTTCGTCTGTGAAGACATACCTAGATATCCTATTCTGGCTTCACTCTCCCAATTCCACAGCGCCTTCGTCTTATATCCAGCAATTACTTCAACACTTCAATCACAAGTTTTGAAAATGCGGTTTGCACTATTGGCGATTGTCATCTCCGCCTTTGTCACCAGCACTTATGCTCAACGTGAATATTACATACGAAACGAACCATCGGGACTCAACGTCACCTGGGACGATGACGATTACATATACATGGAACCTGGTATCAGAAAGTACACTATTTCTGCATGGAACATGTATCCTGTCGCCAGCGATATTAAAAACTGGTTTGCCTTTGGGGCTAGCTATTTCTATCTCCAATTTGACTTTGGCCGTGATGGCGACACCGCCCTGCGTTCGGATGAAGGAAGAATCTTTGAGATTAGAAAAGCCGAGTCCCATTCCTACGTGATCGATGTCCAATCTGTAGACAGTGGGCAACCAACTCTGGCGTGGACGGTTGAAAGAAATTCAACAGACCCTCGGGTATTCTTGAAATTACGGCCGTACATGCGCTTGCCGAGCCAACAATTCACATTCACTCCAAAATGATAGAATGGTATGTTCATCGAGTTTATTGCCGCGTGGACCGTGTTACGACAGCATACCAAATCGGAGTCAAACTTTTGGCTGTCAATGACTATCAACCGTGGTAACATATCCGGGAAGAGAGGGATGGATAACGAACACTTGAAGGGAAGGATGACCGGTCAAACTGTACATAGGTGGCTCCAAGCTGTACATAATTTGTTGCATAGCCAGTGGGATTGTGGGTTACAGCAAGCCTTCAGCCGCCAGCACCCAATGCAAACCCAATGCAACTCTTTTCATGTCCCTCAAAAGGTACTTTAGAAGAGATATCGAAATGCGAACTCACCCTGGCTTTTCTATCTTCGAGCTGTCGGCTATCTTCTCAGCACGGGGCCAGAGCTTTGCACTAGACAGACGCCCCAAGGCCAGATTGGCATCATTTGCACAAGCACTGGCATCATCCTCATCAACCCAATTTGAGCAGAGGATGAACTGGGCTAAAGGGATCCCCACTCACAATACCAAGCCAAGTATTTCAGGGGGTATCTATCATATAAGTGCGATAATAATGTAGTCTCTCGACTCTTCTACCTCCCCACCGGGAGCCGGCTTGACTCCTGCTATGTTGAAAAAGAAATAATTTCAACAGGAGAGTGGACCTTTTCGTACTGCATGTTATCTTCAGCTAGGCCACTAACATTCCACAATTCCGGAGAAGCGGCTCGGTGGCTGCCAGGCGACGAATGTAAGGTACGAGATACGTGCATAACATGCTCGAACCTATCTCGAGTCGGTCTCTGGCAGCCAGAAACATCGTAAAGTGCAACCTCACAGAACAGTATACCCTCGTGGAGGACCATAATCGCCGACATCGTGCATCAGCGCCCCTGATGGATGGCTTCCTGGGAGGACGAGGGGAGGTTATGCCGGTGTTGCTCCCCAAACCGCGCTGGCTAATCCGTTGTGAGAGATACCTAGGTACCTAGGTACCTAGGTAGGTAGGTTGGATTGGAAACCCCCCGGGGCCGGGCCGGCCATCTATGTAGCTTAGGTAATCGCCTGCAACGGAACACAAGTGGTCAAGCATCCAAAGTCCAACCTCCGGCTCCCTCGTCTTGCCGCGCTCTCCCATTCACCAATCCCGTAGTCCGACGAGGTAAGCCTGTCTGTCCTGTCTGTCTGTCGTGTACCCTGGCAGAGAGAGACACGTTTGCCTTGCTGCGTCGCTAACCAACGGGCTAGTTAACTGGGTTGGCAGCGCTGTTGGCTTGCTGTGCTTGCTGTATGCCTCCAAGGTTCCTCACCAGACGGCTTCACATCCCAGCTTCACGCAGGCCTCCCTTATTTCCTACTAGTCCTGCTGCTCTCGTCCGTCCTTCCAGTAGCCAGCCAGTCGCCCTCCCTATACCACCGCCGCTGCTGCTCTTTGGTCAGTTGCCGACTCGTTTCCCTCGTTCATCGATTGCCTGCTTGCAGCTAGGAGCCTCGTTCTATACCACCACGGCAACAGCCACACCCCAATACTCGGAGTCACCGCAGGACAAGTCGAGCTCGACCGTAATGGCGCAGGTCGAGCGTTTGGCTGATAGCCTGGAGAAACCGTCTGTTGACAACCGCACGTATCGAGTCATCAGGTTGCCTAACCAGCTCGAAGCTCTGCTTGTCCATGACCCGGATACAGACAAGGCCAGTGCCTCTGTCAACGTCAACGTAGGGAACTTCTCCGACGACGATGACATGCCTGGCATGGCCCATGCTGTCGAGCATCTGCTCTTCATGGGCACCGAAAAGGTGAGCCCCCTCGCTTCCTGCATGCCTTGATAAATCTACCATTGCTAATAGAGTCCCGTAAATTAGTACCCAAAAGAAAATGACTATAATCAATACCTGGCCGCTCATTCCGGTCACTCAAATGCATACACAGCTGCTACAGAGACAAACTATTTCTTTGAGGTTGCTGCTACCTCCCATCCACGTTCCAAGGCCCCCTCTGCCACGCCGTCCGCTGTGCCGTCTACACCACCATCTCAGGTTCCAACCCCCGGAGGCACCTTGACAGATAAAATGATTCATCTCACCGTCGAGGGGGCTCCAAACAGCGCCAGCTCGTCGATAAGCGATCTGACTCCACCACTATACGGTGCACTTGACCGATTTGCGCAATTCTTTATTGCCCCTCTTTTCCTCCCTTCCACTCTAGACCGTGAGCTCCAGGCTGTCGATTCGGAAAACAAGAAGAACCTGCAGAGTGACCCGTGGCGTATGTTACAGCTAAATAAGTCCCTAGCCAACCCAAAGCACCCTTACAGCCACTTTTCAACCGGAAACCTGAAGACTCTGCGTGATGACCCCCAGGCGCGTGGCCTAGATGTCAGGAATGAATTCATGAAGTTCCATGATAAGCACTATTCGGCAAACCGGATGAAGCTGGTTGTCCTGGGAAGAGAGCCGTTGGATGAATTGGAGGCATGGGTTGCGGAGTTGTTTGCGGATGTCAAGAACAAGGACCTCCCACAGAATCGGTGGGATGATATCGAAGTGTTCGAAAAGGACAACCTGCTCAAGATGGTCTTTGCCAAGCCGGTGATGGACAGCAGAACACTGGATATCTATTTCCCTTACCCTGATGAGGAAGACTTGTATGAGTCCCAGCCTAGCCGGTATATCAGCCACTTGATCGGGCACGAAGGCCCCGGCAGTATCCTGGCCTACATCAAATCCAAGGGATGGGCAACTGAACTCTCTGCTGGTGCAACCCCCCTCTGCCCTGGATCATCTCTATTCAACATTTCCATTCGTTTGACAGAGGATGGACTTCAGCATTACCAAGAGGTCATCAAGATCATCTTCCAGTACATTTCTCTGATTAAGGAGCGAGCACCTGAGCAGTGGATCTTCGATGAGATGAAGAACCTTTCTGAAGTAGACTTCAAATTCAAACAGAAGTCTCCTGCCAGCAAATTTACCAGCAGCCTTAGTAGTGTCATGCAGAAACCATACCCTCGCGAATGGCTCCTGAGCGGTTCGAGCTTGCTGCGCAAATTCGAGCCGGAACTTATCACAAAGGGCCTCTCGTACCTTAGGGCGGACACCTTCAATATCGAGATCGTATCTCAGCACTTCCCTGGAGGCTGGGACAAGAAAGAGAAGTGGTACGGCACCGAATACAAGGTGGAAAAGGTCCCAGAGGACCTCCTATCTGAGATTCGCCGTTCCCTGGAGACATCTATCGGCAGAACGCCAGAACTGCACATGCCCCATAAGAACGAATTTGTCCCAACTAGGCTAGATGTAGAGAAGAAGGAAGTTGACGAACCTGCCAAGCGACCGAGCCTGATTCGAAGAGATGATCAGGTCAGGACATGGTTCAAAAAGGATGATACTTTCTGGGTCCCCAAGGCAGCTCTGGAAATCACTCTACGAACCCCTCTCGTTTACGCGACCCCTGGAAATAATGTGATGGCCAAGCTCTACTGCAGCTTAGTCAGGGATGCCCTGACAGAGTACTCGTATGATGCTGAGCTCGCTGGCCTGGACTATGACTTGTCTCCAAGCGTTTTCGGCTTGGAGGTAGCAATTGTTGGCTACAACGATAAGATGGCAGTCTTGCTTGAGAAGGTCCTTACCATCATGCGCGACCTCGAGATCAAACCGGACCGATTCCGGATTGTCAAGGAGCGTATGGCTCGTGGATATAAGAACGCAGACTACCAACTACCATACTACCAAGTTGGAAGTTTCACGAGATACTTAACTGCAGAGAAAGCTTGGATCAACGAGCAACTGGCCCCTGAACTGGAACACATTCAACTTGAGGATGTTGCGGCCTTTTACCCACAGTTGCTTCGCCAGACACACATCGAAGTTCTTGCTCACGGCAACTTGTACAAGGAAGATGCCTTGAAGCTTACTGACCTCATTGAATCAACCCTCAAGCCCAGAGTCCTTCCACAGTCTCAGTGGCACGTGCGCAGAAACATGATCATCCCTCCCGGTAGCAATTACATCTACGAGGAGACTCTCAAGGATCCTGCCAACATCAACCACTGCATTGAGTATTATCTCTTCGTCGGAGCTTTGACTGATCCACAGCTACGTGCTAAATGCTTGCTGTTCGGCCAAATGACGAACGAGCCAGCATTTGATCAGCTACGCACCAAAGAACAGCTTGGATATGTTGTCTGGAGCGGTGCTCGTTACTCATCCACCACTCTGGGCTACCGTGTCATCATCCAAAGTGAACGAGACAATCAATACCTTGAATCTCGAATCGATTCCTTCCTTGAAGGCTTCGGGAAGGCCCTCACATCTATGTCTGGTGAAGAATTTGAGGGTCACAGACGAAGCATCATCAACAAGCGGTTGGAAAAGCTGAAGAACCTAAGTTCCGAAACCAGTCGTTTCTGGTCTCATATCGGCTCCGAATATTTCGATTTCACACAGCATGAGATCGACGCTGCCGTGTTGGAGGATATAACCAAGGATGACATCATTGCATTTTACCGCCAGTACATTGACCCCAGCTCACCTACCCGTGCTAAGCTATCCGTTCACATGAAGGCTCAAGCAAGCGCAAGCCTCGTTGCTTCCGCAGAGCAAAAGAGCGCCGTCCTCGCGAAGATTGAGCAATTCCTCGGCTCTGCCGGAGCTCTAGTCGATACCGAAAAGTTTAAGGAGGCGTTCAAGGACATCACTATCTCCAGCAACAACCTGGATGGCATCATTTCCACCGTACACAACCACCTCACCTCTGTGCTACAGATGGCCGAAGACGAAGCCACGAAGCTCCTAGAGCCCGCAAAGGGTGCTTTACCAGCCTTACTCGCCCAGGCCGGCATCAAGACTATGACAAAGAGTGACAAGGAATCCAACTCAGATGAAAATTCAGCCCCAACCGCCAATGGAGCCTCCAATAACGCAGACAAGCCATCCAGCCGTAAACCAATATACATCACCAACGTCCCTGAATTCAAGGCTCGTCTCAGTGTAAGCCCCGCAACGGTCCCGGTCGTCGATCTGTCTGAATTCGAAGACTTTGACCCAAAACTATAAGACCCGAGCAAAGACAACGAAAGAACCTCCAAATCTAATAGATAGGGTATATAAAATCTATTCTACATCTGAAATTAGACTTTTCTTTTCTGCTTGGATAGGTAATCACTTGACGTGACTGGGGTATGTTTGTATGTATACTTACGGAGGCGATTTTTGATCTGGGCATATCTTTCAATAGGTGGCGCCATGGAGGGTGTGGTATGGATGCTCTAGGTAGACGGCTTCCGTGTTCGAGATGCATTGTGTGTGTAGAGTGGTAATTGATACGTTTGTTTAGTTTGCAATTTCTCTATTATTCCCCCTGTTCGATCTTTTCAACTATACGGGCCAGACGATGATTATCAACGAATCAGGTCAAACCTAGGACGGCGGCCAAATTTTGAACAGCGAAACAATCGACTCAGCACTTGACGGTGGCGAGGAGTTCAACGCAACCTAAGGAAGCCTGTGAACTTTCTTTTTATCTACCCATTTGCATTGATCTGTATGTTGCAGGATACTTTTGTCACAAATACACTTTTTCATGCCTTGGTAACTGACAATTCTAAATTTATGCAATAGATCGCGAACCAAATCTGCAGCAACAGTACAGACAGAACGGTGTCTGGAAGACTTGGTTGCTCCGGATTTAATAATCAAATAATGTGGAAGCTATCCCCTTTCCGCTCGTTATTTCATCTCCCTATTCGCAGCGGATTGACCCGAGGTTCTCGAGGTTTCATGAACTCAACGGTGCTTAGGGGTGAAAACGCGGTACATGATACCAGTTCGTGCAGTCCTCTATCAGATTCTTTGAATTGGACTATAACCTGATAAAATAACAGAGTTGAATACGCATGGTCGGGACGAGCTATTCAGATATACCTCTGGACGGTGGTTGATCAATGAGAAACATCAGCTTGACCAGCGTTTTGTGGAATTCAGCATTGACATGCTATGCTCCCGTGCTGCTGCTATATTTGGACCTAAAACGAAATGTGTGCGGGTTGTCAAGATCGAGGGAAATTCTAACAAGGCCTTTCTTCTTACAATGGATGATGGGAACGAAGTGATAGCGAAGATCCCCTGTCCCAATGCTGGAGCTCCATTCCTAACAACAGCCTCCGAGGTAGCAACATTGAGGTTTTGTAAGCTTTCCACCGATACTATTCTTTTTGATATACTTATATCGTGGTGAATAGTGCGATCTCGCATATCAATTCGAGTACCCGAAGTATATGCCTGGGACTCAGACTCATCAAACCCGGTGGGAGCAGAATATATCATTATGGAAAAGATCTGTGGAGTTGCTCTTGCAGAGATATGGGAGTCAATGAATTCATTGCAACGCTACGAGATAATTAACCAAATTGTGAAAATGGAAACAGAATTTAGGAGCTTAAAATTACCAGCATACGGCAGACTCTTCCTGCGAGATTCCCTACCACCCGAATACCATCATTATCCACTCCCCTCGGATTTGGACCCAGATGGCTTGTTCTGCATTGGCCCATCGAACAGTCCACTTTTGTGTCATAATAAGCCTACAGATGTATCAAAATCTATTGTTGGGCCATGTGAGTCTAAAATTCTATAATTCTAACGCGACGAATATTCTGTTATCTAATATTGTTAAGGGGATACGATTTCGGATTTTGCGCTATCTATACCATAGAAAGAACTAGCCCTGATTGCTATGGAGAGGGATAGAATTCAATCTCTTCTTAACCGGTTCGATACTCACCAGTCTGTCGACGAGTATTCTGATCTATTACAAAAGGCGACACAGGTACTTCCCTACCTATCAAAGGACCTAGAGGTGCTTAAATGGTCAGATCCAGTCATCTGGCATAACGACCTCCATTTCGGGAATATATATATTTCTCCTAACGATCCGACTATAATTCAAGGCGTGATTGACTGGCAGTCAATTGAAGCAAGCCCACTATTTACGCAGGTGCAGTTTCCTGAGTTCCTCCGGCCACCAAAAAGTTACTGCCCGGGAACGGAGATACCCGAATTACCAGATAATTTTGACGCCTTAGACCCTGAGGAGAAAGAGACCGCTAAGGTAGAGCATGCTCTAGCTACTCAGTCGAAGTACTATGAAATGTACTGCCTTGGGTACAATATACCTGCATATAATGCGATGAAACTGGATCGACGGCTATGGGAACCTTTTGTTTGTTGCGAACTTCCCCCAACAGGATTCTTAGTTCCACTACGAAACTCTCTTATTCGGATTTTCCAAGACTGGAATCTCCTTGGATTTTCGGGTAGCTGTCCGTTTGAATTTACTAAGGAAGACTTAAAAAAGCACAACAAGCAAGTCCAACGAACGCTATGAGGATAACTGTTATTTGTTAGATATTATCAAAGGCCAACTTCGCACCGATGACAACGGCTGGGTCCCAATCGAGAGGTGGGAGGCAACAAACAAGATGAACGAGTATCTTTTTGATACTTACATGAAGACCATGAGCGAAGAGACGTCACCGGAGATGGCGAACAAGGCTTGGCCCATTCCTAATGTGTGATGGGCTGTCTGGGCACCTTCATGTCAACGAGAAAGGCTATGCCGCCCATTAGGTGCTTAGGTAACTAAGATTCTAAGCCTCTAGCTTTCTTATGAAGATGGTTACTCCGTACTCTCCCTAGCATAACTATCTAGATAGTTATATGATACATCCCTATCGCCGACTCCTACTCCTTATACCTAGTCAACTGCAGAAACACCTGCATCAATAAGCTGCTGTAGTAGCCGGCGTGCCGTTATCATAATGGATCGAATTTCCCTCCAATCATAGGTAATAGGAAGGCCGGTTGCAAGGAGAGAGTTGCTCTTCGCAATTGCAGTAAATACCTTGGTGTTTCCAACGGCGACAATAACTCTGTTCATCCTGATGTTTCATCCCCTCAACGCAACGACTCTTCTTCCAGAGACACGCCTTTAGCTGACATGGCCTCCAAACGCAAGGCAGACGACCCCAAGCAGGACGACCCCATGGATAAGCTGCGTCAGAAGCTCCGTCGAATGAAAGAGGCCCGCTCCTAACGCGTCTCGTTGCCTCCCAAGTCAGACCCCCCAGCTCTGCTCCAGCCCGACGATCACAAGGGCAATCGCGTCGCCAAGGGTCCAGCGTATCCTCATGTCTTCGACACTCTGACCAACCGCATTATCGATGACTATCAACGCAGTGCTGTCGACGACTACACCTTCGCCCAACGCATTCTTCAGGCCGGCATGTACACCGAAGTATATTATAATGATCTTATCAAACATATGGCCGACAGGATTGCTCACCAACAGAGAGTCGCGGGCTCAAGCTGTACCACCGACACGACAGGATATATCTCTCAGTTGGGAGGTAGGTCAAGACGATATGCCAGCTGCCAATGCGTTCGGTAACTCGAAATGGGCCGACTCGTTGAGATAGTTTCCTGCCAAGTAACCTGGTCGAGGGAATGTTGTAGCCCTTATGCAAGTTCAGGTATACCAGGTCGCCCGGCGCGAAGGATTGTGTTGCGGTCATAAAGATAGGTAGTGCCTTAGAGGGTAGTAGTAATAACTTGGCTGCTTTTGCCTCTGGTATGGTGATTTGTTACAAAGTAGATAGAAAGGTGAGAAAGGGGCGAATTCGCGCTAGATAGAATAGTAGGATATTGCCTACTGCTGGTAGACAAACTCTGAGAATGATAACTAGGTAGCTAGCGATGCTAGAGGTCTTGTTATATTCGTAGATAGTAATAAGCTGGCGATTGTAGATAAAGATACTACGGGAAAGGTTGCCAGTATTATTAGTATCAAGGCTTGATAGCTCTGTGCCTCAGACAGCCTCAATATAAACTGCTGCCCAGTGAGAGAGTCTGCGGCGTCAACCCTGCAGGTGAAGTCCTGTCTGCTGGGCAATACCTTTTGGAGTAGTGACAAGGGCGTTCGTATCTGGAATCCGAACATGAGAGCGTGTGGTGAGTGTTAGCATTTACTCCGCTGGTATCTTGTGAGGCGAACGCTATCAGAAGAACACGGCAAACAGCCGGTTGAATCCATGCTTCCTTAACACAGCAGTGGAGGATAAGCGGAATTAGTATAGATACTCGGGTATTTCTCGAGCTGGTAAGACTCCAGGTGGGTAATCGGAGCTAGTTAGGGTACGTATCTTCCCTTTTGGCCCAGCAGTTTGACGGAACTTTTCTCCCCACTCATTTCCAGTACTCCTTCATAAGGTACCTGGATGAGCTGGGGGTAGTCGAGTGTAGACTGTCCAAGAGTTGACGGAGCTTGCTGCTGTGCGTACGCGGTCACAAATGGGGCAATATTTTGTATCCATCGCATGTCCCAATGCATCCTATGAGCATCTTCCAGTAGAGGTCCGGAATTTTCGGATAGTCAACTCCTCTTCTAGAAAGGGATAGCTATATGGTCTTCCCGGTGTATCCAGAGAGAGGAAGCTCTCCCCTTTCATAGAAGGCACATCATCTCGTGCAATATATAATATCAGCTATATGAAATTGTAATAGGCGGGTCTGGGAGCCGATCACTGTCTGCGACTAGGGAAGTGCTGTGCGCTAGAGGATAATCTTCCACAAGGATGAATTGTGGTAAACTTGCGGCACTTGATTTTGACGAAGATGGAGGCCTCTAAACTCCACATGCTACATTATGCCCTTATATACTTAATTGTAGCCGTGAATTGCGGAGTCGTCACTTTGAATCTTCACCAGTTATTGAAGTGACAGTGAAGATAGGGTTCGGGGCCGTAAACTCTAATTTGAGTGGAGACATAGTCACATGATGAATATTATTACGTAATCATAAACGGATAATTTAATATCCGTGTATCAGTCACCTGACTAGAGCTTTGACCCGTTGGCCTACCAACTGATAGGAGCAAGCAGAAAAGGCACGACCGAAAGCTCGGGGCTGCAAACATCAAGAAAACAAATTGGTGCATCCACTATAGAATCAACGGCAATACAGAGTGACCGATAGGACGTGGGAAGCGCGATTGTCCACGATATACCAACCACCATGTCCGCCGTGTCCCCGATATCGTTGCAAAGCTCACGACCGTAAGTTGTCTTACTGGAAGCTACCGCCAACCCAAAAAGCATTTTACTGGTCAAAATGCAGTATTTGCGCGGACCATGCCATTTCTGATATTTACTGACATATCTTTACTTCAGACCTATCATACCCGAATCATTCTCCGCAAACCAACCAAAGACCATCAGACTATATCCTCTATCAAACTACACATTCGGCACCAAGGAGACGCAACCTGAGGAAGACCCCTCAGTGCTCGCGCGCCTAAAGCGTTTAGAAGAGCACTATGAGCAGTATGGAATGCGCCGTACTTGTGAGGGCGTACTAGTGTGTCACGAACATAACCATCCACATGTTCTCATGCTACAAATTGCAAATGCTTTCTTCAAATTGTAAGCATTTAACCCGAGTCATGGCATTCTGTGATTGAGCTTGCTGACAGCTTTTCATAATAGGCCTGGCGACTACCTACAACATTCGGATGACGAGATCGAGGGGTTCAAGGCGAGGTTAAATGAAAGACTTGCGCCGGTTGGGTCACAATTCACTGGCGAAGGTGTCAATGAAGATTGGGAAGTCGGTGACACTCTGGCACAATGGTGGCGGCCAAACTTCGAGACATTTATGTACCCTTTCCTACCGGGGCATGTTACTCGACCGAAGGAGTGTAAAAAGTTATATTTTCTCCAGCTTCCCAAAAAGAGTATGCCACACCTCATTTTGAGCGCATGAATTTCAGGATTTGAGATAAGACCACAACACTAACGCTCCCTATAGAGGTTCTCTCGGTCCCCAAGAACATGAAATTACTTGCGGTACCTCTCTTCGAATTATACGACAACACCGCACGTTATGGGCCCCAGCTTTCAGCAATACCTCACCTATTATCTCGGTATAACTTTGAGTTTGTTGATGAGAACGATAATGTTGTGGCTGTTACTCCTGGCCACCAGACTAGCAATGGAATACATCCAAAGAGCAAAGTGTTGGCAGGTGGAGAAGACACAGCGAATGGACAAGACATCGGGATGGATGAATTCGCTCCAGGTGACCAGGAGTAATTTGGTTATTTCTTTGTTTATTTAGTTCCATTTGCTGGTAGATTTCTAGCCTGGGCCGCTCATGCGCTTGTTTTATTTCTTTTTTTCTTTTCATTTTTTTTTTTTTTTTTTTCAAAATTACTATATTGACGGTTTCTTCTTTTTCATGGGATGGTTCGAACAAATATGGAGAATTTAACCGTTAAGTTTAGAATTATCAAATTATTAGTGAAGGCTATTGTCCTCGCATCTCCATGATTTCCAATCGTGTCGGTCAAATATAACCCAGTATATATTCTACTCAAGTTGTTTGGTTAGCGTTTATATCACTTCGGTGTTGGTGTTACCAGCAGATGAAATTAAGCGCTAAGCCGAGGCTGAAGAGACATTTATTCCTTGGTGACGTCGTTCCTGGTTCCGCAATCACCAACAACACTACACTTTGTATAATGCAATAATTACACCAGCTATCATATACTCTGCTGTCTGTGGCTCTATGGGCCTTACTCTTAAATCGCCAGCTTAGATTTATACCCACTGAACTCGGGCACGCAGCATGCTTCTCATCGGCTTAACTGGCTCGATAGCGACCGGCAAATCGACCGTATCGTCCCTCCTCTCCTCTTCCCCCTACAACATCCCCATAATCGATGCAGATGTGCTGGCCCGAAAAGTTGTCGAGCCTGGGACTGCCGGGTATCGTGCTATAGTCGACTACTTTGGACCTACAACTCCTGATCTGCTACTCCCCGAGGAACAACCCGGTAAAGGGCGGCCCTTAAACAGACCAGTCCTTGGCAGACGAGTATTTGGCGACTCTCCAGAGCGAAAAAAGGACCGATCTGTCCTTAATGGAATTGTGCATCCTGCTGTGAGATGGGAGATGTATCGAGCCTTACTTTGGTACTACTTACATGGACACTGGGCTGTCGTTTTGGATGTTCCTCTTCTTTTCGAGAGTGGATTGGATGCTCTTTGCGGGACTGTTATTGTTGTTGGAGTCAAAGACCCAGCTGTTCAGATGCAGAGACTGCGTGCCAGGGATCTTCATCTTAGTGCTGAAGATGCAGAGAATCGTGTGAGGAGTCAAGGAGACGTACAGGGAAAAATTGAGAGGGCAGAGTTCAGAGGAACCGAGAATGCAAGAGGTGTTATTGTCTGGAATGATGGAGATAAGTCGGAGTTGGAAGTCGAGGTTAGGCGAGCAATTGCCCATATCAATTCCACAAGCCCGCAGTGGTGGGCGTGGGTGTTACTACTGGTTCCTCCGTTAGGGGTTGGAGTAGCTGCATGGAACCTGGCCAGAAATTATAGGGAGAAGGCAAGGTGGGAAGAGAAGCAGCGGAGCGACAAGGCAAAGCTGTAATGGAAACAGCAAGTTCTATATATTCTCTAAGTCATATGTAATACATAGCGCAGTTTGTGACAGTAGTAACAACTGGGTATCGTTAAAATAGAAGAACATTTATGATGCCAAACAATCCATGATGCTGCCAACGTTTAAAATACGCTCAAAATAGATTTAGTTGGTCAGAAAATTCATATATTTCCCAAGGGAGAAAGGAAGTGACTTATTATCGATTCTTCCAATTCTTCCCTTTACTTGATGCATTCCCGCTGATGCCTCCTGATGATATTCTGCCTATTTTAACGGCACGACTAAGATTGACTTTCTTTGCGCTGCTTCCAGCATTTGAGTCTGTTTTAGGCGTTTCTGACGGTTCAGGAGTCTAAGGAAGTCTGCGTAAGCTGCTAACTCCAAAATCCAGAATTTGACTAAGTCCAAAAAATATTTGGGGCACTCACCTCTGTTTGGCATTTCTTCTTGAAACCCCCATAGCTTTTCCTCCCTGTATACGTAGTTTCAATGCTATCATTTTCTTCGTCTTTTATTTTGCCTATTGAATTTCGGGGTGTTGCGAACTTTAAAGCCCCAGGAGGGTATTCTAACACCCATTGAGTTTCTCCCGCATCCGCGGCTTGTCGTGCTATAGCCGCTGACCTTTTACTATCCTCGGCTCGAATTGCAGCTGATATCGCTTCCATATCAGAGCTGTTCGATAGTGCTATGGAAGATTCGGAGGGTGAATCTTCAGCAAGTTTTCGTCGCTTTGAGCTTGGGGAAGATATATCTTCGGCGCGCTTGCGGCCTGAGGGAGATCCTGAGGGTGATTGAGCTGGGGTTGAGTTATTGCTAGCTCCGGAAGCGGCTGCTCGTTGCATAAACTAGTTGAGAATGTTAGAATCAATTCTGGAAGAAGTTATAGAACAGTACAAACCTTCATTGTGAGCAGCCTCGAGGACATACCCTTTGGTTGCGACATGGTTACAGATTCTATAGTTAGTAACAGTCGCCTAGTGCAGATATATCGATTGGATATTCCTAAAGAGCCCTTGAACACTATTAAAGTGTATGATTATTATTTCTCGGAGCAGTGTCCTTTCTCTTCGCCATTTCTATTTATTTGAGATCTTGATGCCGAAGCGCGATAAATAAATTTTAATATTCTGCCAAGCGTCGTCGCTTGCGCGCTTAACTAGTTAAAGCGGCAACACTCAAACCAGCCGACCTCTCATATCGAAACAAATCAAATCCACCCATCTTCAACAACTGCGAGGACAGCTTGCATCCGGACCGCTAGAATGTTGTCGTCTACACGATCACGACTGTGCCTTTTCGCGGCGCAGTCGTCCCGTTACGCTCAGCGAGCCACATACACCTCGACGGTCCCTCTTTTGAGCGAAAATACTATTCCCACGAACAACCCAAACCCCCCGAAGCCGGTTACGAGCATATCCGAGACCAATGCCAGAGAGCCTGCATCAATGCAAGAGACAGTTGAGCAGGCGCAGAAGCAACTATCCATGCAAGCCCCAAACCGAGCAACTACTTGGGCGAAGAGCCAGCAAGAGCGGTCCAAGGCCATGGCTGGTCCACGATTCGAACAGACAATCATCGATTTCCAGGTCAGTCAATTGATTATGGGCGTTTTCCGGAGATATAGATGGAATAATTAAGAGATTCTGTGTCAATTGGGTACTCTACGTGTCGTTTTGGTGGATTGTGAACTAATTAGTGATAAAAATACAGCCTCAACCGTATGCCGCCATTGATCTAATCCACAAACAGCCCGTACGATGGACAAAGGAGAGAGTCGTATCGTGTGACGGCGGTGGTGGCCCACTCGGTCATCCCAGGATTTACATCAACACTGACAAACCCCAAATATGTCCTTGCGAATACTGTGGCCTCCCTTTCGTGAGTGACTCATCCGAATATTCAAGGCCATGTCTATTTAATTACATTTAATTACGTTTAACTGACACGTATAACTCTATAGGCAAATGAACACCACCGTGCAGTCCTCGAGGCTCAGCCAAGAACCTCATACCCACTTGAGGCTATTGGGGATGCTGCTGAGATCAACGAAACGCAACGTATTACTCCATCTGGCTTTGAGCAACGATAGGTTTAATTCATAGTGTGACCATTTCATATTACTGTTTCACAAATCAAGTTTCTGTATTCATTATGTACATCTCACCAATGTATCTTTGGTTTCATTTAGATTATTCTTGTGAATACAAAGGTTAGAGCAACCTCAGCCCACGGATATCCCAGAATGTCAAGTGTAGACACAAGCATAAATTGTCATGATTCAATATGGTTCTTTAATATGAAGCCATTGGTCGGCATAGATGGCAGTCACTATTGTTACAGCTGCGACTTAACCCAGTTAGGCTTTCTCCTCTCTCGGAATGCAGCAAGGCCTGGAAAGAACACCAGGTTAGCGAAGAAATGAACAAATGGAGACGTACGGAAGAATTCTGCCTTACCCTCAGCCAAATTCTCGCCGCCATAAAGCTTTCTGTCATACTGAGCCCTGATGTTTGCGACAGCAACTTCCACGTTTCCTGTTTCCCAAGCTTCTCTAAGCCCAGCCTTGGTGATGATAAGAGCATCAGGGCTAAGTTGAGAAATCTCTCTAGCAAGCTCCAATGTCTCTTCGATCAATGACTCATGAGTTTTGGATATACGGTTCACGAACTGCCACGCTTTCCCTTCCTCGGGAGAGACTACTCGGCCTGTCATGGCAATCTCAGATGCAATCTGAAGGCCGACGATACGCATCAAACGTGCTAATCCACCAGCAGCAGCATAGACACCACGTTTCGCTTCAGGTAGAGAGAACCGAGCCTTTGGTGACGCAACAACCATGTCACTGATCAAGAACGATTAGTATAGATCGGCTATCGGTAGGGTACTAGGCTGGTAAACATGCCAATTTAAGCAAATCTCAAAGCCGCCGCCAAACGCAAACCCGTTAACTGCGGCAATGATAGGTTTCTTTCCTCTCCTCTGGCTAATACCTGCGAATCCTGACCGGGGATGGCCGGTCAAATACGGCTCTGGGGGCGGGTTTATTGCATTTTGTTCAATTTCTATGAGGTCTTGTCCGGCACAGAATGCCTTGTCACCTGCCCCAGTGATGATAGCAACTTGCATGGAACCTTCATTTTCAAACCAAGTCCAAAGTTTCTCAAAGTCCCAATGGCCCTGAAATGGGATGGAGTTCATATGTCTGGGACGATTTATAGTTGCTAGTAGTACCCCTTGTTCTGGGTAGGAAAGGGTGTAAAAGGGGGACTCTGGGGGACTGGAGGAGAACGACATAGCTGGAGGTATATTTGTCCGCTGCTTATGAAGCAAGTTGCTTATATAGAGATAGTCTGTGGAGTATATCGCCACCAGACACTGAGCATAGATGTCTGGGTATGTTCTAGCTAGAATGTTGCTGTTGTTGTTCGTCTAGATAACCAGCCAGCGAAGGTCCGTTCGTGCTACTCTCGGCAATTCTTCGGCTCTTTTCCAGCAGGCCGAGGCCCGCTTACATAATCACACCGACACCAACGCTCTTTTGCGACTTTTGTTCGCTTTTTGCGGCATTCAACGACACGATCATCGCAAGGAGTCGAAGAAGACGAGAACAAGCAGCCCCTTCTGCAATGCCCTGTCCAGATGCAAGGTGACGGGAAGACTGGAGAGCTACCCACAGCTGGGGAGCTAGAAAAGTGGTTACTTCTTATGACGTCATACCATTCCTCTTGATATAGAGGAAGTAAACAATCCGGCCCTTGGTGATACTACGTATCAGCTCGGCGGAAAAGATACACAATGTTATGGCCCTTTCGAGTACCCGGTATCATGCCGTACTCATCAGAAGACAAGTGGATGGCAAACCCTCCATACGGGCGCGGGCCAGAGAACGGACCGTTTGGCGAAGTGCAATGGAGAGCGCGTTGTCAATGCCAGCGGGTCGAATATGAAATAAGTCGAAGAGAGCCGCTGGACTCCAAATTTTGCCACTGTAATGGCTGCCAGACATTACACGGTTAGCATACTTAGTTACTGGAGTCTGTGTTTGCTGTTAGTCACTGTGTTTCTAACAATTGCTCAAGGAGCGCCGTTTCAATGGGCGGCCATCTTCCACAAGGACGATGTCCAGTTCGTGCGCGGTCATGATTCTCTATATTTCTATAACAGCTCTACCATGGAGCCAGTGCATAGCCTCCCGTGCAAGATCTCCTGTTCGAACTGCCATTCCTTAATTATGGACGAAGGGAGACATGTCCTGCTCCTTTACCCGGAGCTGATCAAACATGACACCGGGCCAGACCGTCAGAAACTAAAGGAAATCTTCTATCCCAAGTATGACCCCGGCTGATTACGGATTGAAGGGTATCGTGACGCTGGCTAGATGCTGACTCCGGTCTTCCTATGTCGCATATGTTCTATTCGCAGCGAGTAGTTGATATTCCCGACGGAAAGCCGAAGTGGACAGGAATCAACGGTTCGAGTGAGTTGATGGAAGGCGAGCCGTAGTAGACTTGAATCTTCTTTCTGTAGTTAATCCTGTAGCACCCAAAAAGCATCATCACCGGCCTCTTCTCTTCGAAGCTGATAACCAATTCTTCTCTCCTACCGATCGCATATATAACGCCCCCAAAGACTAATATTTTACTTATCGACTCTATTTTTATGTATTTTTATTTGGTTATTTATAGTTAACTGGTAGTTTAGCTAGCCGCCGCCCCGCATTCATGACGTCGTGGTCGCAAACCACATCAAATCGAGCTTCGTGGCTTCACATCTTCCTCATCCTCATCTTCATCCTCGCTTTCTTCCCGGACCTCTTCATCACCGTTCCTTACCTCATCTACCAACTGCTCTCCTCGTCCTCACAGCCGCGCGCGCCTCCTCAACCAGAGCTCCCGCCGTGCTCAGCTATCTGCACACCTGCAATACCCACCATGTCTTGGTTCCAGAAAAGGATCACTCTCCCCAGCCGTTCGCGAGGATCATATCTTGTCACAGACCATATAGTATCTCAGATCCCGGAGATTTCTTCCTACAAGACCGGCATACTTCACCTCTTTGTCCAACACACAAGCTGTGCTCTGAGTCTGAACGAGAACTATGACTCAGACGTGCGGGAGGATATGAGCGACGCTTTGGATAGAATCGCACCTGAAGACCACAAGGGATCTTTGTACCGTCACAGCGCAGAGGGGCCAGATGACATGCCGGTAGGGAGAGTTTCTAATATACTGGAGTGATTTGCAATGACAGAGCTAACCGCTTGTGCTCTTCTATTTCAGGCCCACGTCAAATCCTCTCTGATCGGTGCATCTGTCACAATTCCAATTACGAACGGGCGGCTGGCTACAGGAATGTGGCAGGGAATATGGTACCTGGAATTCCGCACCAGTAAGCATATCCGGAATGTTGTGGCTACGATCCAAGGAGAAAAGGCGTGACTGGAAGGAGACACACAACCCCAGCCCACTCTGTAGCCCGGAGCATAGATAACAGGCAGTTCATTGGTTAGAAGGCTGCGTTGGAAGTTTGGACCGACAGATACCAGACAAAGAGCCTGTAGCAGGCAGCGCAAGAGACTCGAAAGTGATAATTATTACTTCTACTAAATATAAGCGCTTAGAATATAGCTGCCTATAAAATAGTCTGTACCTGGCTCCAATCACATTACATCACAGAACATTTTATCCTTCCCCGCTCAACTCCAGACATGCCCATAACCCCCATTTGTATGTCTCTGAATTTATATTTGAATGCATAGCTGCTGGGAGATGAATATTGTATTCAAAAGGGTTTGGAGTTGACGGAGTTTATCGCAACGTCTGCAATTTGACAAGGCAAGAGCAACCAGGCAGATTTAACTGTTATTATCAAAATCCTAAGGCTAAAACGCAAGTTACGTTAAAAAAAAAAAAAGGAACCACCCATACAAGTCCCAGGTGTTTCAAACCAATCCGAACAATAACCACTATGGTTTCCCAAAAGAAACGACTCTACGTCGCGCTGTATCCTAGTGGAGTTACCAACAATGCAGAACGCGAGTGCAACCATATCCGTCTTGGAAAACATTTAACTCATATTGTTACAGATACCACTGGGCCTTCCTGGTCGGACCCAAAGCCGAGGATGCCGACGAGGTGCCCGGAAAGCGCTACCACGTCAAGAATAATCCGTTTAAGTTATGGGAATACGAAGAAGTTGTACTGCGTAAAGTAAAAAACACCGTCAGCTTGCTTGCACACCTCCTTATTGGGAAGATAGAGGACGAAAATTGGCTGGTCAAGATCCTCCGGGAAGTCCCTATTATCCAGAACGACGAAAGCTGGAGGTGCCGTACTTGGGTTAAAAATGCTCTTGCTGCGATAGAGAGTGATGGAAAGGCAGTTGGGACATCCATACTTGACTGGGAGAAGATTGAAGCAAAAGCGAGGAGTTATGTTGCGGACAAGACCGCTGGAGGCCGATATGACACTCTCGACAAGCTCGAGCATCCCAAGCCTACATGGGATATGCTGGAAAACAAGGAGAAGCTACCATAGGGTCCGAAAAGTTAGGGTTTACTCTGTTTATTAGGCCTGTTTATTGGCAATGGCGTTGATGAGTGGCCAGAATCAAGTATGGCAAGTAAATTCAGTCGTGATAAATCCGTAATATCCCCTAGGTAAAATATCTCGTGGTATAACAGAGTAGGAGGAACGAGAAGCAATGGATATGACAGGTATCCAAATATATCATATCTCTCCCCACCACCTTTGGCGGGTTCTCTCCATCTTCAGCTGTTCGGTATAGGGGTCCAGGAAGTTACCTAATAAGCCTTGCCACTGTGTCTTAGTGTACATGACTTGATATGCAGCCGTATATTCCCAGTAAGATGGGTACCAGCCGGCGAACTCCCAGTCGATGATGCTAACGACTTTTTCCCCTTCAACGAGGATGTTTGATGGATTCAAGTCCCCATGAGTGAAAACGGGCTCTGGCCAGGGGCCATCTTGCATCTCCACCATATCCTTGAGATCCTGCCATTCATCAGGCTCTATCTGCTTTGGCCGATCTTCAGGTGGCTCAAAGCCGTCCCTGAGCCAATAATGGAAGTCCTGGATGGTTTTGAAAGGTCCAAAACGTGGTTGGCAGCGCGCTATTCGAGAGTCATACAAGGAGCCACCTGCAAAGCTGTGCACACCTGTACCAGGAGGCTTTAGTGCCCTTAATTCCTGTAGCATATCCTTCAACTGGGCAAATATCTTCTCACGAGACTCCTCGGAGCATTTACTGAAAGTCGATGCTAGGCTGGCGCCCCGAACCCTTTCCATCACGATATATGCGCGATCCTTGTGGACAAACGCGCAGTGGACCTTGGGGACTGGAATAGAAGTATTCTCAGCAACGAACTTCATGGTTGCAGCCTCTGTTAAATGAACCCATGCGCCTGACTTGACGATCTTGTGTCTTGATATAGGGATGCAGTAGCCATCGCGCTTGAAGAACTTGGCCGTCGTCTTGAGCGCGAGAAGGGTAAGAAAACGCCGTATCCTCGTAGATTTTATTGCTAGCTCTTCCGAGCCTGTATGATCCGTGCCGGTCAACATCTCTTTCTATTTCTCTTCTCCATGACAAGGCCTAGCAAAGGTATAAAAAGAAGGTCACTGTGATGGACGTTGCTTGGAAGGTTGACCACGAAAAAGAAAAAGAAAAAGTAAAGTGACAAGGGTGGGATTCGAACCCACGCCCTCAAGGAGGACCAGAATATCTTGGGTGGTGATCACCGCTGATTATTACTGATTAAGGTTAGCCTTAATCTGGCGCCTTAGACCGCTCGGCCACCTTGCCGGTGTTGATGTGAGAGGCAGACGAAGGTCGCCTGTTGAGGACCCTGGGCGGCTTTCCCACCACGCAAATTTCATCCCCCCCTTGACGCCTGCCCATCAGCCATGCAAGGAGTCTGCAGAAACACCCGGCCAGCGTGGCTTTTCTCGCCATGTCCGGGGTGCTGGCTGGACATGGTGGCTCCTCTTCCTGTCTCCTCCCGAGCTAGATACTGCGGAAGAGACTCTACACCTGGTGGTCACTGGTGACAGAGTTAAAGTCCAGCGCCATGGAGGCTCAACGACAGGTTCGAGGCCTGGGGAGTAACAACCCAGATATCCCCCACCCGGCATCTATAACTCGTCCGATGGTCTCTGAAGAATGGGATTATGTCTCGTCAAGCGGCTATCGTGTCTCCGAACATATGATCAATGAGCCATTTCCGGGAAAGGAGTCGTTTAAGATCATCATGGCCGGCTGTGGTCCAGCTGGAATCGATTTCCTACACCATGCCGTGAAGGAATTTGGGGCGGAGGGTGACTCTGGGGTAGAACTCATATGCTTTGAAAAGAACCATGATGTGGGCGGTACGTGGCTGGAGAATAGATACCCAGGTTGTGCCTGTGATGTGCCAAGCGCAAGCTACCAATTCCCCTGGAGACCGAATCCCGACTGGACAAAGTATTACTCCCCGTCAAAGGAGATCTGGGAATATTTCAAAGAAATAGTTGAGGAGGAGGGTATGATGAAGTATATACGACTACGAACTGCTGTCATTCGAGCTGAATGGGACGAAGGCAGGTCGAAGTGGCTGATTACTGTCCAGGAAAGGGACACAGCTGACGCTGTTGTCGATACCTGGGTCGAAGAGTGCGATTTATTCTTGACAGGGACGGGAATTTTGAAGTGAGCAAAGCACATTTTCTTTTTTACCATCTTGTCTTTTACAGTAAGTATTCTACTTTGGATGCTTATACCTAGACAAAGTGCTTGGAAATGGCCAGTCATACCCGGACTTATGTCCTTCAAAGGCAAACTGTTTCATACCGCACGGTATGATGAAGGATATGACCTAAGAGCCAAGCGGGTTGCTGTTATCGGCTCTGGAAGCTCTGGGGTACAAACAGTGGCAGCTGTATACAATGACGCGGACAGACTGTATACCTGGGTGAGAACTCCTACTTGGATCACCGCTGGATTCGGACCTAAATATGCCGGAACAGGGGGATCAAATTTCTCTTGTGAGTCGGCGTTGTTTTCTGTTAGTGATCTACTGCTAATTTGATACTAGATGACGAAGAACAAAAGAAACTATGGAGGGATGACCCTGAAAAATACAGAACATACAGAAAAATGATCGAAGATGAGCTAAATAGTAGATTTCGATTTGTTCTAAGAAATAGCAAAGAGTCCGATGATGCAAATGAGGTGGGTTGGTTCACTTCCGATAATTAACTACCAATGTGGTCACAATACTAACAAGTATCTTGTATTGATAGTTCTCCTACAAGGAGATGACGTCGAAACTTGGAGATAATCAACGACTTAAAGATACAATAATACCCACTAACTTCAACGTAGGCTGCCGACGCGCCACTCCAGGAAATGGATATCTCGAAGCTCTTGTGGGTGAGAAAACAACCTGCTATACCGAAGCCATCAAGCAAATTACCGAAAAGGGATTCCTAGATCCCGACGGCAAAGAGGTAGAAGTGGATGTCATCATCTGTGCCACAGGATTCGACACTTCATTCCGTCCTCGATTCCCCATCATTGGCCTTGATAAAAAGGATTTAGCTACGCGTTGGGCACGGGAGCCAGACGCTTATGTAGCTGTCAGCGTTCCCAATGTTCCCAATTACTTCACATATACCGGCCCTTACGGGCCACTGGCACAGGGCTCTGTGCTACCCCTGCTTACCTTATACTCCAATTATTTCTTAGCCGTCATCAGGAAGATGCGCAAAGAGCATATTCGCCGCCTAAGCCCCAAGGAGAGCGCGGCTGCTGCGTTTCGCGAACATGCTAAAGTCTACTTGAGACGTACTGCCTGGGCGGATCCGTGCAGCAGTTGGTTCAAACAGGGGAGAAAAGATGGCAACATCGTGATGTGGCCGGGTAGTCGGCTTGCTTTCTTCGACGCTATGCGCGAGCCTAAGTTCGAGGACTATAAAATCGAATATTGGAGTGGGAATCGATGGGGGTATTTGGGTAGTGGGTTTACTACGCAGGAGTTTGACGGTGAGAGTGACATTAGTTACTACTTGAATTGTAGATTGTATCCAGATATGGAGAAGCGAAAGGAAACAAACACAGAAGACCCTTGTTTGTTGGGGAAGGTGGATATCAATGGCCTGCTGCCTTGTACGCCTGGGTATAGCAGTGTACATGCTGGAGCCCGTCCATGAACCTGGAAGAGTGGCATCGAAGATGCATTGTTTAATTGAATCGCATCCTCCTGAACCTAGCACAATGATAAAAGCTCAACTGCGGCTATTTACAAGATTAGAAGAATAACAAAGCTCAAAGAAACGGAAAAATGAGGCTCAATTAAATGCGACTATGGGTTAATAAGAATACAGACATCACTCGTCATGACTCGTTCTATGTGGTATCATAAATTCGTAAGAGCGCGGATGTAAAGGAAGAAAGGCTAGTCCTCAGTGCCACGAGCAAAAAGGAAGTAAGAACAGAGGTGCGGCAAAGAAGGGTTATAATTATGCCCCTGGAGGCGACGTTATTAGGGCATAAGCTTCTCGTGGGCTCAGTCCTAGAAAGCGGACAAGATACGACACACTATTTAGCAAGGGATTAGTAAATGATGTCAAACTGCCATCACGATAAACAAAGGTGGGGAGTATATACCTAGCTTCAGTAGCCAGGCGTTGCTTCTCAGAGAGAAATTCTTCCTGGCAACTATCCCATGTTGCCGTTCGCTTCTTTGGAACTATTGACTTGACTCTTATCTTGAAAGTGCCGCTGACTGGTCTGTGGTCGGATACACGAACTTCATGCCGTCTATATTCCAATTGCTTGATGCGACCGAAGCCACGATATAGAAGCCGATCACACCATGCCGGTGCTCGCTTTTTCTCACTTGAATCGTAATCATCAGTGCCAACATCGTATTTATATGTCGGTGCGAAGGTTATGGGCGCTTCATTGAATGTGCGAAGCCGGAACCCAGGATTCTTGCGCTTTGAGGCCAAAAGTTGATCTCGATCAAGCAGCTTTGGAAGATTATTAGCTTTAACGGCTTCAATCACTGTGTTTCGAGGAATTGAGTCGATGCGGTAATTGAGATCTCCGTTTAATATGCATATTTCATGGTCGAGAATCATCGATCCATCTCCACCACCAGTATAGCGATCAATTCGAGCTGACAGGCTGGGTTCTCTGGGAAGTGCTTCGCTTTCCATAATGGCGGCGATGTCGTTATTTCTGTGTGCTGTCTGGCTTTGGCCAGCCGCTAAGTGGCAGTTAACGAAGCACAGAGAACTATCATCCAGGAGGAATCTGAGAATGAGTGCGCCCTACCGATAACTGATTAGTATCGCCCATCAGAAGACATGATGAGAGGAAAGTATGTACCTTATTTCCATGAAGACCGCCCATTCCACGTTTGACCTCCGCTGCGCTTACGTTCGTAATCCTTTCACGCGTTTCTTGTCTTACGAATACGCAGGTAAACAGTCCAATCAAGCTGGCAGTGTGGAGCAAGACATAGGACTCATTAATCGGCATATGCTCACGGATGCACAATGCAAGATAATCCTTCCAGACACGGTATTGCCTACTCATCCTCTCTTTGTCGGCATCTTTCTTTTTGCCTTTCAGGAAACTCTCTAGAAATATTTGTTAGTGGGCTTAAGTTGTAAACGAAAGTATAGGGTTTACTAACTTGCAGTGATCTTCTTATCTTCAAGGTCAACAAGCTCTTGGAAGCCAAATACCAATATGTCCGGAGCGCTTTCAGGGTGAATAGCGTCTCGAATGAAATTGCTATTTGGTAATTTGCCAGGAACAGTTGCACCAGCATTCCAGGTGACAATTGCGGCTGAAATTTCATTGAATTGGCAGTATTCAACATCTCTACTTTGCATCCTGGCCTCTGCAGTAGGGAGCAATTAGTATGTGTATAGGCACAATTTAAAAGGAGGGATTTACATACCAAGCCAGTCTTCCTCAAGCATGGCATCCCAGATACGAAGATAGTTGTCAACACCAAGTGATATAACTTGGAGCTTGTTAACAGTCCACACTGAGCTCAGGTCAAGTGTTATCCCACAAACCCCATGGTTATGAGCGCTCCAATCCTTTTTGACTGTCCATGGGTTCGTTGTGATATCATATACGTAGATCATGCCAGTCTTATAGCTCGCCCATAGATAGTCGCCGACCATGGCTAGGGAACTAATCTTGTACATACTGACGGTGACAGTGCCAAGATACGCATAGTTTTTTGAACTGTAAATTGTCACTTTGCCATCTGCATGCCCAAGGTATACCATACCACCGTTGCTACTGGTCATTGTTCCGCAGGTCACCTCACTTGAATGGTGTTTACCCAGAGGTGACGTGAGCACTTGAAAGGCGGTATCATGTGCATGGGGTTTGTAGAGCCGCACTTCCTTGCCAGAGGCATACCAGATGGTGTCTCCGACAACCATTGAAAATGTATGCCCCTTTACCATGCGGTCATATGGGTGGTTGTAACTGTATTGAAGGTTCGGGGCACCCGACTCATCTGGGGCCCATATTAGAAGTTTTCCTTCGTCATCCAGAGACCAGAGTTCCTTTTGGTATCTGTATATTCGGATAATTTCCCGACGGGAGTGAGCTGGCCTCGTGTTAACAATCGCCTGAGTCCTGACGTCAACCTCCTGTAGTTCCCCAGCGGTGGTACCAATCCATATGATGGCTCCTTCTTCATCAACAGTTCTGCCTGGTTTAAATGCAATTGCAGAGCCTTTCACTGTCTCACCGTGGTTCAAGCTCATGACCATCTCCCCGGTAACAAGGTCCCAAACCCTAGTATAGAAACCTGTTGTACATGCATATTGTCCACACACATCAAATACCCGAGTATCATACTTAGTGTACACATCTGCGGCTCCAGACCTGAAAAATGGAGGACGACGGTTTGTATGGGTAGCATCCGGATGGATGTCTGTATCAGTGACAACAACGGGTTCTGGGCGGCGTGTGAGCTGTTCTAGAGACTTGATTGCATCATTATCATTGGTAGTTGCAGTGGCTGGCGGTCGATAGCGAGTTGGAGGGTTCGAGGGAGGGGGTGGAGGGCGGTTTGTACTTTGATTTGACTTGACGGAGAGATTACTTGTTTCTCTTCGAGGAGGTGGAGGAGGAGGAGGTGTCGGTTTAGAATATTTAATGCTCAATGACCTAGGGGGCAGTTTGTATGGGCTTTGAGCCTGAGGTTCCACAGCAGATACTACTCGTTGAGGACTGGGTAGATCTTCCCTATGCATCCCCAAAGCAGCCCTTGATGTGTCCAACTTGCGCGGTGGCGCAGGAGAAGGGCGTCGCACCTGCGCATTCTGCCGGACGGGTTGATCACCATCGTCATTTGGCCGATGAAAGGGTTGTGTGATAGAAATAGCGGCTGCAGCTTTAGCGCCGAAGCCTGGAGGTAGACGAGGTGATATTGCATTTGGAACTGTGCCACTGATCAAGTTACCCTTCGTTAGCCTCGATACTGGAGGTCCTTCTCTGGAGATTGGTCCCGGTGAAGGCCGCGGAGCTGGTTGTGACTGTTGCATTCGACTTGTGACATGAGTGTCACCCAGACTCAATGGCTCGGGAACTCCGTTGAGCTTTGGCGTTCCAGGTACTTTCTCCGGGCTGCTAGGAGGGGTACTAAACGGTGATATTCTATCATCCATCGACGTACGCTGGGATGACGGCAGCGGAGCAAGGGTATTCGAACTTGGGGCATCGTGGCCGGGTGAGATACCTGGCTTCCGAAGAGGAATCTTGGGCTTCTCCGCTCTATTTACGGGAGGTGGAACCGAAGTGCTCTTCCCGGTATGCCCAGTACGCTGGCTCACTGGAGTAGTACGTCTGGTGTCTATGGATACGGAGTGTGACTGGCTGTCGAGCGGTGTCGTTGGGCGTGTAGAGGTGCGCGAGGATGACGGAGGGCTGCTGGAGGGCTCATTTGATGTCGCATGACCATTAGGCGCATAAAAAGCGTGGGGTGGGCGGCTCTGGGTATGCGGGAAGCTCTGGCTGTACGAGAAGTTTGGTTGCGGCGGAGCTCGAGACGATTCCGCAGTGTATATAGGCCGTCCAGGAGGCGACGATTGTAAGTTCATAGATAGCGGGCGTGGCTGGGGTCGTCGGGTAGGGGAGTCTCCAGTCTGTTGGGGCCGCAAGAAGCCCTGACTCGGCCGCTGGGAACCACCACATGATGTGTTTGATCGAGGCAGATCTAAAGAAACTCGGCCTGTCGTGACATTATCTGCCGCTGGCGGTGTTTTTAGCAGCGATCCCGGCCCATCCTGAGCTTCACGTTTGGTATGAGAGAGGTTTTCGAAGTGTGATAGCAGCGACGAAACCGGCTTCTGAACAGGTGGAAGTCATGCTAGGTTAGTATCCACAGCTCCTCAACACATAATAATAGAAAGGTAGAACAGGGATTTTGCGACTGACGATAGACTGCTGGTCCGTTCCATCTTCATCATTTGCATTCATAGTTAAACAGCTGGTGGTAGCCGCAAGCTGCGTAGGTCGAATAGAATCACCACCGTTCCAAGGCAGCCGTCCAAGACTGTCTCAGCGACTCGGCCAAAAGCAGTAGCATCCATACACCGGCCAGCAAGGGCGAGACAGGCGATTAAGTAGAGCAGCAGGCGGCGCAGTCGGAGCTAAACATCCCAGAGCCAGGAGAATAAAGGTTTCGAGAGGTATGTCGGTAGGTTGACCAGGGGAGAGGTGTGGTGGTGGCTCATCCGGGGCTTCTCCCAGCTGCGGGAGGGAGAGTATTATTGCAGTTGGACACACCCTATGGCGAGGTGCCTCCGTCTTTGCTTTTTCTGAACGATCGAACCAGGCAGTGAGAGTCGCAGACGGGCGTTTTCATCTCAGCAGCGCAGGCAGCGGAGGAGGCGGTAGTTGGCAGCAGAGCAGCAGCGCGAGGTCGAAAGGTCGAAAGGTCGATCGATGTTTGGTAAATAGTTTATAATGATTTATTTTCGCGGCGGAGACGAGGACGACGACGTCACCAGCGGGCCAGGCACTACTGCCACGCGCCACGGCCGCCCCCACGCAGACCCCTGCCGGCTGCGCAGATGCCACGCACCGTGTCCTAGCAAAAGGCCTAATGCCACGCATAGCTTGGGTGCAGCAGCTACTAGGTTTTATTGATATCCAACATATTTACTATATTTATGTATTAATGAGGTTTAAAGAAGGGCTAGATAGAGTGGCTTGTAAGGGGCCAAAGCTTGAGCTTGTTCTTATCCGTCGTGCCGGTCATTTTATGCATGAATATCAGGGTGTCACCAACGGCTACAGGGTCAAGGAGACAGGGCTGCGAGCTTGATGATATCAGATATCGAGGCCTATGACAAGAACGATGCTCGAAAAGACGTATGTAGAGCATGGCGAGATTACAATGTTAAAATGTTTTTCATAGATCTATTGTTAGCTACATACGGGGTATGGTCTATGAATACAGGGGGTATACGATTGAAAGTGTGCTTCATAGACAATTATGTTACATGCATTATATAGTTAACCAATCTCTAACTCGCTGTATTACTCCAAGTCTAAACCTGATCCCGCCGACATCCATCTAGTAAACCCATGGTAGAATCCTCCATTTGACAATAGCCTTGTACCTATTCCAGTCCTCGCCATACTTCTTAAAGCATGCCCCGTCGTCACGTCGTTCACGATGCATCAGCAGGATGGCAAAGTAAAGCACGTAAAAGTACGTAAAAACAATACCCCAGCCCTTCGCTTCCCCCTGAACTACCTCCCTGCCATCCAACATGGTGAATGTCTGAGCAGCAGCAGCAGCACTCCCGGCTGGCAAGATCATGTAACCGGCTAAACCCGTAGGCCAGCTGAAGGGAGAAGCCTGCAACCAGTCACCAAAATAGTTGATATGGCGGGATATACCCCACCATCCAGATGTCAACAGCTTGGTTCCTCGCTTTGTTTGGATATAAGATAGTCCAGCCACACTTGGATCATCTGGGCGTGTGCGGAAGACGTTCTTCTGGGTGTTTGACGCCCGGAAGATGTACAAGCCCAGAGCAAACACGGCACTGACAATTGCGACGCCCCCCCAACCAAGGTGTACCGGATATACGGAGAGATAGCGGCACTGTGTTGAGTATAGGAACGGAACCCAGACAATATCACCAAACGTGAGCATGAATCCAAGTCCGTCGGTGGTAGTGTCCATCATAGTCAAGATGGCCGATTCCTTGTGCTGGCCGTCAAGAGCATAGTACGTCTGCACGAAGGCCGTAAAGACAATGCTATCCGACAACTGGCCATAAGTACGATATTGCTTTGCGACACATGCGAGATCCAGCAAGACCCAGCCGGTAAGGCCTGGACGCAGCTCTAGCCAGGTCTTCAGATCCACTTCACCGAAAAGCGGAAGAGTGACTCGAGGATTCAACTCGCGGCCGATATAAAAGTCATAAATGGTATTGTCTGTATTTCCACGGATAGCGAGCTCGCGCAGATCCTTGTTAGGATAATTGGTATCCACACTGAAGCTCTTGAGATAGACGTAGACAGAGATTGCATAGGCTATCACAATGTTGGCCGTGAGCAGCTGCACGTAATTGTCCGTGATATACGTCCAGACGAAGAAATTGGCGCCCTGGAAGTATGTTCCAACGGCACACACAGCCAAATGTACAATACTTGATGAGAACGCTATAGTCCGTCAGCTCTTGTCTCCGCGCACAATAAAAAAACAATCACGCACCATTGAAACGGTAATCCAATGCTTTCCCATGGTGAACGAGCTTCGTCCCCTTGATCTCCTGCGCAGGTAGAAATTTCCACAGGACCAAGCTGACCAGATAGTAGCCCAGCATGACAGCGGTAACATTCCAGCTGAAAAGGTCCCAGATGCCACCGGCCGGCCATCCGCTCTCCAGCTTGAACTGCTCCCAGGTAAATGTCTTCGGGTACAGCAGTGACGGCACCGGACAGCCAGTCACATCGTTACACCCGAATGCAAAAAAGAGCAGCAGCACCGGAAGGCCAAATGTTATGGCTGCTGCACCCGGTCTGCAGGAATCAGCCAACCTAAGGACATATAAAATATAACCAGCCGGGGGAGAAACTTACGGTCCGCCAAAGTCATACTTCTTCTCCACAGGTGAGGCTGTCATCTTGAGCCCAGGGATATGTTCTAATTATCCTGATCTCGTTGGTCCAGGCCGATCAAGAAGATTTTTGTTCCCGGCGGCCCAGGTCTATTATTTAAATAGGGGCTGTTTCTGTGTTTCTGGGCGCCTTTTTTTTTTCTTATGGCGCCAGACGGAAGCAGCTGGCTCCGGCGGCCTTATGAATATTCCAGCAGTCGATGTCAGAGGAGATCAAGATGGAGTCGCCGGCCTAGGAGGGGTTGATGTGCCGTTACCATCGTTAACTGGTCATCTACACGTTTACAGGTAGCTAGTTACGGCTGTAGATAAAATCTCTGGCCCCTTTTTGGTCGGGCATGTAGTTATTGAACCTGGGAGCGTGATATAGAAAATGGAAATAGGCTGGAATATTTCAAAATATTCTGATTGAAAGTCTGTGAACCATTTCAGTCCGATCCTTCATCTGCGGCCCTCTTGGCGGGCATCGGATAGTAGGAAATATCAGAATCTCCAGGAGTCGCTGGATGAACTTTTGACAGCCCACCCGAACCCGGTCAAGTTGGTGGGATAACCACTTGTCTGCCATTTTCACGGATTTCCGGTGCACGACAGCCTGTTTCTCTGGGACCATCCTGTGTTGTCAAGATGTGGTATGTCTCATACTCGATGTTGCTGCTCACTTGTGTATGAAATGGCCTCCGCTAACCCGCACGCTTCGTACAGCAAACACGTCCTCAACGCTCAAGTCGCGGTTCGATCACCATGCTGTAATCTCGCCGACTAGACCGATAGCTGGGGGAGTGCCATGCTTATATTGTTAGGCCGTAAATGGTTCGACTGCGCGGACTGTCACAGGGAACAGGAAACCCACCAGCTACTTCCCTCGACAGAGATGGTGAGCTGAAGATACTAAACGTGAGGGAGAATCAGGCATACCTAACGACTATACTAGACCCTTGCTTGCAAGAAGTGTAAGAAGTGTTTTAGAAAGGATGCCAATGAGTTTGAAGAGAGGTGCGTTACTGTCACTCTTTGACCTGTTGGAGGTTGCCTATCTGACATTTTGCTGGATATAGTGACGAGTACTGCCCACATTGCGATAACCATTTCGTTATAGACGCTCTTACGCCAAAGCCAGCTGTGAAGGTAGAAGGAGAGGATCCGCGAAAGGACTCGAGGATGCTGAAGGACGAGAGAGTAAGGGCGGAGGCAGAACGGTCGATATTTGATGTACAGGATGCGCCAAATAGACTTGGATAGAGCGCCCGTGTGATGTTTTACGAAGTACACGATGAATGGTCTCCGCTTCAAAGGGGTAGATACAATCATTTATACCACATAAGAGCAGGCCATAATAGAAGAAGATGAATCTTTTCTCTTACTAAAATTGTATTCGTCTTGACGTTCGTTTACTCCTCAACGCCATAGCCAGCTGCCAGGCTTCAGCTAGAGGAGCCCTCACCAGACTGTCTGGGCAATAGAGTGGCAGTTCCCGTGCCAGGAGTCCTGCCAGTCTTCTTCTTGGCCGCCTCTTCCTGCTTCTCAGCTTCTATGCTCTTAACATGGGCCTCAATCTCGTCGTTAGGGAGAAGCTCCATTGGCTTTCCAGGGGCCATGATGGCAATCTCAATATTCTTCGCACCCGTCTGCACAACCTCGAGAAGGGATTTAATAGTAAGCTGGATAGTAGCCTCCCGGTCCATACCGTCCTTATGATTTCGCTCAAGGAACTCCCTGACGGTCTTGCTAGATCGGCCGATGGCGTTGGCTTTCCTAAATTAGAGCGTTAGCTCATTGCCCACCAATACTATATTTTTTCTAGCCCCGAGTTCAACGCACCATGCAGAGTATATGCCGGAAGGTTCTGTCTGGTAGAGTCGGGGTGTCTTGTCACCGTTATCGAAGCCAACTATCAGCGTACTGATTCCAAAAGGACGGACACCACCACTCTGCGTGTATCGTTGTTGGACACCAGCAACATATTTCGTGATATACTCAATTGTCACCGGATCTTCAACCGTAAGTCGGTGTGACTGAGCCTCTACTCTAGCTTTGTCGACCAATATTCTAGCATCGGCGTTAAGACCAGCAAAGGCGAGACAAACGTGGTTGTCGATGAGACCGATTTTCGAGGGCGTAATTCGTGTATCTTGTAGCTTCATCGCCGAACGCTTCTCGCAGCCGAGCACCACAATGCCCTCACCTTTAACTCCAACAGCGCAAGTGCCTACTCAGTGTCAGTTTAGCGGAACCTGACCCGTATGGCTATAGGCGGAGAGGGTAATGTTTACCTCGCTTGACAGCCTCCAAGGCATACTCTACTTGAAAGACATGTCCATCGGGACTATAGTGACAGGTTAGAGACGAAAAGATCCACTAGAACAGCAGGTGAAGCAATACCTAAAGACTGTAAGATAATTGTTAGCGAGCTGGGGATTGAACCTGGTGGGTGCTCTACTTACCTGAAAGAGCTCTGTCGTATCCTGAAGCCATGCCGAACCTTTAAATTGGCCACCACTCGAAATCAAAAGTCGGTAATAAAAGGATGCAAACAGGCAAGAAGGCTATCGTGGCTTGTATGGCGGGGTGGTAGGTTGGTGCGTTGCTGAGCGAGCTTTCACAGCAGACAGATAGATGAGTTACGGTTGACGTGAGTTGCGGGTGCCTTGGAGCTCCGTCCAAGCAATCCGCGCGCCAAGCTAAGCGCGCGGCTTGGGCGGCCTATTTATTTACACCGCCGCTCGTCTTTCTTCTCTTCCTACGCGACAACTATCTGCCTATATGACTAGAGACCAATTCCATCGCCATAATATTGACCCCCGACAAGAATACTGTGGTTGTCACAAACTTAACTTCTCATTTGTGTGGATTAATCCTGTCCTGGCAAGGGAAACTCTGCAGCCAGTATTTGAAAATGTCCTACAAGTGGACCATTGACGGGTGTTACCGCCTCAGCTCTGAATGCAGACAAATTATCAGAATTAACAGTAAAAAATAGAGCGACGGGCTGAAGCAGATTTTCGATGTTGTGAGTGCTTAGCTTCCCCTTAACATAAATACTAGAGAACTAATTATAGCAAATAGCACATGTTGACACTAACAAGCTAATTAACCTCTCCCCGGCATTCTTCTCCCCGTTGAATGGCGGGTGGTATTTTCAGCTTCAGGTGATGGTATTCGGTTTAGCCGGACTCAAAATCCGGTGGCAACTATATACGGGCACTGTATATGCCAACGATGGTAATGCTGCGTATGATTTCGAGCTAGGCGGCAGTAGAATGCCCACTTCTGGGGTCTCCAGAGGCCCAACACCTTGTTTACCCATAAAACCCGTCTTTACGGGTCGATACGGATTGGCAATTTATCGAACAAACACAGTGACAAGAAAAGGTGTGGGCGAAGGTATCTAATGAGCCGGTCAAGTGGGGATGCAGGTGGAAGATGCAATAATTAATGAACGAACAAGTACATGCGTGGACTGATTACTCAATGACAAAAGTTGCACCAACTCCATGGATAAAATCAACCTAATTGGCTTCGGTAAACGATGGCATGCGGTATGCAAATGCATGCAAGTGTGGGGTAACTAATTTTATGGCAGTTTCTCCTGCGGTAAATGAGGGGTTTCGGAATAGCAATGTCGTCTATAAAAACAGGCATGTCTGCCGCTCAATCTCAGATCCTCTGGTTGAATACACAGATTCTCCGAGCAAGGGGCTCTCTAGAAGACACAATAGGAAATGGCAAGCCAAGTCACCTTCACTCTCAATTCCGGGTATAAGATACCGGCAGTGGGCTTGGGAACATGGGTTAGTATATGAATCCGGAAGAACCGAAGAGTTTGTGATTGGAATGTGCTAACACAACTATAATTGACAGCAATCTAAACCGCACGAAGTTGAGAAAGCGGTCGAGGTAGCGCTCAAGGCAGGATACAGGCATATCGACGGTGCATTTGCCTATAAAAACGAAACAGAAGTTGGCTTGGGCTTGAAGAATTCCGGAGTTCCTCGAGGGGAGGTTTTCTTGACTTCTAAACTATGGAATACCCACCATCGGCCCGAATTTGTTGAGCCTGCCTGTAATAAGACTCTTCAGGACCTTGGAGTTGATTATTTGGATCTTTACTTAATGCACTGGCCTGTAGCCTTTGTTCCCGGGGAAGCAGCATTTCCAAAGGATACCGAAACGGGTCAACTTCTCCTGGACAGTAGAGTTACCATCCAGGATACGTGGAGGGCGATGGAATCCCTAGTTACGAAGGGCAAAGTCAGGAGTATTGGAGTTAGCAACTTTAGCAAAGAGAGAATCGAGGAACTACTTTCATAGTGAGTCTGACACAGCAAAATCTTCCCTTGTGTTCTCTTATACCAGTCTAACGAGAATGACAGCACCGAAATTCCCCCGGCAGTGAACCAGGTGGAGGCGCACCCATACTTTCAACAGGATGATCTAAAGGAATACTTGTCCGAAAAGAACATCCTGTTGGAAGCATATAGTCCCCTAGGAAACAATCTTCACAACATGCCGAGGTATGATGTCACACAACTCGTCCCAGGGCTTTAATCGGTAAAGACTAAATAGTTTGCAGAGCAATGGACGATGAAAAGATTCAAAAAATTGCGGAGGCACATGGAGTAAGCTCTGCTCGAGTCCTCATCGCATGGCATGTCCAACGTGGTACCGTGGTCCTTCCCAAAAGTGTCACTCCTGAACGAATAATTGACAACTTCAAGGGTCAGTTGATTGCCTTTGCGCCCCTTTCTATTGATGTAATGCAATTAAGGACAATCTCTAACGCATTGACTATAGACTTTGAATTATCGCAATCTGCAATGGAAGAAATAAATGCGCTTGACCGTAATGCCCGAGCCAGCCAACCTCTCTTCTGGGGAGTAGATATATTTGGTGAAAAGAACGAAGAATATGTCAAAGAGATTGCAAAGAAGAGGGGCCTTGAGTATATTGCTAGCTTGAAGGGATAAACGGCACAGTTTTAGGTACACTATAGAGCTGAAATGGAGGCCTAAAACAGCCATTTGATTAAAGGATGAATTCTCTATGTTGCTATATTGTAGATGGCTGTGGGCTTTAGCAGCTGACAATACAGCAAGCCTCAAACGCAAGGACACCAGTGATAGTTTTGAAAACTGAGGGCTACTAATAAACAATTAACTGACTAATACGTAGCTAACTAGTCAACTACTGTATCTAGTCAACTGACTGGCTAATTTTGACAGGAGGAGGTCTAGGCTGGTTGGGGTGGAAGTATAGCTATGGCGCGAGTATTGGCGCTTTGTAACTCGTATTGATTAAAATGTAGTTAGCTGGCTCACTTTCCTTGCTGCTTGAACTCATCAACGAATTTATCCCAAGCATCTGAGACGTCCAACTCGTCCCCACCCTTCTTCACGTACATGCTTCCCATAACAGCATGCGTACCGCCATTTCTCTCGCGCCAGGAACTTATCGAAGAAGGGATTCTTCCAGCATAAGGCTGGACTTGAAATTTGTTGTAGACAATCCCATCGATGGTAACTTCACCATCGAAGTCCAGCGAACTCCTAACCTGAGATGTTTGCTTTTGCTTTTCAGGGAACACAGTCCCTCCACGATCCATAGTGACACCAGTGAGCTTTTTGGCAGCTCTACACAGGACTGGTTTTGCTAATCTCAACACCTTATCCATTTATCTGAACAAAATTAACTGTAAAATTGTTTGGTATTCGATTATGGATCTGTATAGTTATTAGTACATCACGATATCCCCATATAGTACAGGGGATGATACACACCCTCGCTCGGAACAATTCAAAGACAGCCAGTAATCTTGTGTGAAAACTAATGATTGTCAATCCTGTTGATCTTGCCATATATAAGTGGATTTGATAGTGAAAACAGAGCCGGCAAAGTGACATTGTTTATACTGTGAATGAAGCCCATGCCTTCTAAGCCTGTAAATCACGCAGCTAAAACTCCTCGTCCCTGCAAGCTCCTTGAATGGCTCTATCAATATCATTGACGGAGAAAACAATACTATAATTCTCAGTTGGTGTGCAATTATGTATATGACCACATTATGCGAATGAGGATGGAAGCATCCTGTCTGCTCCCTATAAACAGATTGTACTGGGAATATTGAAAACACTGGTTATCTAGTCAATTGGTTAGTTATTTCTCAAAAGGCCCGCGTGCGACTAGTTATTCGGCTAGTTAGTCACGAATCATGTCGGCCTTATGCACCTCTCAGTATCAATTAAGTTAAAATATCGAATCGACTAAAGCAGCTCGGATGCAGTGATTGGTGGGGTTGATTTTTACATTAACTTTACTGGGGATGCTTACTAAATAGCCAACTAGTTAACAAACTATGGAGTATTGAGCGCTAGTCAACTTAAATTGAGCGTAGCTTCTTGGCGGCATATGTGCAACAAACTAACTAGTTACAACCGCGCAAGGCATCTGTTGCTTAACCACCAGAACTGGTCTGTTGGAATTTTGTGGAGGAATGCATTTCGTCAAAGGCATTTTGAGTTAAAATGTGGTATTTCATAAGCTTGCGACGCCCTATTCTCGCGCAAATTCTTCTTTCGGTTCCCCGAAGATTTTCTCTCTCTTCTGTTCACCAAAAGCGAGGCGCAACGTTCAAATGAGACGGCACTTCCTAGCGTGCGCGACGCTAATCACAGCTTTTATGATTATACATCCGGAAGATGGCTCCCTAGAGAACCTCTATATAGGCGGTTTTACGGTAACGAGAAAGTAAATCCGGAGGTACAAATCCGTAACCTCGAAGACTTCCTTTCAGTTGCTCCGCATATAATCCCAAGCCAGAAATTTCTCAACGAGCCAATTATTCGTCACCCTGATTTCTCAACGAGCCAACTATTCGTCACCCTGATTTCTTACCGAATAATATATTTATAGACGAGGCCGGGGAAATAAGCGGCATCATTGACTGGGAGCGCACTTCAATCCTTCCTCTCTTTATTCAAGCGAAGATTCCAAGGTACTTTGAGAACTATGGAGATGAAGACTCGGAGAATTTTAAATTCCCTGCATTAAGGGAGGACTTTAACTCGCTTCCTGACGATCAGAAAGAGTTGGAAAAAGAAATCTATCGAAGGAGACAAACTCACTACTATTACCTTGGCTTTACCAGTCGCTATAATTTGAACCACTTTCGCACGATAGGAAGCTACAGCGGTATGATGCGGAGCCGGTTATATGATGTCGTCAATCGCCACTGGGAAGGTGATAACACAACGCTTAAGGCAACCCTCGTACAGATGTCTTCCTACTGGCCGAGAATTGCAGCTGCTGATATGAAAGATGCACAGTACCCCCTGAAATATTCACCAGAAGAGGCTAAACAATGCCTTAACATAGATGCAGAACAAAAGACCGCAAATACTCATATGCAAGATCTTAGAGATGCTATTGGGATCAACATGGATGGCTGGGTACCAAGCGAAATGTACGAGGAAGCAACAGAGCGAATGGCTCATGTAAAAGCGCATCTGCTAGAGATTGCTGAGACGGAAGAAGATCGGGAAGACATTTTGCAGAAATGGCCATTCCAGGATCATGAAGAGATAGATTAGTAGCCTTATGTCTCTTATCGTTAAATAAACTGTAAAAATGTATACAGACTCAGAACCTTAGTATGCCTGCTTAATGTGAGACAGGATAGTTATAGGAGCCCCGTGTAGACATCAAGAAACCATCCAGTTACACCTCTGGATATTGACATCAGGGCAATCGGATCTATTACCAGCGGCTAAAATATAGCATATCCAATAGCATCAAATGGATAGCAGCAAATCAGACTATTAATCCTATTTCTGACAAGGCCCTTACGGTCATGCATGGCTTCGTCTTCATCTGTATATCCCACTTGCCAGCTTGGTAATCTATTGATATGGACAGTCAACCGTCAACTTGACGGCCCTTCAATCATTTTGTCCTCCTTCAATATCATGGGAAGAAGGGCAGTGTATCCGGTATTGTGTCCACATATGTAGTACCAGCGGCACTTCGGTGCCGAGCGTGAATTTGTTTGGTATATGGGAAAGGCTAGTTTCTTGTTACGGACAGGTAGATGGGCAGAAAAGCGTATTGATTTCCCACAAGAATATGATTGCAGACAAGAGGGTAATCAGTAGTACTGACATGTGAACCACTGGCTGATAAGTCTCTCCAATATTACTGAGCCGGTCGAGAATGAGAATATGATGAAGAAATTTAGCATTAGTGGTATCCGCCAACTTGTTATTGGGGGGGTGGTTCCTCAATTCCTCCAGGTGGGACTGGTGTCTCCGGACGGAGCGGACATAACTGAATACAACAAACCAGGGGAACTTTGGATACAAGGCCCAAAAATAGCCATGGGGTATCTTAAAGAGGAGCCAATCACCAAAAAATGTATTTCACAACGGCTGGCTGCAGACAGGTGACGAGGCGCTGATCACGTTAACTACTTAGTTAAGTAGTGAAGGATTCTGCGCTTGTTGTCGTAATTGACAGAGTTCAGGAGGTAATTGACGTCAAGGTAACTACTGAACTCGCTCCAAAAAGGCGTGTTCTTGCACACTGATGCCGGTCTAGGGATTTCAAGCAGAGCCAAAAGTACTCCTTATCATCCATCTAGTAATTGCGGATACGGCCGTCATTGCTGCAGAGGATAGTGATGGGTTAAGGCGCCAAAAGCCTTCGTGGTAAGGGAGCGAGGTATCGAAACAGAGGATAGCCAGATTGCGGGCAGCATACAGCATTATGTCGAAACCCACAAGCCCTTTTTATCGATGGCTCTCTGGTGGAGTTGAATTTGTCAAAGAGATCCCAAGGGGCACTAGTGGGAAGATTCTCAGGCGGCATTTAGGGAAGAGGACAACCCAAGGAGGTAGCTAATTAAACCATTTGGGGAGAAATTGCATGGTAGCCAACGATAATAAGACTGTATCCAGCGTATAATTTATCTGATAGTTATTTGCCAATCCTAAGACTGCCTGTTGATAGCTAAAAATAACTAGAAACCAATGTCAAAGGCCGCCATGAGGCTCTAGCCCAAGCCCGATCACGGGATTTAATTCCGAGGTCGGCAATTTTGCTTCTTTGATCTCAACAACTTCATACAACACGGTCAAGCCAGGAATTTCCGGCCTTCGCATATTACAGGAGCCTTCGGTGATGTTGTGTTCAATGAGGCTGCCCTACGTTCTTCGTCGCGCTGGGACGACGGGGGCCCGAATCACATTCGCGAATTACCCTGCCCTTCGTCCTGCTATCGCCCATTTCTCTTCTTCCAAAAGCCGGCGTCTTCCTGAGACGGCCAATGCGCCAACCTCGAAAACAACAAAATATACTACCGATGCATACCCAAACCTGAAACGAAACCCGAATTTTGCCCAATTGACCGGAGAACATATTCAGTATTTCAAGGAGCTTCTGGGAGATGGTTCAGCTGTTGTGGATGGAGTAACGGCCGATGCAATGGACGATATCGAACCCTTCAACCATGACTGGATGAAAAAGTACAGAGGCCACACAAAACTAGTGCTGAGACCAAAGACGACAGGAGAAGTGAGCAAGATACTGCAATACTGTAATTCTCAGAAGCTCGCCGTCGTGCCCCAGGGTGGAAATACTGGCCTGGTCGGAGGATCGGTCCCTGTTTTCGATGAGATTGTTGTGAACCTCTCTCGCATGAACAACATTCGATCTTTTGACGAGAATTCGGGAGTCTTGGCTGTAGATGCTGGCGTAATTCTAGAGGTTGCTGATAACTACCTGGCTGAGAGAAAGCACATATTCCCTCTGGACCTAGGCGCGAAGGGTTCATGTCAGATTGGAGGCAACGTTGCAACGAACGCTGGAGGTCTACGTTTACTACGATATGGAAGTTTACATGGAAACGTCCTTGGAATTGAGGCGGTATTGCCTGATGGGACTATAATGGAGGATATGTCCCTGCTGAGGAAGAATAACACTGGATACGATCTAAAACAACTGTTCATCGGAGGCGAAGGGACAATAGGAATCATAACCGGAGTTTCGATAATATGTCCTCAACGACCAAAGGCAACCAACGTCGCTTTCTTTGGGCTAGAAAGCTTTGAACATGTTCGCAAGGCCTTTCTGGAAGCCAAGGGCCAGCTATCGGAAATCCTGTCTGCCTTCGAGCTGATGGACGGACAAAGTCAAAAAATCGTCCGTCAGGTTACGGGTTTAAAACACCCGCTTGAAGGGTCATATCCGTTTTACTGCTTGGTTGAGACAAGTGGTTCGAATGGCGAACACGACAACGCAAAACTCGAGTCATTCTTGGAGCATGTCATGGGAGAGAGTATTGTTGCAGATGGTGTGCTGGCCCAAGATGAGTCCCAAGCACAAGCTCTATGGCGCTGGAGAGAAGGTGTCACAGAGTCGCTCAGTCATCTTGGTGGCACGTACAAGTACGACGTGTCGATACCACTAGCAGAGTTGTACCAGCTTGTCGATGACACGCGAGACCGTCTTTCAAAAGCCGGTCTCATTGGAAACGATGACAGCTTTCCGGTTCACGAGGTTGTTGGTTATGGACACATGGGTGATTCCAATCTTCATCTGAATGTTGCTGTGCGCCAGTATAGCAAGGAAGTCGAGAAGGCCATCGAACCCTGGGTGTATGAATGGATAGCGAAGCGCAATGGCAGTATAAGCGCAGAACATGGTCTTGGGATAGCAAAGAAGGAATATATTGGCTATAGTAAGAATGACTCGATGGTAAAATTAATGCAACAGCTCAAGAAGCTCTACGACCCGGTAAGGCACTCCCCTTCCTCCCCCCTGGCTGTGGTGTTTTTTCGACTAACATTTCCATAATAGAACGGGATAATGAACCCATATAAATATATATAGCCGGCAGTCTCATGGCTCGCTACCAAACTATAGACACCGTCATCTCCCTGCAAAAGCATCTCGTATCACTAGCAACATCCTTGCCTCTCGGTTCTGTCCCTTGCATGGTAGAAATAAACATAAGAAAAAAGAAATTTACGTCAACGTCACGTGCAAACTATCCCAAACTCTGCACTTCGTTTTAAAGTTACGGCTGTTGCCATAGACAACAATGTGTTGACGACCTTGAGGAAGATATGCAGAAAAATTAGCATTTCATCATCTTAATCAAGGACTTGTCGAGCTGCAGCTCTCGAGGGACAGTGACGTCGACATCATTCGCTCTACAACGGCGTTCCCTATCCTGAGGGTTTGCGCGCCGTGCTTTCCTCTAATTCTTTGAGACAACGACAATAAAAAGGGGGCGGAGAGAGCTCGCATCTCACAACAATGGCGGACGAAAGTGGGATGGCAGCGAAGTACCAGATGCTGGAGGAGCTTGGAAGTATGCATATTTGCACAGCTTACCACTGATCACGTCTCGAATCCTGCTAATGACAGTGACTACTACTAGGTGGGAGCTTTGGAACTGTTTACAAAGCAATTGACAGAGCCACAGGCGAAATTGTTGCCATCAAACACGTATGTTATGAACCGGAATTACTGAATTGACAAGGCCATGACTGACCAGTGTTTACCCGGTCTAGATTGATCTCGAGTCCAGCGACGATGATATACAAGAAATTCAACAGGAGATTACGGTTCTGTCGACCTGCGCCAGTCCTTATGTCACGCAGTACAAGACCAGTTTCCTCCGAGGATACAAGTTATGGATTGTGATGGAATACTTGGGAGGAGGCTCTTGTCTCGATCTGGTGAGGATATGTTTACTCTTACGCATTACGGAAGTTATGTGATCCTAACGCGGATGCAGCTTAAACCAGGCGTGTTTAACGAGGCACACATCGCGATCATTTGCCGTGAACTGCTTCTCGGCTTAGACTACCTCCATCAGGAGGGCAAGATCCATCGCGACATAAAGGCGGCGAATGTTCTTTTGTCACATACCGGGAAGGTAAAGCTGGCAGACTTTGGCGTTGCTGCCCAACTTACCAACATCAAATCGCAACGCAACACTTTCGTCGGAACCCCATTTTGGATGGCACCAGAAGTTATTCAGCAAGCTGGATACGATTTCAAGGCCGATATTTGGTCACTTGGTATTACGACAATGGAAATGATAAATGGCGAGCCACCACACGCCAGTACACATCCAATGAAGGTGTTGTTTCTGATACCAAAGGCGTCAGCTCCACGGTTAGAAGGTGCAGCCTACAGCTGGCAACTCAAAGATTTCATTGCTCAGTGCCTTGAGAAGGATCCCGATAAGCGTCCTACCGCGAAGGAACTCCTGAAACATAAGTTTATCCGTAGCGCTGGCAAGACCGAGGCTCTCCAAGAACTCATACAACGACGACAAGAATGGGAAGCTACAAAGGGCCTTGCGGCCAATATAAAGTACTACGCGGAACCAATGTAGGGAGTTGCCCCTTGGCTATTATATTCGAGTTGCTAATGTCAGTTCAGGGATACAATTACAAATAAGAATACCGATGATGACGCTTGGGTGTTCGATACGATAAAACCCGGTACCCCTGCCCCGTCAAAGAGCCAGCATATAAAGAATCAACCTTCAGTTTCCAACCCAGAAGATGCTTATGAGCCATCAGAATCCATGTACAATCTAACCTTGGAAAGCGAATTTTCTGGTCCAAAGCCTGTCGCAAACTCAACCGTTCGTCGCACCCGTGGTACGGTAGCTAGAACACCGTCAAAGCGCTCCACTAGACGCCGATCAAGTAGCGTCAAGCAGCCTCTAGGTTTGGACATGACGTTTGGGAATTCACCTTCAACTGTAAGACAATTCCGTCGAGTCTCCGATAGGCAAAACTCCCTTGACGGCAATTCCGGATATGTTCCGGGAATGAATGAGAATTCTATGCCTAAAACGCTATTCAATGAGCCCAACTCCAAAGAAGCAATCCTAGGCCGGAGGATGTATAATTCTGGCATTGGGCTTACCTGCCAGGAAGTGTTGGCAAATACCAGCGACCAAGAAAAGCGAGAGGCAATATCGCGACTAGCAGAAGCTTTCAGTGATCTCGAGATGATTGACCCCGAAGGACTATATCACATTGTTAAGTCCTCTTTTGAGAAACTACAAGCGTAAGCAGCCCCTTTGTCGTAAATACACAAAACCCTTGCTAACTACTTTTAGCGATCCAAAACTATCAGCCATACTTCCGAAGCCGGCTCCAGAAACGCCACAAAAGCCAAAGTTGGTCCTCGCTCAGAATAACCCACATCTAAAAAGCCACAGACGAAGACAATCTGCTCAGGTTCAGTCAGAACAGAACTGGAATTCTGGAAGCACAATGGCTGGGCAACACCCAATTGGAATGGAGCATACTAAACAGCTTGCTGATGTTCTATATACCCGCTGGACTGACGGGCTCCGAAACAGATGGCCTGCAGTATAATACTATAATACCTTGCGACACTAGCCTTTGCTTAAAGGGCACAGGCTGCCTACCTCCAGCATATGTGTACATAAATTGTACATTACCCGATCTTTTGTGTTTACCGTTTGGATCATGTTCGTGTTGCATTGCCTGTGATCTGTTGAGACTTGTTCGAGTCATATACCGGCGGCTACCTTTGGAGTTTTGTTCTTATTTCCCTCGCTATTGATTATTGGAAGCATCGTTCATACTATTCATAAGTGCGCTTCAAGGCCTTCTGCCGGAACTGGAATCCGTCGCTCCTTTTTGCTATCTACTTCCCTCGTTAAAGTTTCGGTAGCCTTTTGGTCCTTTCCCTCTTTTCTGGACTTATTTTCTGATCTACTTTCTGCACTGCTTCCTGGGTACTAATTACCCTGGAAGATCTTTAGGCCTTCGATCGTTTACTGTTTTAATTTCCCGGTCTCCTTTTCGCTGTCTATTGTATTTGAGACCTGATGTCTCCCTGATCCGTCAGAATCTTGTACCATATTGTTGCGTCGCTCAGAAACACTGTCAGTTGTGGGCTCCCTGAGATTGTTTAGCTTGAAGATCTTTGTATAAATATAAACTCTGTGCAGTATATATGAGACAGGGCATACTAGTTAGCTGGCTGACCAAGAATTACATTCGACAAAAACACCTATCACCTTGGGCATCAACAACCAAAATAGAGAATTGCTTTGGGCCAGCGACAGGATTAACTACTCCGCTAAGCTTTTCTGCCCAACGCTCGCTAGTGCGCCATTGTATCAACTATGCATTACTTATGACCTCATAGCCGAAGGCCCGAAAACGATGAAACACCGCCATCTCGGTCGTCATGGTAACCAACCTAAACCCTAACTAGATCTGGCTCATTTGCCTAAAGACATAGGTGTCCTATGTTACTGCGTTCGCCATCGACTCGGAGCTTAAAAAGAAGTCATAATATCCTATTACAGTTCTCCAACTCGCCTCGATCCATAAGGCGGCTGAGTGGTATACTCCATCGTAATAACTCGGCCCGTGTGATAAGCCAGAAGGGATAATGAGCTATAGGAAACAACCACAGAGTGACAGACGCATACTCGTGTCTCCATAAAGACTCACTTATGATACAGATCTTGAACTAGTCAAGTGTCAAACATAACTTCATCATGCCTGTCTGTTTGATAAACATTCCTATGGCTAAGTTTGCATATTCCTTTCATTGTATCCGGATGAGACTTAACTATATGTCATGACAGTAGGTAGCTGGATACACATAATGGAGGGACCTAAGCAAATCACAGTATGAAGTCAAGCAGGAAGACTCTCAAAATCAACCTCAGGGTATATAATTTTGGAGCATCTTGGTCAAAATTCCGGAACATTGGTCCAGTGTACTTGTAGTACCCTAGCCATGCACAATGCATACCTCACCACTATTGTATCCTGGGAGGAAACTCATCATCTCCTGGCTCTTGAGTTATGATGAATTGCTGGCTAGGCGACCTCTTATAGGTTTGTAATTTTAACTCGCCATTCCCCGTCGCATTGTTCCGTTCAATAGTCCAGGCTAGTCTTTCCCCAGGATTTGGAGTCTCAAGAGAGATTAGATAGCTGACATCTCCGTCCATTTCAACGTCGAATAGCGAAGGAGGATAGCCATAAGTTTGGGGTGCCGTTGCAGATTGTCCAGCTACATAATTTTGGAAGCGGACCCAGTAAATGATATCCAGTTCGTATTTTTGTCTTGCTCGGAAACAGTGCCAGTTGTGGGCTCCCTGAGTTACTGGATGATCAGTCCAATGCCTATAGAAGCTGCCTCTCTCAAATTCGACGGCACCGGTATCGGAATTGTGTGTGAGATTCAATCCATATTGCTTGCTGGTAATGAGAGTGTACAGCTTTGGAGACTGCGCCGAAACGCTAGCTGCAAATGCACAGAGAGTAGCAATAGCTAATGATAAAAATTGCATTTTGGCTGGTGTGAGATTTTTGGTTTGGGATAATGTATAAATAACTATTGCTGAAGCATACCGATAAATGAGAGCAGTGTGCATTTATAGCCAAGTTGTATATCTACGACAAAATAAACCGTGACTCTATCCAGATTCCCGCATATATCCATACCATCCTCAACTAACCTCGTGTGAGACTATCTAACCCGCTGCCATGACTAAGCAATCTAGTACCTAGACTTATACGGCTGTGGAAGGGGTTTGAGTTTCTTACTTTACCCCCGCTGACAAGGATTCAATACAGATATGAGACATTCTTTCCAGAGTCATCGCCCTCAACCTACATCCAAAATAGGTAAATATGCTTACATTCAACTTGCAAAATACGTAGAAGCTCCATGTGTGTTTTGTATATCCTGTACTGTATTTCTTGCTAAATAGAGTTTAAGCAAGCTGAAAAGTAAAAATTTGCATAATTTAGGAAGCGTTGCATGGTCCCTTCTTCCTACTGGCCCCGATGGTGCTGCAAGTAAGATTTTAGTCCAGCATTTCTCAAGATATACATAGTGGTGATACTCCCTCCTCTACCCGAGCCAGGTGACAGAAACTGATATTCGATTATGCCGCAATCTGCAATAAGATGATATATTTTTGATGTATCTATTGTCTTACTCCACAGGAGTGATCCTACACCAGATGATGTCGAAACGGTTACCTAAGGGATGGCATAGCTAAGATCCGATTTATCCGCTTTGTAACATTTTTTGAATGAATAGATACCATGGAAGCCTCATTAATTATTGACCTGACATCCTCCTCTCGTTGCTGACTCCATAAATCCCGCCATACCTTTCCCATTGAGCACACAACACTGTTTCTAGAGGCAATCTATCAAATTTGAATTCGAGTTCAGTTCTATATTTCACAATGATTTTGATATCTACCGTCGTACTTTTTCTCCTTGCCTATCGGCCCGCCACAGCAAGTACCGTTACCTACTACATCGAACAACCTTTGAATACTTCCTTCACGGTTTATGACGAATTCAATGGTCATATTCTTGGTCTTGGTGTTGCCGGGGATGGATTACTTGAAGTTCAACCAAACTCCACTACGCAATGGCATTTCGAGCAAATTTTCGACTACAACTACATAATCCGCGAGAGCAACAGCAACAGATACATTTATGTCCCTGATCCAAAACTTGGCTCACTTGCCACTGTGAGCAAAACAGCGGCGACTGTCATTGATCCAACAGTATATGACAATGCCCAATATAAATTCTACGTACGCCACGAAGGACCAGGATTGTTTTTCACTGTGGAACGTCACAGTACTGAGCAACCAGACCGCTACGTGATCAAACTCCGAGAAAACACAGACGGCAAGCGACAGGATTTCACCTTCATTAAACCTCAGAAGAAGAGCAATCAGATCCGAGCGACAATATGAGTAATCAAACGCTACGGCTTAAGAGTAGTGGTGATTGGAGGTGGGGTTGCCGCTGCTCGTTACCCTCCATAACTCAAACTGTACCTCCAAGTTTTATTATGGATTATAGAAAGAAATCATAATATTGATACTTGGCCATGGCTGCTCATCCAAAAAGAACCGTTGCTCATATAGAAAGAATTCAATGGAATTAGATGAAGCTCTTTGTTCCCTGCATTTACCACTAGGGAGCCATGTCGACTTTGTTGTATGGCAGGTGGTAAAAATAAGGTTAAACTCTTCCGGGATATCGGGAGGAGCAAGAGCCATTTTCTATTTTTGTGGGTAATTCTATTAGTCATCACTTTATTCCAGCCTCAAAGGGGCAAAAGAGTGCAACAAGTCTTGGCGAGGGACCTGGAAGAGGAAATATAATACATTGCATCGAAATTATATGTGACAAGATGGGGAAGGAGTTTGTTGAACATGAACATTAAGAATAGGCCTGTTAACTATCGAAAGATTGATCAAGGAACCAAGACAAGCTCAATGCTATGCAAACTCGGTTGGTATACATACATAATGACCCACGTTCTCACACGTCCAGCGAAAATTGCGTGTACTTAGTACTAATTGTTTTGTACTTAATAGCCATGTTGTGGGGTCTTCTTCATGAGGAAATCCTGACGAGCTCTCCCATATGCCGGCTTACGTAGCTTCAGAACAGAACGTTGGTCCGTTGCATTGAGTGGTTCCACCGTCCAAAACAAAGGAGCGTCTCGAGGGTGGGCATCGGTTGCATTGAGATTGTAGATAACGTTTGGACCTATCACGGCTTCAAATAACGTTGCGGCGTCAGAGCTAAGAGTGGCAACAGCACCATCCTTCAGTGTCGGAAAGTGTATATATTTGTTGCTGTATTTGTCGCGTACAACATGCGTGTAGCTCGCTAGTCGCGTCATGTGCCATTGACTACGGCCGTTGTTGGGTTTGACCTCAATAATCTCCCCGTTTGAATCGGTACCGATGGAGAGGATATCGTGGTTAAAGTCATCGAGAACGGTGAAGTCCGCATTCAAAGGAACCATTCTGTATTCATAACGTAGGACATATTCAACGTTCCGAAGAAGGGAAGTCGTGTTCGAAGTGGACGATTTCGAGTCGACATAAAGCTGGGCACTTCCCCCAGATACGAAAAGGCACAATGAAAGTACAGAAAGAAGTTGCATTATAGCGAGCAGAGAGGAAGGATGGGTAACTTAAGGGGACTTGTAAAATGGATAGAGCAACAGCGTATACTTCCCAAGAAAGAAAGGCAGTGATATAAAACAGGAAGAAGAGAAGTTAAGAGATGGAATGACCTCTATATCCTCTTTGCCGATACAAGCCTTTTCAATGCTTCCGAGACTGAAAAGCGTGATTGTGCCTATATTTTGTGGAGCCCTGTGCCCAGAAATAACTATGTGACGATGCTGACCAAACCTGAGCACGAGTACGAGCATTATCCGTCGGGATAACAACGGCTAGTTACTCCATGTATCCGGTATAAAATATAGGCCGCATTGTGTAAAAGATCAGCTACGCCTTTCATATGGGTATTCGTGGCTTCAATCATTTCACAAGATCCGAACAAGGCTAAAATCTTACTGCAGTGATGGCTAGGGTATTTGATATTACTGTTGCAATGTCTTCAATAGCAAGGCTACCCATGCTATCCGAATTGTTTCCTAGTATAATTTGGACTGTTAGAGTCGAACACGTAACAATGTACCAACATTGGGTCACAAAAATATAAAAATGTAATAACGGCTTGCTAAGAACTCCATGTTATAGTAGTGTATGTTTATTGCAAGGTATGTTCCGAGCTGCAAATCACTTCGGCCGAAGAATTAGGTTGGTTCCTAGCTGATACGGGCTTACTTACATGGCTTCGGTAACTTCCCCGGATCATCAAAGTTGAGAGCACGTCCACACCTTGGATGAAAGCATGTATTGTGGACCAATTATTTTTGCAAAGTTGCAAGTTCTGGCATTAATCTGACATGCATAAATAACCCATCACTAGCCATTAGATGGCCGTATGAACCGAAATAGATTACTCCTAGGATGGAGGTAGCCCCGTTTGCCTTGGACATTGCCAACACCGATATCAGCTGGTGATAGCAAACACGACGTTTCTTGGATACCCGATATCCACTCGTCCTAAATGCTGAGAGCAGGAGATACGAGCTTTTGCTCTGGGTAAACGCGGCATGATGATTCTTTTGAATCGCGAACCTGGCAAGAATGCTCTGCGTAGAATAGTTGGCCTAATGTTGCAGCAGCCTTTCATAAGAAGGCACACTGGATCTCCTCAACTCCAGCTCTATCAAAATTTCAGACCATTCGTGCTGGCAATTTCCATTTGCTCTCTCGAGAAATCACTTACTACAAATCTCATCTACAATATGAGAATTGCACCCTTCGTTATTGCCGTTTGCGCCTTCGTGGCAAACGTTGACGCCTCTTACTATTATACCGTCTTCACAAGCATATCGAGTGGACTGAACGTCACACTCAACGGCACCACAAAGGGCATCGAGTTCGGTCCAGGCAGTCCCTGTCGCTATTGGACCCGTTATGAAGTAGCCCCCGAGATCAACGACTGGAGCTATTATAGCATCCGTGCCAGGGATGGACAAATATACTTTCGCTATCCCGAATACCGGCCTCGAGCAATCGCACAAGCTGCCTCGACGCCATCCCTATTCCGAATTGAGGTTGACGGAGAAGGATCCTATGTCGTTGCCCTAGAGTCCGAAACTGGCGAAAAACTTGCTTGGACTGCGGAGAGAAGCACGACCGCTCCCAACCGGAATATGGTCGTCAGTTTGCAGCCGTATAAACGCAGCAGAGCCCAACGCTTCAAGATTGCCGAGGAGTATGTTGACCCGGACGATTGCTAGATAATTATCGCAAGGGGGTTCTCATCCATAGTATACGGGGGCAATCATAGTGTCGTGAAGAGGAAATGCAATATTACTAGTCACTTTTGAACCATGTCATTAAACAACGATTTTAATATGAAATGTATCCATCCATTGTATAATCTCTGACAATTTGATGTGATTCACCGTGGAACATTTCCTAAATGTATAATAAGTAGGTTGGTTCATCATATAATGAAATCAGGAGCTATTCTGGCAACTTACTCCATGGTAGGTATAGTAAATAGGCAGGTAGCACGATCCTGCTTTTGAAGATATGCATTGCGCCTCGAAGCTGTTGACGGGATTAGTTGACGGTATGTCCTGGAAGTCAAGCAGGATAAGGGAAGCATGCGCCCCAGGGCAACGTGCAGTTCTCAAGAAACAAGAGTTTTTATATGTCAACCAAGACCCTTCCAATTCGAAGGTAAACATACCCCAATTCTAGATAACTGGTTCAGTATCTAACATTGGTAGTGAAGGGGAATAACTTCCTGTTTACTAATGAATTATTAGTATAAAGCCATCGAAAGACACTAGAGTGATAGCTCACCGTTCATACACATTGGACCAACTAACGTATCGGAGGAGCAAGAGTAAACATATTTTTCATTATTTACTATTAGGGAGCCGTAACTATGTTAAGGGTTAAGCAAATAATTTGACTTACTGCCTTGGGTGATTAGTATTTATAAATTATGAATGCAGGTAATTTAATACTCCGCTCTAATAAGTCGGCACGGGTATCTTCTCCCAGTTCTTTTCTCCTTTCTTGTTGGCGTCGTTGATGTCATCTTTCATGACAAACATTCGTCTTTGGCCGCAAAAACCCCCCACTGCTGCCTTTCGTTCCAGCATTTGAAACGAGCCGAGTTGGTTCTCGTCGTCGCCCTGAACCCATACTTTCTCCTTGACCATTTGACCAGGATTGTGTAGTCGGCGAGGGTTATATTCAGGGTAGCCAATTTTACTCACAATCCATTGCAGGTTGGCAAATATTCGTTCATATCTGCGGAAGAAATCCAGCCATACCCAGGTGTTCTCTGTATATGCAACCCGGATGTAAGGATTGATGTAGACTCCGGCACCGTTTGATTCGAGGGAGGTAGACTCCATGTCTGCGAAGATAAGGCAACATTCAGCTGCCTCCCAAAATGGCTCTGGTTCGTGGCGAAAGGTGAGTGCGAGCTCTGAATGGTTTCCAGAAAATTTCTGAAAGATCTGGGCGTCGAAGGAAGCCATTCCACCCCAGCAACTTCGGACTCGAACTGCGTCTTTCTCAGCAAGGACATCCTGTCGGCTTTCACTCTTTCCTACCACCGGAAACCACGGAAAAAACATAAGACCCATGCCATAGCCCTCATTGTCTCTTACGACAAAGGTGTCATAAAACATTACATTGGCGGTAAAGTCAATTGCACAGGCGGCGCGGTAGTCCGCATGGCCAGTCTTTTCGGCGTTCGTAGAGAATAACAGCTGCACAACATCTGTAGCTGAAAAGTATACATCGTTCAGGAACAGCACGCGGTCGAATTTCTCCGTGGCATGACGGAAGCCTTTCTCCGACCCGGCTGAGGTAGGGGTGTAGGTCGCATCAAGAGGCCTAAGCGCTCGATTTCGAACTTCTGCCAGGTACGCTATCCGTTTGATACGTTGCTTGCCGCCAGGCGCCGTGGTCGTGGGCAGTTCAGACAGGCGAAGATGGTCTCCGGCAACAACCGACGAGTTACCTTGGTGGTTTTTAAGGTTAATTCTCTTGTTCGAGTCGTGAGAAATCCAAGGAGGGAACACGAACATGGAAGTTTATCCTGGAGCTCTATAAGCGCCTCGCTAGTTGCCTTCCCGCTGTCATTTTCGTATACACTGACAAACACATTGTCCTCCCCCAGCAAGTCGACGAGTTCCAGCAGCGACGCACCCCAGGCCCCGCGTATCAAGTCTTCCCTGATGATATTTGCAGCGATAAATATCTTTTCGTCCTTCTGATTTGCGCGGCCGTGCCCTGACGAAGCGAGGATCCTTCTCTGCAGCTGTGCGTAGTGTTCAGGGGGCCGCTGGTAGGAAGGGTGAAGTATGGCCTGCACCACAGAGACGAGGACGAATCCGCCTACCAAGAAGATGAGAATCTTGAGCAGCAGCCAGAGTGTGTGAGCTGGCGAGGAGGCCCTGCAGCGAAACCGCCGTCGCTGGTGGAGTAGCAGGTCGCGAAGAAGGTTCTCTAGGCAGCGGTAGCAGCGCTGGACAGTCCAGGCTCGCCGTCTCCCGTGTTCCTTTATGCGAGCGAACGCTCTGCCGTCATCCTCGCTACCGAGAAGCAGTTCGATCTGGCTGGTCGAGTCGTCGAGGTAGCCACCCGCGGGCTCGTCCGGCCCTGAGTATGCCATGGTTTGTCTGGCAGAAGACCGACGAGCAAGAGGCTGCACCGTTCTCTCCCCTTCCCGCGCGCCCTTTTGCCCTTCCAACGGGGAGCTCCCGCCAAAATTCGGCCGCTGGTTCGTAGAGCAAACAAACAGTTCCTCGCATCTATAACGACCTCTAGGGAAGTAAACAAGGAGCGAAGTATCTCCAGGCGCAAAACGGGCGGCGAGGTACTTAGTCACGTGCCACCTTTAAAATGCACGTCGTAATCTCCCCCTGAAGTTCTTTTTTCTTCCAATCCAAGGGTTTTGCTGCCAACTCCGCCAGGCAGGGCAAAGGAGAGACACCAGGACATCCAGACGCCAGCAGGACGGCCGGACAGACGACGGCTGCGGGAAGTGAACGACAAAACCAAGGGACGAGACAGGACTGCGTTGGAAGGGCGATGGCTTCCGCTGCTGGCTGGCATCTCAACATCGACTCCTGCGCCGACCTCTAAGATCGCTAAACGCTACTCCAGTTGTGTGCCCACCGTGGAACCATGGAAGAGCCAGAACTCTCACAGTCCTCGCAGCCATGCTTCGACAGCCCGCGGCAGCGACAGCGAGCATCGCTCCCTCCCGGGCCAAACGGAGCTGCTCGACATGCTAAGAGGCTCACGCTCAATTTCCCCATCAATATCCCGCCTGAGCTGGTACAACAGGGACCTCGTTCGGCGAAAGATTCGCCCCCAGCGAAACACACACTCTCAGAATCATCACCTACCATGCCGGCTTCCCATCGAGCTTCGCCCTCGGTTTCTGCGTTGACTGAGCCGCCAGATGAAGGGTACGGGTTCCTCACAGCTCTCGCTGCCCAGGAACGCAAGGTGTTGGAGCTCAAGGAGGAGCTGCACAGGGCCGAACTGGAGCTCGCCACCCTGAAGAAACGGTGGGAGCAGAATGAAAAGGGCCGGAAGATCAACCAGGCCGTCTATCGGGCCGAAGCAATGAAGCCGTTGAGGCAGCAGACACCGGTGGAAGGAAGTCCGGTTACAGGGACGGGAGCTACTCAGTCGCCGGTCGACAGTGATGCACCCGGGTTGAAGAGACGTAGCCGAGAATTGGACAGACGACACAGCTTGAGGCAGTCAGTATCGCATTCACCAGCTCCAGGCCAGCTGTCCAGAGCAAGAACGGTGTTCGAAGGCTCCCGGCATACACGGACTCTGTCTCTTCTCTCCGCAAGAGACGACGACAACTGCTCTCCGTTCTTCCCCCAGTCAGCCGATTCAAGAAGCGCACGACCTTCGGGATATCCCCGATCTGCGACTCTCCCTTCCGTCGATAGAGAATCGAGCGGCAGTAAGCCGCTCATCTTGTCCCCCGCGAAACAGAAACAAGTACAGGATAAAGGATTATGGCGAAGGTCTCTCCCGCCAATACCGCAAGACCCAACTACAGAGGCACTCATGCGGACAGGAAAGCAGATGGCTACGGATTTCAAAGACGGATTGTGGACGTTTCTGGAAGACATTCGCCAGGCTACAGTAGGAGAGGAGGGTATCAATGCAACCCAATCTCGTACATCGCAAGCTTATCAGCGCCAGGACCATATTATCAACAGATCAGGTGCAGGGACAGTAAATTCCAAACCACATTCAGCAGCAGCTCCTTCGAGAACTAGCAGATCTGCATCTATCAAGCCCACTACCGCCGCCAAGCAAAATAAACGTGCAACGGCTTCAGAAACCGACTTCTGGGAGGAATTTGGCGTCACCGCTCCAAATAAGACACAGTCAAACAAGGCTACCAATCGGAATCGCAATAAGCCAAATAATCCGAATAATCAAACTAGTTTGCTAGATATCGACGACAACTGGGATATTTGGGATAGCCCCCAGCCAAAGACACACACCCCATCTTCGAGCAGCTCGACATTCCCATCAAAAAGAGACCAGTCGCCCTCGACAAATGCTAGCAGCCCACGGACCAGTGCAAGGTCAGCATACATACAGCGCCCTCCCCCCATCCTTCTATCCACCCGCAGCTAACGCTTACTTGTGAATTAGCGTGGTGGACTACAAAGATCTGGATGTTGAGACCTTCAGCAACCCTGAGCATCCAGGCAGCATCCCCTGGCCTGTCATAACCAAATCGACCCCTTCCAATCTGGCTCGCACAGCCTCTACCTTGATGGCCGAGTGGGAACGAAGTCTCTCACCGTCCCATTCAGACAGTGTAAAGAAAGGATCCAAAGACGACTAAATATCTCTCGCACAATCATGATATATATCACTTTTTCATTTACAACTCCCTTACCACCAAAGAAAAAACTCCACGACATGACGACCATGATTGAATCATTATATATAAGAAGATCGAATATCGGGACGCATTCTCTGTTTGTCGCGCATCAACAGGAGAAGCCTGTCATGTCTGGAAATTTTTACACGAATTAATGGACCTGATATGTTGGCGTTTATCTCGATCGTATTGACAAACTGTTCCTTTCACCTACTCTGAATTCTTCATTCTTAAACCAATTGGCCGGGTTTTGAGTCCTTTTGCTTCTCTCTATTTTCTTGTATATCGATTATTACCTTGCTTCTCTGAGCCTTGTTATTGACTTGGAGGTCTTTTAAATTAATATTCTTAACGATTCTACTATTTTCAATAAAAATGGACCCAACCATAATGGCATAATGGGCCCTTAGGCCAATGAAATTGAACCGTCCAGCTAGTTAGGCCGGCTGACAAACTATATAATTATGCCACTTGCTTGAAACACCGCCCTATTTTACAAAGAGTATTATACACCCTGCAATTTCACTTTAGCACAATGCCTGTTACAACGAGGAGAATAAGCCGAGAACAGGAGCAGGAGGGACTGAGGCCCCCATTCGATGACGAAGTTTCCGAATGTGTTCAATTATATCCTCATCCCCGAAGAGGTAAACACTTGCACTCCTTGCATAACCCACTATGTTCCTTTCTCTTACCAATATTCTATTATTCTAGATACTTGATGAGTTTATAGATCAGGCGTACGTAGGGGTAATGGACATAGTTGGTGAGGATGGGTCTGGTTCAGCACCGTGTATCCAGACGACCGATCTAGACTCGATCACCCACGGCTCCCGCAAGCCGATGCACGAATTCGACTCCCCCTTTCTTGGCTGGACAGAGGATCAGGTCCGTGACTGGGTTATAAAGCATAGACATCCGAACTTCGCCTATTTACATTTACAATCCTTGATCAACGAACAGTTGATATGAAGATATCCCGGATGGGATATGTAAACGAGAGATACCCAGATAACCGAATGCTGGACTGGACGCTGCCTCTTATATGGATTTGACGACAAGAGTTTGCCCTGGATCTTTGTGAGATAGACTGGGATGTCTGTTTGAACACAGATAGCGTGTTTAATACGGAGGCAACAGAAGAAGCAAAGTAGCTGGCATTTAGGTGAGAAGGTAGGATTGGGAACTCCACAAGCCAGGGTATTCTGTATCCGGCTTTCTAATAGCTGTTCCAGATGCCCATCAGGACATACGGCAAAGAGGAGCCGAACCCCGAAGAAACCCGCACACAACAACCTCATCTGCAAGTAATAACACCAAGAACCCAGTCCGACAGAGACAGCCTAGTTAATCCCGAAAGGGTTCCAGCAACAGCGGAAAACATACGAGAGTATGTATGTTAATGGACACTGTTCCGCAGAGATGACAATAACCGTGAGAACCCCGAATACATCACAAGAAACCAAAGCCAGGCGGAAGGAGACGTTTCAAATTATCTCTCCACAACAAGGTTAACCTCGAGGAAAGAGGGTAACTGGGTGTTATTCCTCATATTATTGTGCCTGGAGCATAACTAATACAATTTGGGGTATAGACCAAGGAGGCGTGCTATGGAGTGCAATAAAGGGAGAATGCCAGGCCTGGATACCAAGGTTACCTAGGGTATTAAAATAGAGTCGCTGGATGCAATATTGCCAAATTGGAAATCCTGCCAGAGCGGGTAGAACAAGGCCAGAGGAACAGAACTTACGGGAAGTGGGTTGAAGTGGAGGTGGCAAGAACGGGTTCATGATGTACACATAGTACGATACGGGATATTGAACAAATTCATCCTGTCTAACTATCACTAGTGTGGGCTCAACGGGGGGGTTTCAGCTCTAGGTTGAACGGATGTTACCTTGCAAATAATCGATTGCCGAAATACTACCTACCTATCCTTCCCATCAAGCTATGCCATGTAAAGCCCTTTTGTTAGGGTTATGCCTGTAACCCTGGTTAGGCCGAATGGTGACAGAGTGCTGCTAAGATGTAGAGAACTATCCAGCCCTCTTCCTACCAACAGGCAGGGGCTCCCCTAATCCCAGGCCTTTACCACTTTTTCAAAAAGGGCTGGCTTAGGGGCTGCAAAACGGGTAACTTGTTAGATGTAACAAGAGGCCTTTATCCCGGGGAGAGGATGGATCTGCATCATAAAAAAGGTGATATTTTGGCCATCTTGTAGTGCCTCCAATTCGTGCATCCTCCGAAGCGTTCATTTTTCTCCGGCTTCTAAGCAGAAGGCTTGAAATTACATATACAAATATACATCTCAGCTCTAATTTCTATTGGCTGCTGCCTTATATGTTACGAAATATTGCGTATTCTGGTGATTAAGCTGACATTTTAATGGCGCTTAACCCAAGAGAGCAACTACCCCTAGTAGTCATCAACTTCAGTTCACATGATCCAGTTATAGGTATAGTGAAATGCCTTATGTCAGCAGACGTCCGAGTTGTTTTTCCGTTCAAAAATATTTTTTTTTTTTTACGAGAATTTGATATTGCAGCTCTGAAGCTGAGAGCAGTTGATGCTCTTTAATACTTTAATGCTTCTATCCAACTTCTGACTATTATCCTACTTTTTAATTTGCTTCGCTGTAATAGTTTTTCTTTCTGGTGCTCTTGACTCCGCTGGAAGGTCAACTCTAACAAGCAGTACAGCTTAGCCCGGCAATAGAAACCCACCAGCCCCAAACCCCAAAGTCGAGATACAGCTATACACGATGAGTTTGCCAGGCGCAAGCGGTTCGGGGATAACCCCAGGCTTCACCAGTGCGGGGTTGCCTCCATCAACGACGGGACTAAACGAACAGGAGCAGGCTATGGTTAAGATGGTGAGTTACCCTGATGGTGACGACCTTGAGCGCAAGTTCAGACGAGATGCTGATATCTTGTTTCTTCGGGAGACAGATGACCAGCGCCATGGAGTCGTGTCCAGTCAAAACGGTAATGGCGGGAGGAATGGGATTTGCACTGGGAGGTGCCTTCGGCTTGTTCATGAGCAGTGTATGTTTCTATCCTTTTTTTTTTTTTCTCTTTCCGACATCCTCGGTTCAATGGCTTACCTTGAGGCTTTTCGCCTTGATAGATGTCATACGACACACCTCTCACCCCCCAGGGACAACAAATTTCCTCCCTGCCGGTGCGCGAGCAACTTCGACGGGGTTTCAAAGACATGGGATCTCGATCGTATAGCAGCGCGAAGAACTTTATGGTTGTCGGTGCTCTGTTCAGTGGAACAGAATGCTGCATTGAAGGGCTCCGGGCTAAAAACGACCTTGCTAACGGTATTGCCGCCGGATGCATCACTGGTGGAATACTTGGCGCCAAAGCAGGTCCTCAGGCGGCTCTCCTGGGATGCGCTGGATTCGCGGCGTTCAGTGCGGCCATCGACGCGTACATGCGACAGCCTTCCGATTAATCTGGCCTTACCTCCTTCCTTTTCTTCATACGGGGGAAGATCCTCTCAGGCCCCTGATGTCTCAGACGACAAAAGAACCGCCTGAAAAAAAGGGGTTAAAAAGACCCGGCCGAGTCTCCCTATTTTTGACAGACTCCCTTCTCCTTTCTACCACTTGATGTTGATTGAAAAAAACTGTACGATTTATAGAGGTTTGTGCGGGTGCTATTTGGTGGACTATTGCAACATACAACTACCGGTGTATCACGGAGTACTTGGCGTTTGTTTTGCACGGATGGGGTCTAGGTTCCTTGGATAGATGGGTTTGGTCATAGCCCTTGGCATGCATATGGGAGTTTGCTGCTGTGTTTGGTCTGCAAGTTGCTTTGAGAGACGACGCTCCGAGCTGCTTCCAGCTCCTGAGGACCATGTTCTTGCCGAGCTTCAGCCAGGCTCCGCATGGCGTCCGGTTCACAAAAACACAAAACGATGGACAGGTCGATCCGCGGTCAACTCGGGCTGGCTGAACTTTGATAAACTATTTCATTAAAGACTGGCTAGGGGCGGACACTCACCCCCAACAGCTTCTCGTCTTGCAGACCTTCACACGTATGCAGCGAGACCAAAGGGCCAGTCGACTTGACACCAGCAGAGGCAGAGAGGATCTAGATATATGTAACCAAAAGATGGTGTTACAGCTGTACAACTACTTTATACTAATGCCAGACATAATGAGTATCTATATACATTTAGTCTACGGGACAACTTCCACGCCCAAGCTTCAGCATCTCAACCTTGCAAGCGACGCCGGACAAATCAGGGCAAGCCGACAAACAGGCCATGCACTCATCTTTCGGCAACTTTCCTGCAAAAAGGACTACAAAGAAAGGGAGCCATCTCCATCGCTATCGGCCGGCAGGGATGTATTCTGGACCCTTGATTATGCGGTTGACGCAAACATACGTCACACTAAGCCAGTTCAGATAGCCATCGCCGAGCCAGTGGCGCATCGCCCGTCTCCAAGCAGACAAACACAGGATCTCCGTGTGCTAAGGAAACGCTGTGCAATTCGTGAGGACTGATTCCCACTCTGCGACGGAGCTCGGTTGCGCTCACTTCTGGGGCCTCTGCAGCTTCCGCTTCACCTTGCGAGATTCCAGTGCGGAGTCTAGAGTGTTGGCCTGCCGATATATATCACGGAGTATTACAGGGGCAAACAGAGACCGCAAACAGCTCAATTTTTCGACCAAAAGAGGCGAACAGAAGTTGAGCCCGGGACAGCATCTAGCCAAGATAGCCTCATTTTGTCCCTTTTCCACCGTTCCGCTGATCATCCATGCGCCCATGCCTTAGGGGGTCAAACCCAACAGCAGCTGCAAGTCCAGGAGGGTAGAAAGCAGGGCCGTCGAAAATTTAGTCATATCTAGCTCTTATAGACCGGGAAAATCCCTTGGCTGGTCTAGACAGTTACACGGTTCGATCATCCGGCAGTACACAAGGTATCTAAAGAAAAAATATATATGGATAGCCCTTGTCCGCCCTGAGCTTGTGAACGGTGGTGAGAAAGGTGCGAGCAAGCTCGGTGACTTGTGAAGAGACTGACCATCATGTTGCAACCGGGTTTGAGGACAGCGTTCAGGTCCCTGTTGAGCTTCATCAGGGACCTCTTCTCCAGAGGACCGTTCGCCTTTATTGTGAAACGCATCAGGGCATATCTGGCCATGGATAAGGTACGCTACCAACCATTTGATGGCCGTCGTCCCTGTGCTACATGCTGACTGCTTGTCGAATAACCAGTCTTCACATTCCTCACCGCTAGGACTGACTGAGATCATAAATCGAGAGCCGCCGGTCAAAGAACTTGTGTCTAGGTATGCACTATTGTTTTGATATACTTCTGCTGGCGGCGTTTCGCAGGATATACCATGCAAACCCCTGCTCAGTGCTTGTCGCTCGTATTCCCTCCCCCCATGCAACAGGGGTATATGATTGGCGACTTTATTCTCCGGAGATCAGGCAGCTAACCGCGAGCTAAATCCACAACAGCTTCCTAACGACGAAAGGTGCCTACCATCGAAACCACAGTGTCATTCCACAGCTCGACGGCGCAAGACATTTCATCACTGTTGATGGCGAAGTCGACAAGCCGTTCACTCTCTCTGTATCGCAACTCCGAAATGATTTTCAGCAACATGAAGTCGTTTGTGCAATGCAATGCGCAGGAAACAGGCGCCATACTATGCGAACAAAGCTGAAAGAAGTACACGGCGTTGACTGGACCGATGGAGCTGTCATGAACTGCAAGTGGAAGGGCCCTAGACTCAGAGACGTTTTGATGAAGGCGCAACTCAAGGACAAGGACCCGGAAAACAGCTTAATGAATGTCGCTTTTGCCTGCTTTCAAGCACCCTGCGAGGATGACGACTATTACGGCGTGAGCATTGAGTTGTGGAGAGCCATGAAGATGAGCGAGGAAGTTATTTTGGCCCTCGATGTATGAATAGCCTCCCATCGTCAACCCCCGATGGCTCTCTTGATTGACTGTTCTCTAGATGAACGATGAGACGCTGCTACCCGAGTATGGCTTCCCCGTCCGAGTAGTCGTACCAGGAGTTGCCGGTGCAAGATGGGTGAAATGGCTCGATCGAATCACGGTACAAGCGGATGAATCTCCAAATTTCTACCAGCAGCATGATTACAAAGTCCTCCCTCCAGAGGCTACTACCTGGGAAATCTCAGAAAAATACTGGAGTACCGTCCCGTCAATCCAAGAAATGCCCGTGAACTCAGTTGTCGCCTGTCCAGATGATGGAGAAACTGTCAAATTATCCTCCGACGGCTGTATCGAGGTTAAAGGATACGCTGTCCCCACTGGTAGCCAAGGACCGGTTGTTCGGGTTGAGGTCTCGACGGATGGCGGAGAGAGCTGGGTTGATGCCGAACTACAAGACGACAAGCCGCAATCCAAATGGACCTGGGCTTTATGGAAAGCCAGAGTCAAGGCTGAAAAGGGGGAAGACAAAACAATATACAGTCGCGCCACTGATGCAGCGGGAAACACACAACCAGAGTTCTCGCAATGGAATATTCGCGGCGTAACATACAACGGCTACGGTGCATCCTGGAATGTCAACATTGTTTAAAGTGGTCGGCGTTTAAATTTCTTTCTTCGTGCTTGTTGAGCAAGCGAACTCTCTTTTCTAACGAGTGGTTTCTCCAAAAGGTAGCGTTGGTGGTTTTTATGACTTAGCTCCGTTTAATGTTGATGTCAAGCTCATACCCGGGACCATGGGACTGCCCATTATCTCCTTTCATTCAATAGTACATAATGATGATCTATATTACTTAACACCACTATCAAGTACACATATTATCATGTTTGTGTAATCTATCAAATCACGGCAGCACTATATATTTTTCCAAATGTCGGGGTATAGCGCCTCTAAGATTCTTGCTCCTCAACCACTTATCAGAGAACAATCGGTCTGCATATCGATAGGCACCATCACACAGCATAGTCACGATAGTATGTCCCTTTCCGAGCTTCTCCGCGACCTCCTTTGCAGCAACAACATTGAGCGCAGAGCTGGCACCCAAGTATAGGCCTTCTTCATCAAGACAGCGGTATACCATCTCAATACTCTTCTCGTCACTGATGTTGAGTGCTCCGTCAACCAGATCGATATCAGGTTGCAAGTTATCTGTTACACGGCCCTGGCCAATGCCTTCCGTGATACTGCTACCAGTACGCTCTATGAGAGTGCCTCCGCTTGTGATGTAGCTGTATAGCACACTTCCTGGAGGATCGGCGAGGAAGGATTTCACCTTGCCGTCACTAACAGTCTTCAGGTACCTGGTAACTCCCGCCAGAGTACCACCGGTACCAGTAGCACAAGTAAAAGCATCAACTTTCCCCTCCGTCTGCGCCCAGATTTCAGGACCGGTGGTTTCGATATGGGCTCTGCGGTTAGCTATATTATCGAACTGGTTAGTCCAGACGGCGTTTTCAAGGGATTCGGCGTGTCTTCGGGCCTGGTGGTTGTAGTTCTCTGGGTTGTCGAATGCGACAGCAGGTACGGGGTAGACTTCTGCACCCAGAAGTCTTAATAGGTCGATTTTGCCTTGGGACTGGGTGTTTGGCATGTAGATAACTAGCTTGTACCCCCTTGATCGACAGACATGGGCCAGGCCGATTCCGGTATTTCCTGCCGTTCCTTCAACAACAGTGCCGCCTGGTTTAAGTATTCCTCGCTCTTCGGCGTCCTTGACCACGAATAATGCAGCCCTGTCCTTGACGCTTCCGCCGGGGTTTTGGAACTCGGCTTTTCCCAGGACATTACAGCCGGTTTGTTCGGAGAGGCGATTGAGGCGAATTAATGGGGTATTCCCGATCGCTGAGACCCATATCCATTAATTCTGGGTGTAAAAAGAGATATTTAAAAAGGCACACAGTTCGATTCACTTACCTCCGGTCAGACCCTTCACCACACCCTGCGCCTTGGAAACCCCGACTCCATAGGTGTTCCTCGCTTCCATCTGAGCGGCGGTCTCGGCAGCCCTCAGGGCTGTAGAGGTAAATGTCCGGACCCCCTTTCTAAACATGATGACTATGTGATATATAGATATGATATTAAACGGCAGAAGAGGTTGTCAATTGAGAGAGAGAGAAAAGCCGAGCGGTCACTCTCATCTTCGGGAGTTAAAAGGCGGAGGAGAACCGTAGTTGAGTTCCGATTAGTCAGAAGTAACGATACAGCTATGGCGTGATTAGTTCATGGAGCACATAGACAACGAAATACCAATATTTCCAGAGATAGAATATATATATTAATGTAAATGAAATCGGGGCGATTAATCTGAGGTTCAAAGTCCATCTTCAATTCAAACTTGCGAGGGAGGTCTGTGTTTCCATATTGGACGACACCGCGGCAGTCGGTTGTACATTCCAAAAGGAGACTAGCGTCACCGCGCTTATCTTATCGCGTGTTTGTTTACTTCATCCCGAAGAGGAAAATCTGACAACCAAAAAGACAGGAAGCGAGCAGGTAGCAACATGTTTTTACCGAAAGATCGATATTGATGCCGACATCCACCGGAGCCCACTTGGATTCAACTTTACTATAACTACCGCCAAAGGCGTGACTTGCCTCGACACCTTCCCTCACGCATTCCACGTCTGCCCCTCGCCGTCGTCCACAATCTCGAAATAGACCATACGACTGGCGCACCTCGTTATCCGACACTCGATTACATACCTCCGCGCAATAGACGTAACTTACGATGCCGGGACGCTCCTCTTCTACTCGCGCCTCGTCAGCTGCGTCCGCACGCAAGTCCTCCGTACCGCCAACAAGTGCACCTGCTGTTTATATTCCAGAGGAGCCTGCCTTACCCACAACCTCTGCGTCTCTTCGGTCAAATGTTGTCGAAATATTTGCGGATGCGCAGCGCGCAATCACAGGCCATAGGAAACTTGCCATTAAGTTGAGGAAAATTCAGGAAGTTTGCTGTGGACTCCGGGTATCTAAAGTGGATGGGAAAAAAGGCTCCCGTCTCAGCGAAATTCCTGACTTAGCCGGCGGCGGACTTCCAGAAAAGGAGCTAAACATCGAGATTTGCCGATGTTTAATTCGAGTAGTCCCAGTAAAGAAAGCCGAAGGAGCGGCCGATAGGGTTATCAAGTTTCTTGGAACATTCTTGAAAGCTGCCACTGATAAAGGTAAGCATATCAATTTGTTGACTGAGTTGAAAAAATCAAACTATGGAATTGACTTAATTGCTTAGACCTTGAGATTTATTCTGACGATGATCCCGATGAGACGCGCGGCTTACCGGAAACCCCTTCTTCGCGGCTTACATTCACAATCGTGTCCACACTCATCCCACTACTTGCCGCAAAGGATAAGACAGTTAGATACAGGACGACCCAGATCATCTCGCACATTGTGAATTCATTAGATTCCATTGATGACGAACTTTATAACTTGATACGCCAGGGACTTGTCAAAAGGATCAGAGATAAAGAGCCTACTGTTCGTGTACAAGCAGTTATGGGACTTGGCAGACTGGCAGGGAATGATGAGGAGGATGAGGAAGGAAACAATGGAGACAACCCCTCAGCTCTGTTGGAAAAGCTTCTTGATGTACTTCAAAATGATACCAGCGCGGAAGTACGGCGTACACTTCTGCTAAACCTTCCTCTCACTCCATCAACCTTGCCCTTCCTCCTTGAAAGAGCTCGAGATGTTGACGGCCCAACTAGACGAGCTCTGTATACCAGGTTACTACCCACACTTGGCGATTTCCGCCACCTGTCCCTCTCTATGCGAGAGAAGCTACTGCGCTGGGGTATGCGTGATCGTGATGACAGTGTCAGAAAGGCGGCTGGACGGCTATTCTATGACCGTTGGATTGAAGACTGCGCAAGTTCGTATAAAACAGAAGAAGAGGAAGACGGAGAGAGGTCTTCATCCCCCACAATTGCCGCTCTCACTGAGCTTTTGGAGCGAATTGATGTGGTGAACTCAGGGGTAGACAATGGAATTGCTCATGAGGCCATGAAGAATTTTTGGGAAGGAAGACCTGATTACCGTGATTCAGTTACCTTTGATCATCAATTCTGGGAGACCTTGACGGCTGAATCCGCATTTATGGCCCGAAGTTTCAATTCTTTCTGCAGACAGGAGGGCAACGGGAAACTCGAAGACCTAGCCGATGAAAAAATCCCCGAAGTCACTGCTATGGCATTTTATCTGCACAAGTACACGAATGTGCTTCTTACGCGATTAAACAATCCCGAGGATGCAGAGGGAGGAGAGGAGCAGACCATGGAATACGAATTCATAGTTGAACAGTTGCTCTATATTTGCCTCACACTTGATTACAGTGACGAGGTTGGGCGAAGGAAAATGTTTTCTCTCCTTCGAGAAACGTTAGCTGTTCCAAACCTCCCTGAAGAGATTACAAAACTTACAGTTGAGGTCCTACGCTGCGTTTGCAGTCCCAATGCTGCTGGGGAAGGCGAATTCTGCAGTGTAGTCCTTGAAGCTGTTGCTGAAGTCCACGACACGATTGTTTCGGAAGACAGTTTTGTGTCGGCTAAATCAGAAATTAGCGAAGACAGTAACCAGCCAGTCCAAAAGGATAAACGCAAAAGCGGTGCGGGACGAGGCGATGATGAAGATGAAGATAGCGAGGTGCCTTTTAACAAGGAAGAGGCCAAGGCTAAAGTTCTCAAAGAGATTGTGGTTAACATGAAGTGCCTCTACATTGCGCAGTGCATGCTTCAAAATGTGGAGGGAAATCTTCAAGACAACGTGCACCTCGTAACAATGTTGAATAACCTAGTTGTGCCTGCCGTTCGAAGTCATGAAGCCCCTATTCGTGAAAGAGGACTTGAATGTTTAGGGTTATGCTGTTTGTTAGACAAGGTACGTAAATTATACCCCACACTGCTTGCTTATATCCTGATCTAACACTTGAGTAGTCCCTAGCAGAGGAAAACCTGGGGTTGTTTATACACTGCTATACCAAGGGTCATGAATCGCTCCAAGAAATGGCACTCAGAATTCTCTCCGACATAATCACAACTCATAATTCGTTACTTGCGCCTGTTGCTTCTGCAAATGACCCTAACACCGTAACTCCGCCGCCATTTCAAAAACCATTATTGAAGGCCTTCGCAAAAGCCTTGAAGACATCAAACCTACCTCATGCTCAAAGTGCAGCTGTTATTGCGTTGAGCAAGATGCTCCTCACGAATGCTCTCTCCCCTTCTAACCCATCAATTCCTCCCTCTATCAAGGAATTCAATGATAATTCCGTTGCAACCCTCCTACAAGCTCTTGTTCTTGCATTCTTCAACCCAAGGACGCGAGACAACCTCACTCTCAGGCAAGCCTTGACCTATTTCTTCCCTGTCTACTGCCATTCACATATCGCCAATGCCCAGCATATGCGAAGGATTGCGGTTCCGGCCATCCGCACCGTTCTTGCAGCTGTGGATGATTTTTATGCACTTGAAGCAGAGGAGGATAGTGATGGTGAAATAGATGGAAGTGTCGGTGAAAAAGAGACGAAGGTACTCATGTCAGGTGTCGTTGGAATGTTGACCGAGTGGACCGACGATCGTCGCATTATCGGCCTAGGTGGTGGAGGAGATCCATTGGCCCCAGCGAGCCTTTCGAATAACTCGACACTCCGGCCGAGCGAGAGCCTTCACTTAGCTCTCGCCAAGGATATTCTACAACGAGTTCTGGGTGTAGGGGGATTCGCTACTGCACCACGAGAGGAAAGGAAATACTTGCTTTCGATGCTAAGCAAGCTACACTTGCCCACCCCCGCTCCAATGCCCTCATCAAGAGCCAGTTCTCGTGTTCCAGAGGGAGCTCCAGATGAAAGAGAAAGTTTGAGGTCCAGTATCAGGACTGACAATATGACTTCCCAGCTCCAAGAAGATGACGACGAGCTGCCTCTCCAGGTTAAAGACCTGCTAGATCAAGCCATTTCAGCGGGCGTCGCTAGTGATGCGTCAAGCCGAAATGCACTTGTGAAAGCAAAGAACTCTATCCTCAAGTTGCTTGCTGGTATTATTAAGCCTTCGGATATGGATTCCAGCACCATGTCTGCACGGCCTGGAAGACGAGAAAGGGTCCGTGTCAAGGATGAGCCAATTGAGGAAGAAGATGAAAATGAAGTGACTGTAATGTCACAGGCGAGCAGGGCCAGTTCAGTAGCAACAAGCAATATCAGCCGCATTGAGGAGGAAGATGAAGGCGAGGAGACGGAGACGGAAAAGAGACGATCATCAGCTCGCAGGTCAGAAAGTGTGGCCAGTACAGCTGAGGGTGATAATACAGAGTAATGGATATTCAATTTTAAATATCTCGATTTCTGTTTACATTGACCCACTAACACAGTTTCCTTTTTATGTTGAATGATATCACTTATGATCTAACATTATATACTGACATTTCAAAATGGAGAATATATCCTAGCCCTGACAATATATGTAACACGAACATTCGTAGCATGGAGGCGTTGTAAGGAAGTATGTATGAAACTTTCCGGACAATGTAGACTTAACTACAACGGAGAAGTTACAAAAGCAAGCTTAACTAGTAAAACAGAAGGCAATTTGAGAGAAGAGATAGATAGTAGAAGGCCGGATATCGAAATTCAATTAAAAGGAAAAGAGGCAAAGGAGAAAAGAAAATAAAACAGACGAAAAGGAAATTCCTTCAAGCCGCACTCCAATGATAAAAGAAAACCCACATGCCATCCCAAAAAAGAGCCAACCCATTTCCAACTGATGGCCAAAGGAAAACACTCCATCCTGCAACCAAAACTACCCTTGCATTGTCCGTTCATGGGGCAACCCTCCAAAGCTTGAGAGATGGAATCAACACAGTAACAGTAACGTATTAAAGGGGACTGAACAAAAATATATGGTGATGGGCGAGAGAAAAGGGTACAGGCCAAGAAAAAAGGAAAGATAGGAGTAACGATGGAATAGCAAGGGGGCAGTGATATGGTAGGTAGGTGGGCCAGCAGGGCAAACAAAAAAGTAGCAATCAAATGTAGAAAAGGAGGAATAAGAAGAGAAGAAAACATTTTCCTGGCATGAAGGGAACAGAACAGACACGCCGCATGCCATGTATAAGGTAAAATACTCCCGACTCTCCCGCTTTGCTCGTTTTCTCTTCCCGTCCGCTGTATTCCGACCTTCCCCCCGTTTCCCAAGACTCAGTCAAATTCTTTTCAAGGTAAAAAAAAAAAGCATGAAGGAGAAATAAGTAAGATAGAAAATAAAAGAATTAACAAGATAACCAATGTCCTCCCACTGGAAAAGATTTTTGTGTCAAGGAGAGGAACAAAATACCCGTCTTTCTGTAACCCGTTTCCAATTTCCTTCTGATGTTTTGGATGCCGCTCTTTTGCTTTCGATTTGCTTCGCTGGTGTAATTATTTTTTTTGTGATCATTTTCGGTGATTTTGACTGTAGTTGTGTCCAAAAGAAGAGTGTGCTTTGGTATATTCTCTTTCGCTCAAAATGCCATAAGAAAAGCAGAAGCATCCGTCCAACATCCCACAACCCCGCTCCAAGAGACCAAAAAAAGAAAGAATAAAACCCAGGAAGAATCAGATCCATGTTCGCGCATCGAGTGTAATTTGGGACCAGTCTATTGAACTGCTTTTGATATTATTCCGGAAAAAGGCGACTGGAAGAATGAGGCCAGTCGGAAGTTTGGTAGTATGGTGGTTTCCTAGCCCGGTGGTTTCCTGGCCCAGGTTGAAGCGGTTAACTTCTTGTAATTGACCGGAAGATGTTGCGAGTGGTGAAAGAATCTTCGGCTGGGATGAAGATAAAATGGTAGGAGACCGAGGCCGTCACTATAATGGGACTGAAACAAAACAATGCATGGGTTTGGGAGAGACTGCACATATAAGTAACGGGAAAGAAAGAAACGAAGAAATAAGGGCCAACTCCTTCAGAGCTAGACTGAGAAGGAGTTCTAATGGGACAATCTTGGGGTCTTAGGCCTGTATAGAAAAAAATTTGGTGTCGTATAGGAATGGAGTGGTGTAGTCAGGCTACCCACAAACAGTCCAGCGAAGGCGGATTCGTTCCGGATTTATGCAGGAGACTTGTTGGCAGATGCGCCGTTTCTGCGTCCATGGGGCTCGTCTCCGACGGTCAGACCTCCAAGACCAGTAGAAAGGAAGGCAAAGGGATCAGATGCCCCGTCACCACTATAGAATCCGCCGCCATTGGAGGTACCAACGGGCTGAGGGGTATGGTCGGCAGCCGTGAATGCAGCCTGGGTTGCAGGATTGCCGAAGGAGGCAACGGACTGAGAGGCGCTAGTAGAGCCATAACCGCCATGGTTCATTTGGCCCATGGGTGGTGGATAGGGTCCTGGAGCATTGGCAATACCGGATGGAAGGGAGTAGGTGCTGGGTGGACCACCAAATTGTTGGCCAAAGCCGCCGAAATTACCACCACTAGAAGCAAAAGGGCCGGCTCCAGGAGTGTTTGCCATAGATGGAGGACCTCCCATGCCGAAACCAGACTGTGGATCCATGGGAGCTGGGAATGCAGAGTCCGCAACAACTGCAGCACCTGAACGTGGTCCACCGCAGCGAAGACAGTTGATGTTCTTCGCAAAGTTGTGGTAGCCACAGCCATCAGACCCGCATTTCCAGTCTCCAGCACGGAATGGCACAACACCACCATTTCCTCCTATTCCTCTTGAGTGGTGGCCGATACCATGACCACCATGACCTCCGTGACCTCCATGGCCTCCATGGCCGCTGTGACCACCATGATGACCCATGTGGTGTGGTGGTGGCATCATGTTGGGTGGTCCATAAGGGTAGGCATATGGCATTGGGTCTGGGCCAGAGCCAACAGCTGGGTACGAACAGCGGAAGCATGCAGTACGACGCTGGAAGTTGGAGAAACCGCAGGATGGACACGTCCAATCGCCAGGACGAGGACGATTCTTGCTAGGTGGGAACGGAGCCAGAATCTCCGCAGCACGGTCGAGGACACGGCTCGAGGAAGGAGAGACTTCAATTGCTTTGTCGTTCAATGCACGGCCATTCATGCAAAGACTTTCAGCAGCCTATATGTGTACATGAGCCACTGGTTGGATTACTATCATTGGAATAAGGTAATGACCACGAAACTTACCTCTTCATGGGAAGAGAAGACTGCAAAGCCGGTGCCAGTGGGCTTGTGCTGGTCTGGGGTCCTCAAGGTCCAGAAGGCAATAGGCCGTCCACCGAACTGAGTGTACCAGCTCTCGAGTTCAGACTGTGTGGTATCATGAGGCAAGCCACTCATATGCAAAACCTTACTACGCTCTGCCAAGAACGCACGAACGTCCGCTCTGGCGTCCATAGGGCGGGTCATAATTTCCGGGTGTTCGTGGGGAGGCTGAGACTTGCGGATCAGGCCACGGAGCACTCTGGCAAGTGTAATTACTTCCTCCATTGCACGGCGAGGGGACGCAGGGGCAAGAGCCTGCAGGTGGAAGGGCAGGTTGTGCTTAATGGGGGCGGAGGATTGGACGGGCTCAACCTCGAGAGCGGCACAGATGTTGGCCAGGTCGCTGGGACCGAACGGGAGAGACTCCGGATGGTGCTGCTGCCATCGTTGATACTCGGTGCGAAGGTCGAAGGTGCGGGAATGCTGCAGATACGGGGGTAGCACGACAGCTTTATCACGGGCCTCCCTGGGCAGCTGCACACGCATGTCCCATGAATCCAGCGTCACAAAGGCGAACTCGAGATTTTTCGACAGGAGATTCTCCTGGGCAAAAGTGTCGAAACGATTGATGGCATCGCGGAAAGTACCTGCGGACCGAACGTGTTCCCAAGTGAGAGTAGTCAAGCTCGCTGTAAGCGTTTGCCTGGTTAGCAAGGAAAATAGTCTCCACGCCAGGTCCGGCGAGTAAAAAAAATATATATATAAAAAAAAAGAATAACAAAAATAAGAGATATCAACGGAATTGGAGAAGACGTACTGCAAAGAGGCGTAATGGGAGTGTTGACTGGCTTCACCAGCACACTCTCACGATGGATCTGGAGGTAATTGATATACGTGGTCAGCAAGCTGGCCACTTTGAGACGGGCTGGGTGAAGCCACAGCGGCCTACCTCTTCACAGTTCTTGGTGTCCAGGAGTATCCATCCAAGCTCAATGACTTCGGCAGAGTCCTTTGTAACGTAGACGCCATGTTCATCACAGGTTGTAGCGACGTGGATGATGATGTATCGGTCAAGTTTTGGGGTGGGAGACTGGATGGACGCCATATTCGATGCTTGTCCGGATTGATCGACGGCAACGACGGCGACGGGAGACGATTACGGTTGATTAGGGCGAGTAGTTGCAGCGAGCTCAGCACTGATGGAGGGAGCAGGCCGTTCGTTCTTCTATCCCGAGTGCGTTTGTTGTAGATGGGGGAGTTTCCAGCAACCAAGCGGCCAAAGAAGCAATGGAAATAAAGCCAACAGCAGCAGTAGAAAACAAGTGAATTAAAAAAGGAACCCCCGACGATGAAAACCCCCCAGTTAATAGCAAGAAAAGAATAATATAACCAAAACAGAGAAGATCCTGGCAACGGAAAAAGAGAGCGTGGTTAAGGATAGAATCGAAGGGGACTTGACGGGGAGACGGAGAGACGGAAGGACGGAGAGAAGAGAGGGAGAAAAGAAGAAAAGGGAGAGACGAAGAAGAGTATCTGCGTCCTCTTCTGTTTCTTCGTCTTCTTCTTCGTCTTCTTCTTCTTCTTCTTTATAAGGCGAGGGAGAAGAGAGAGAGAGAGAGGGTGAGTGAGAGAGAGAGATGTTGGTTGTTTGGCTGCAGGAGAAGAAGGACGAAGGACGAAAACGAAAACAGGTGGGCGGCTTTTTTTTTTCGCTCTTTTCGGGTGGAGGCTTTTTTTTTTTTTTTTGCTTCTTCTCCAGTCTTGCTTGGGCTTAGTTAAGAAGCGTGAGACGGCCGTTTGGTCGCGAGCAGCAGCGCCGGCGAGGTCTCGCTGGCTCTTCTCTGGGGCTGTTCGAGGGACGGTCGAGGGTGTCTACGAGCGACAGGCTGCGAGACAGACGCAGGGCCTTCACGCTGGCTGGGAGCGTTGGCGTGGCGGGTGGTGAGAGCTTCCCTTCGCTTGCGGCCATCTTGACCCCAGCTACGGAGTAACTAACAGACGAACCACGCAGCATCCAACCAACTGCCGGGCTCGCCAGTCAATAAGATGCCCATACACCAGGCTGACTCGAGGAGGACGCTCGCTGCAGTGACAAATCAGCCGGCTCCAGAGCTTACGAATGGGCTTCACGCGGACACCGGTGGCAGCCTACAGACACAGACAGATGGGAAGCCCAAGTCCTTGTCTCTACAAGAGATGCGTGTGTGCGATGAAGAGAGACACCGATTACACCCCGGTCGATGGTTATCTCATAGTACGCCCTTCTCTCTTGCCCGTCGCCAAGCGGGACAGCCTGTTTGTTGGCCGTCCTGTGCCCTCGAGCTGCTCCTGGTATAAAGCGACAAACAAAAGGCTACTCGACCACTGCAGCTTCCCGGGCCAAGGGGACGATTCACGGGGACCATGCATACATACGGATAATATACGCAGGCAAGGACGATATTCCCGATGTTTTTCTCCCCGCCGGGCAGTGAGCTCGGATTACAGACTTTTTTTTTTTTTTACTCTTTTCCTTTCCAGCTCTCGTCCATGCCCAGGAGAGGTATTTTCACCACCCGGGAGTGCTACTATACACACAATTCTTTTTGCTCGTTCATGTCAATCCCTGGCTGATGCAGGCTACGACTAGCTTACCCGCTCACGAGAGAGCGTACATACAGCTGCACCAGGCTGCAGCACCCTACGCCAATGTCACGATTCCAAACGGCGACTATCAACTTTAATTTGCTGTCTGCCACGGGTTTCTGGTTAAAGCAGTCATGGTACTGGTGCCAGATGACAGCGGGCAGCGAACCCAAGTCGCTCTCAGCTAATTAACACAGCCGGATCTTCGTCTGTGCTACTAACTATCTACTAGTGCTTTTGTTTTTTTCAGCGGACAGCCTCTGGCCCAAGGGATCACCCCTCCTCAACCCTGGGCTATGCAATATATTAACCAGTTACATTGTCACCCTTTGCGCTAATCAATAGGCCGCCACAGAGCACAGCCCTCTTGAATGATATCACTGCTCAAAACCGCACCTTGGAAGCTGATGTTTAAGGGTAGATTACGGTAGAGTAAATCTCGCACGTATGGACTTACTCATGGTACCACTAACTGTCTGTCCTCTCCATTCCTCCTTTATCATATATTCTATGACAGGATGTCGGTATTAGACAGAAATGCTGTTACCAGAGGGCTCGGGCGATCGGGTACCCCATGGAAGTAATACCGCCGAAAGAAGTGTGGCGGCTTCTATATCACGTCGCGAATACGACTATTCGAGTACATGCATTTTTTTTTCGCGCCCTCGTGTTGCAGCCGCCCTTGTCAAGCGATTATGTCAGGTTCCTTACTTGGGCTTGGTTTATACCCTTCTATAATACCGGGATAATAGCCAAATTACGAGGTCATGAATGCATACCAATGCTACTTTACTCCCGCTCATGCATTTCATGGCCTGCAGCAGGCACGTAGTCCAGGTTTACTTCGGCTGCCTACTACCTCAGACATGCTAGAAGAACGCTATATGGACAGTTCTACGGAGAGAAACAAGGCTAGAGGAGAGGCACAAGTTTCTCAATTAGTTAATATGTGGACCGTCTTTGGCCTTTCCATGCCCTCGATTTACATATTCGCTCGGTCGCTAGAAGGGGATATCAAGTTACCATGACGTCTCTATCCCTCGCATATTAAACACAATTACAAAGGCGTTCATCTTATACCTTAGACGGAACATACCGGAGAAGATATCCGAACGTACGTAGTTTTGGGCAGAAAGTATATCATGAACCCACTTTATTGCCCAATACGCTTCCTACATTGCAGGGAATATGTCACTTGCGGAGTTCGAGGGATATTGGACCCATACATTCTATGAATGGCTGTACCTGTATCCTCAAAGCTATGTGATTGAATATGATACGGACGCTAGGCAAGAGCATGGCGGAGTCTACTCGCCATGGGATTTCTTTCCTTCAACCATGCCATGAAAGTGAATCAACATATTGATGTAAGTACTTCGTACATAGGTTTGTATAGTTTCGGCCATTTCTGCCACCCCGATCTACCCCCTATTAGGGGATATATAATGCAAATAGGGAATATGAGATGTATAATCTACGTTTCTGCCTCTTGAATCCGCGAATGGTGCGAAGTTGTTACCCTTAATGTTGCCATCGCGAGCGAGCGACAAAGAAGGTCGCGCTTACAAACTCAGCTTGGCGCACGGCGCGGCGCCGCGTTCGGGAACTAATCCTCTTCCGGCGCTTGGCGCCTGGACGCCCCACATTAGCGGCTCAAGAAACAGAAATTCAGGTACAGCAATGAGAAGCAGCTGAGTCGTGAATGCCGACGGTGTCGCGACGTCCGAGTGACCAAGAGTGGCTGTGGAACGACTGTGTTCTGCGTCCAGTCACTTGTGGGCCGCGATGAAAAAGCTATAAAAGCTACTCATTCAACCCACCCTCCTCAACTTCTCTTTCTCTTTTGCTCGCGGACCAATCAATTGCACCTTGAAGTTTACCAGTTGTTTCTTGGGCGTGTATTGGCATCACCTGTCGTTGACAAGTATAATGAAGTTTACTACTGCTTCGATTTTTGCTACCGCTGTGTCTTTCGGCATCGGCACCACCAAGGTATTTTATTAGTTCCGCAACCGGCTAACTAGTCAAGAGCTAAAGTACACCTAACATGACAACAGGTCTATGCAAGCCCGCTCGCCGACACTCTTCCTTACCCAACTGGGCCGCTGACATATATTGGCCCTGTTGAGGTAAACGGGAAGAACGTGACCCTTGAAGGCACTGTCCAAGAGATCTACTCCCAAGTCAAAGATCTCACCGGGTCAATACTAAAGCCAGTGGACATTCCAAAGGATGACCCTAAACATAAGCTCCAGACCCGTTCTAAGGTGATTTATAGTGACCCATAGCGTCCAAATGTTTGGCAAATTTAGCTGCAGATGGTTAACGAGGGATAAAATCCAGGTGTCGCTTAACTGTCACCCACAAGGCGGAGGTGCCAATCTCAGACCAATCCGAGACGGCATAAGATATCTTAACGGGCTCCAAGGAAAATGTATAGGCGTACCACGGACATGTACCCGTGTGAGCTGCTCCTGGAAGGCGGGCATCTTCCTTTGTAACGATGTAAGTTGTATAATGTCGGCTTACTACCAATACTTACTGAAGTTGTGCGTGACAGAACATGCGTACGGTCTATGTTCCTTGCAAGCAGATCGCAGAATATGCTCAAGATATTGTGAATGTGTGCGTTACTAATCCCGAGGTATCTTCGCTTAGAGGCCAGGAGTTTGATAGCGACAACTGGAACGTTGTTATCAAAGCTGGTCATTGTTAGAAACCCGGCCTTCAAGGCGATGCGAAAGGTTTTCCGGTAGACTTTCATCTTTCGTCATCCCCTAAATCCATTTTGAGCATATGACAGATACTGGATAGTCTCTTCAGGAAGTATGTTAGTTAATTATTCGCTTAATCCGATCAACGATAGAGGAGGTTTAGTGCAAGCATACCTATGGTAAACTGGGGACTCATGTATTACAATAAATAGGAAGGGAATAATAAAGGATAACCCGTTAAATAGGTGTTGTGTATCTACGGAGTATTTTGTAGGCAATTCGGCTTGTTGTGTTAGCAGGAGTGGCTGACGCGCTAATCCCAACCAGGCAATGCCAAACCTTCCATGCGTCACTACGTCAGTTTGCGAGTTTCCTCACACAAAATGCCATCCTTCGGTCCCCAGATCCTCAATCCTCAGTTCTTTTCCCACTGACGAGTAGTCCCATCAGTACCTAGCTCGTTCGTTATTATACAGCATCTATCGCTTGACCTGACTGACTTGTCGAAGTTTCGATACTCGCTACAGCAATGGACATGAAAAAGAAGAAGCGGAAGGTCCTGCTCATGGGCAAAAGCGGCTCGGGGAAGTCCTCCATGCGATCGATAATATTTAGCAATTATGTCGCAAAGGATGTGCGGCGACTGGGAGCCACAATTGACGTCGAACATAGCCATGTCAAGTTCATCGGTAACCTAACGTTGAATCTGTGGGATTGCGGAGGGTAGGCTACGTTGCGGCATCCCCAGAAGATCGTGGTTAGCTGCTGACATACGCCTGACCTCCTAGACAAGACGCATTTATGGAAACGTATCTCGCATCCCAGCGCGAAAATATATTTTCCGATGTCGCGGTGCTGGTATATGTTTTTGATATCGAATCCCGTGAAGTCGAGCGAGACCTTGACACCTACAGCGCAATCATCGGTGCCCTCCAAGAATTTAGCCCGAACGCCTACGTCTTCTGTCTCATACATAAGCTCGATTTAATCCAGGCCGAACACCGAAGGCGGATATGTGAGGAACGATCAGCGTTGATTCGCGCCCGATCCGGCTCATTTTCAATTGATACCTTTGGCAGCAGTATCTGGGACCAGTCGCTGTACAAAGCGTGGGCTGGGATTGTACATAAACTTATCCCAAACCTCTCCGTGATAGAAAGGTTTTTGCATGCCTTTGCAGCTAAAATCGACGCCGAAGAGGTGGTGCTCTTTGAAAGATCGACGTTTCTGACTATCACCTCTGTCACGTCTGAGGTGGGCAAGCTAAACCCCATCTACGACCGCCACGAGCGGCTATCGAACATCATGAAGGCGTTCAAACATTGTGCTGCTAGGAATACGCATACAACCCCTGCGTCAGCAAGTTTCCTGGTCATGCACACAAAGACCCCTCAGTTCAACGTGTTCCTCGGCTTATTCACAGACAATACGTACATTCTTGTTGTGATACCACCGGGCGAAGCCGCGTACAACTGCGCGGTTATGAACACTATGCTGGCTCGTGAGGGGTTTGCCAAAGGCTCATCAGGAGGCAGTGCTGACGGGTTCCCACTTTCATATTCTGATACCCCGGCTAGCGTACCGAATGGACAACAGAATGGACATGGCTGAAAAAAGATATATCCGGAGAATCCGAATCACGCCACGCCGTAAATATTATATCCGGGTAGACATATTATTATATATACGCCACCCTTCGACTTCCAGCAGCTTCCACTGTTACTCTCTTCCTACGCCTATTTATCGCTGTTACTTCATTGGCTATCCTTCTCTATGCTGTGAGAGCTGCGCAAAGATACCCGTTTCTATTTATCCAGGAACACCGTAAATGCAGTAATTGGTTTCTCTCCAATTTCTTTTGAAGATTCTCCTTTGTCTTTCTCTTTTCTTTCGTGCTTCAGGGTTAATAGTAGCATTGTATCGGGAATTAATATCGATGATAGATGGATGATACCGCCACCTGCTTACGATGGACTAGTTTACGTGATTCAAACCAATATATCCAATTATATCTCCTTTCACCAATACCTTTCACCCCAACTACACTGGATGGCCAAGATGTCAAGAAACAAAGTCTTAAAAAGTTCATTCCATCAGGCATCACAGATGAGGAATCCTGCCATGTGAGCCAAGTATAAATAGGCCGTAGACGCTAGTTAAACGAGCCTGGCTAACTACTCTGCATTGACTAGTTAGCAAGTCAACTCTCTATTTCTCTGGGCGCTGGGATGTAATAGTAACGGAGGAAGTAAGATCCGGCGTATGTTCCCAATCCCACGAGTCGGGCATTTATCGGGCATATATATCTAGCTCCGGGGAAGATTTCCTCCACATTCGATCTGGAGCCTTCGATGCCAACAAAAATTGCTAGGAGTAAACAACGGAACCACCGGAGAAGTAGATGCTAAGCATCACGCCCTACGTTATAGACCGGTCGATCAATGCGTAAATTGCGTACTCGGCGGAATAAGGTGTTCTTCCAGATGGAAAGATAAAACTCTCGCTAGAAGCTTCTGGGGTAAGTTATCTGTAACTAGTCTAAATTGGTAGCACCAGAAGAGCTTCCCTTAAGCTAACGGAGCTAGTTATGGAAGGGGGCTAACGGTGGCGTAGAGGATGTCAAGGTTGCAATCTCGTCGGGGTCGCCTTTCACGAGGCGAGCTTCACACGTGATGGCTGTGATGATCCCGTCAACGGTGTTTCCAGCACTGAGGAACAGTAAACGCGGAGAAACCTAACATCTATCATGGGTGCTATTGTTAGCATATTATTGTGAAAGTGACGGCTCTTCTGCCTATCCCTGCCTGATAGGCCATGGGAGGACTCAGTACTCTGGGCTCGAACCCGTCAAAATCGCGCAACCCCTCTCGAATTCCCCAGAAGGGACCTGGGTGGCCAAGAGTATAACCCTGTCGGCCACTATGCAAAAGTGGCCGCCAAAGCTTGCCAGCATTATCGTTCATTTTTCTGGAGATGCGGAGGTTCTTCTGGGCGAGGGAGCGCATTTTCTTTGGCCGCCAGAGCGTAACTCGCTCGGCTCTTGGCGATTGCTTCTATGGTGGTCAGCGAGCGAGATGAGCTTGGCACGGGGCGAAGCGTGGAGGAGGCGGACAGAGATACGAAGGGATCTCAACTCGCAAAAGCTGAGGCAGCAGCCTATCTGACTTGCGGGGAAGGGAGCTTTCGCATGCGACCAGCTCTGCGAGGCTTTGGTACTCTATATCTGTGCTCCCGTATATAAGATTGGGCGACCTTGGTGCTGATATAAATATATCTTTCTGACAGCCAACACGAAGGCAACGCAACCCTCTTTCGCTCGCTGGCCGAGGCTGAACCCCACAGTCTCAACAAGCCTGTTTTCAGTGGGCCGTGGCAATAATATGTATGCAGTGTCTCGCACCACACGGCAGAGCAAGTTGTAATAATAATAATAATTTGTTATTCTGTCAAGCAAACAGTGTAGCGTGGTAAAGTGTGCATGCTTAGTGATGCAAAGATGCTGGTCGCCGCCACCCAGCATGGACCCATTCGATGTCATGTACGGAATAGCTGGTGTAAGAATATAGGATGGAGTTTCTAGACTACTGTGACTGGAGGAAGCTCGCGCCCTTATATTGACACGAAAAGGATCCATGATGTCACAGCACTTCGGGCATCACGCACTGGACTAGCATGGCTCCTTCGAAATTGCGTTCACCGGACTCTTCGCTCTCAGCTTTGATACCAAGATGGTCTATCAATCGCTGATAAACGATGAGATTGCCAAGCACAAGAAGGTGTGTTTCCCCCTGGCACCCAAGCAACCAAGCATCTAGGCGACATTTGGGGTGGTAGGGATGCATACGGAGGCCTTGTCAGGAGACGGAGACACAGCACTTTTCGGAGAGACTTCCCAAGGGCCGACGATAACAAGTCAAGAAGCATCGTCTATCCTGGCTCCATGGCGGTAACTCGCGGCGTTCAGTCGGACTCATCACAGTTCAGGGCGAAAAGGCGGTCCTCTTTCACAAGGGTTAGAAGGGCTATTTTGTCGGTGGAGATTCGAAATGATAACAGAGCCTGTAATCCTGCAACTAAAAAGTCCATTCTCTCCTAAGTAAGATATGGCATACCGCGACCTTGCAGCACTAGCCGACTGGCTCGGATACTGCATCCATGCGGAGAATTATTTGGGAAAAAATAAATCCTTCTCCATAGTATTCGCAACCAGACGTCAGTATGGTTGCAGTTTCTCCATACAGGGCTCTAAGAAGGGATGATTTTATGTTAGCCAAACGTAAGATTCGATTTACTTTGCACATCAACAGGGACCTGGATAGCAGATAAAACCACTTGCAAGCAGCATCGGGTGGAGAGAGGTTGGGATTAATGGCCTTCGGTAATGCTCTCCGACAGGAGGAAGTTGGCCGTACTCAATAGGCTCTTGTCTCATTCCACGGGAAAAGAGCTTGACAGCGGCCACGGGGGGGTTCCGGTAATGCTTGTCTTCCGGCATATCCTTCGCCCTTCGCTCTCTCTCTCTCTCTCTCTCTCCCCGCCTTTCTCTCGATGCTGGTGGTGGTGACGATGATGATGTCGATTTGACGTTGCTTGTGTAGATCCTTAAGGGGGTCGACACTCCTGTCACATGACCCGCCTCAAAAAGCCACTTTTTCTTCTTCTGCCTTGAACGACCAACGTCAACGAAACAACGAACGTCGGGCTCGTATTCACCATGTCCCACAGCGTGTCCTCTGCGCTTGTTTAGTGAATCGAACAATTTCTGGAAGCTTTCCTTTTTCTCTTCCGTCCGTGAAACCTAAGCAAGGCGCGGTCGCCCGTCTTCAAGCTTTGCAACCCTTTGGTCCTGAGTTGGAGTCGCCCCTCCGCCTCCATTGTTAATTTTGGCCTGGGGGCGCAACCAAGCCTTCAGTTCGGCGCCGCCAATGCACTGACCAGAGACGGATAACACCAATGATACACCGCGTGATGGGATAACCATTAGTTATATATCCCCCAACGGAGTACTCCGTACATGGAAAGAGAACGAGAGAGAGAGAGGACTTCCCGAATCTCGGCTTGGATGCATTTGTTCCAGTGTCCAAGTGGCTGTCCCTGTCAGACTCCAGACAGGGACCCCATGCCGCTGAAATTACAACCCCGGACGACAGGGATCTTAACTAACGTTAGCCTGCAATCTCCATGAAATTTCATACTCTTGGTGCATAATAGCGATAAATTATATGGCTGTCCCGAACGCTTGCATCAGAGAAACCCCGTTCGATAGGTTGGGCGGTTCGCGGGAGTCTCATCACAGAGTAACTCGCCATGTCTAATACGCAGGTCACCACCGGCTTCTTCCCGGCACCGCACCAATAGGATCCAAGGGTACTAATACCACACATACGCCCAAACCATATACGGGGTGAACACGCTTTTTCGGGACGCTTGACGAAGTCCTCGACCCAAAAATGGAGATGGCGTTAAGTCGGAATCTCTCCCTCTCTGCAACCCCAGAATGGTTAAACGGGAGTCAATAAGGGCTTTGCCCACTTTTTTGCAAAATTTTACTTTTTTACTTTTTCCTCGCGTTTTTGCACAGCAGGCTACTTATGGTTGTGGTTTTCTTGGGGCTGATATAAATACTACCCTTTGCGCCCACCAAGGCGCAGACTGCTGCATTCTCCCTCCGACCTTGCCCTCTCCTGCCTCAAGACTGACGGTGTTGAAACTCTCCCACGCGGCATCGTATCTATAGAGTCTCTAGAGAGTCCTTGTCCGGCGTGTCTAACTAGCTGCCTCAATAACCTCAGTCCAGCCCAGACGTCTCTGGCTTTTGCCAACCGCCCACGATGGCGACCTGGGAACAGAAAGATGGCCCTCTCAGTGAGACGATGCAGACGAAGGAGGAGTTTTCAGATCAGACCGGCGAGATACAGTATGAGAGCGATCCAAACACCAGCTTGCACCGTGGACTGAAATCCCGGCACATTACTATGATTGGTAAGCCGTGATAGATCCAGCTTCCAGCTTGGACGATATTGCTAACTGTTGCTAATAGCTATTGGTGGTGCAATTGGAACTGGTTTGATTATTGGTACTGGTGCTGCTTTGGCAAAAGCTGGTGTAAGTTGAATTTCCGTGTTCAGCCATGAGTTTCCACTGCAAAGCGCTAATAATATGATAACCTTCAGCCTGGGTCCGTTTTTATTTCTTATCTCATTGTCGGTTTCGTCGTCTGGATTGTTATGAGCGCGCTTGGTGAGATGGCCGCATGGCTACCCCTTGCCAGTGGATTTACCGGATATGCCGTTAGATTTTGCGACCCTGCTCTTGGTTTTGCCCTGGGTTACAGGTTAGTTACTCCGTGAATGCGCTTTTGTTTTTTATTTTCCTTCGTTTTTTTGCTCCTCAACATAGATTATCTTTGCTAACATGTTGTGATAATAGCTATTACTGCAAGTATATTATCATCACACCGAATCAGTTAACTGCTGCTGCACTGGTCATACAGTACTGGGTTAAGCGAGATAAAGTGAATCCAGGAGTATGGATCACCGTTTTCCTGATCGTTATTGTCGCGATCAACTACTTCGGCATCAAATTCTTCGGCGAGTTCGAGTTCTGGCTCTCCTCGTTCAAGGTCATCATTATCCTTGGAATTATGCTCCTGACTCTCATTCTTGCCCTCGGAGGCGGTCCCGATCATGACAGGAAAGGGTTCAGATACTGGAAGGATCCAGGAGCGTTTAACACATACCTTACCCACGGCTCATCCGGCCGATTCCTTGCTTTCTGGTCAACTATGGTTCAAGCTACCTTCGCTTATCTCGGAACTGAGCTGGTTGGTGTAACTGTCGGTGAAGCTCAGAACCCTCGAAAGACGATTCCCCGTGCTATCAAGCTTACCTTCTACCGAATTCTCTTCTTCTACTGTCTTAGCATTCTCTTCCTCGGAATGGTCGTGCCATACAACCACCCAGACCTCCTCTTTGCAAACAAGTCTTCCAACAGCGCCAGTGCATCTCCATTCGTCGTGGCTATCCAGATCGCCGGAATCAAGGTTCTTCCATCCATCTTCAACGCTTGTATCCTTATTTTCGTCTTCTCTGCCGCCAACTCCGATCTCTACATTGCAACCCGAACCATCTATGGTCTGGCTCGTGAAGGCAAAGCTCCCGCTATACTTGCCAGAACCAACCGCAGCGGTGTCCCTATCTACGCCCTTGCACTTTCCACCATGTTTGCCTTGCTCGCATACCTGAACGTCTCGGACGATTCCAAGGTTGTGTTCGGCTACTTTGTGAACATGGTTACCATGTTCGGTCTTCTCTCCTGGATCTCCATCCTGGTAATGCACATCTACTTTGTGCGCGCTCGCAACGCCCAGAACGTTCCAGAGACATCCCTTGCCTTCAAGGCACCATTGGGCGTTCCTGGCTCTTATGGTGCTCTCGCCTTCTGTATCCTCATTGGCCTCACCAAGAGTTTCAACGTCTTTGTCCACAGCCCTAAAACTTATGGTAACCTCGACTATAAAAACTTCATCACCTCTTATCTCGGTATCCCCATCTATCTTATCCTTCTCTTCGGATACAAGTTCTACACCAAGACTTCTGGCGTCAAGGCTGCAGAGGCCGATCTCTGGAGTGGAAAGGATGAGATCGATCGTGAGGAGGCTGAGTTCCTGGCCCAGGAAGCTGTCAGGAGAGAGAAGCAGGGTGATTCCGGCTGGTTCTACAGGACATTCGTATCCTGGCTATTCTAGACACCATGTTTACGACCTAGCGTTAATGTTTTTTCTCATGAATAAAATACAGTTCATGACTTTCTTCTGTTTATTGAGTGAATTTGTATGGAGTATATAAGATAATGAAGACCATATCTCTCTCAAGCTTGTCTATTTACTTTGTAACTAGTTATTCAGGCAGCATCTGGTCCCGTCGCTTCGCTTCCCCAAGCCCAACTCGTTTATGCACAGCCGACAGGGTTAACTAATTTAATACTAGTCAACTCACTACATCCATCTGATTTCTCGTCAACAGAAAGGAAAAAAACAAGGCTCGATCCCGCATTTTCCCACCGCTGTGATTGGCGTATATGCATGCGGACATGAATGCGCAGGAAATGAAGAAAGATGGCTGGTCGATGATTCGCTAACTATTTGGTTATTTCGTTGCTTCGTGCTGGCGATGCTCGCCCCCTCTCCCCTGCAGCCGCTCCGTTCCAAGCCTTTTATCAACCACCACAAAACAAAACTGCGACAGGGGATTCTCAACCTCACCACCGCACACTTGACACGGTTCACGCTGCTGACAGCCTTGCGGACCGGTCAAAAGCGCCAATGTTACTTCTATCGCTTCTTTAACATTTGCGCTACTCGTTGTCTTAAGTTGTTCGTCGCGTTGAGCGTTTGTTTTCAAGCTTCTCTTCGTCTTGCGCAGCAGTGATTTGGATATCAACGTCCTCATCACAACGGCTGAGTACTTGCATGGCGGGGTTATTATAATTTCCAACTCAGCTGGACATTGGCAAGTATATATTGTATCCTATCTGCATCCTCTTGACATTTGATGTATAATCTTCTTTCTCCTGACGATGCTAATGTTCAACTTAGCTCGTTAGTTACATGTGCATTACCTGGTCTGACGGCGCGCTTAGATACCACAATGAGCAAACAACGAAAAAAATCCGGCAAAGATCTTGAGCGGATAATCGAAGATATAAACATTGGCTTTGACCTCGATCTACCAAGGGTACAATCACAAGGCCCCTCCGAAAGCTGTCCCGCCGAACAGAAATGCGTCAGCTACATCATCTACCTGTACTGGAACGATCATCTCCACGAGCCCCTGGTGGAGTTATTCAAATGGGATAGACGACAATTCCCTAACCGCCAGATATCTGGGAGATCCTTTCAAAGTTATTTTGCTGACCCGCTCTCATCTACTGCACTACGGCGTGGGCTTGACCAGCCTTTGAGGCTGCGTTCTGAGAAAGAAAAAGCCGGGGTTTATGAATATTGGTCTAAAGTACTATATGACGCGTATTGGATAGCGAGGCACAACTTAGCTGAAAGCACCTCTCCCGGGCGAGACACCAGTTCCACGGCCAATTCAACCACCGATACCCCTGATAAATGCACAGCAGAAACAAACGGCAATATGTCAGTTAAACGGAAGAATAAAAACAATCCTGAGGTATTTTCCACTGCGCCTTCATCCCCCGTTTTTGATTTTGACACATGTTCGTCATCCGATGCTTGCGACGGTGGCTACGGTTCTGATACCTATGCACTCTCCGAATTTGATAAGTTTGACGGATCTGATTTTGATTTTGCTGTGGAAGCTTTGACTGATATTGATGGTGAGAATCCAGACTCCCCCTAAGAAGCGCAAGCAGCTAAAACTTGGAGATTATGGAATTGGTACCAGCGCATCCCCGAAAGTATCTGCGCCGGTTATGACATCTCCTCGAATTGATACGTTGCAGTCCAAAATAAACGATGGGATGATTGTGAAGAAAAGTCCTAGCCGCACCATGCACCCTGGACTGTCGAATTCGAAAAGCCTTTCCTTAAACGATTCTTCCAGCCCAGGTCGAAGCTTTTCCTCAACGACTGTATCCACTGTGCCAAATTCTCGTGTTACCACGCCCTTGACCTCCTTTGCAAGTACCACGTTTAGGTCGCCAATCTACCCGGTGATGCGTATCTCTCCTACTCTCACGCCATTAGATGAAGGAAAGCTCATTCCGATGCTTTCGGATCTGGTGACAAACGGCCCTTTCTCCAAACGGCTTGCATGGTTTAAAGATGTTCCTCTCAGGCTTCGTTATGAAGTCGAACGCTTGGCACGGGCGTGCGATATCACGCCTGAGACCATACTCTCGGAAGATGTGCTTACCGAAGACCAATCTTATGATGATCTTTGCCATAATTTGTATCGTGGGCCATACAAGAACAAGTTTGAAAGGTCAAAATTGACTGTGTGGAGAGTAGCAACCGAAACCTACATGGATGCCGAAAAACAGACTATGGTAGTTTTCAGTGGCCAGCTTGAGTGGAAGGGTGAGAGATTGGTCCTAGTTCTGAACCCGCTGAAGCTTGAAAAGAGCCACAGATTTGCTCGAAGATACGGTGCTGACAGGTTTCTGGAGATTCTACTTCCTTCGAAGCATCCAACTAAATGTGGACGTGATGCAGAAATCTTTGGGAAAGCCCTAGGAAAATGGCTTTCGAATGAGTATCACTACCTTCTTGGCCGTAGATGGCGTGCATTCTATCTGGAGGACCTTAAATCTAAGTCGAAGACGACTTCCTTCAGTGGCTCTGGACGTAAAGCGTTCCTATTTGCGGTTGATGGCGAGGATTTCCTTGGTACCCTTCCGAGGATTTCGCCAATGGATGAGACTTCGGAGAACCACACCCCTATGACGGTTGAGCAGCTGGTTGACTGGCACATTCACTATGACAGGAACACCCATCAGGAATACTCCAAACTCTTCACTAGAATCCGCCTAGGACTCTCGAGGACCACGGCGACCATTACTCTTCGGCCGGAGGAATTCATTTACGATGATGATCCGAGGCAAGAAAAAATGAGTGACGGATGTGCCATGATGTCCCGCTCGTTAGGAAGAGCAATTGCGGATTCCCTATGTCTATCCAAGGTTCCAACCTGTTTCCAAGGTAGAATTGCCGGAGCTAAGGGAATATGGGTTGTTGCCAAAGATAATCGGGACATCCATGTGAAGGGACTTCGGCATTTTGAAACTGAGAGAGGATATTGGCTGGTCATAAATGCGTCCCAACTGAAAGTGCAGCCTCCCCCTTGTGATACTAGTTTGATGATTGATAAGCACCAGTTGACCTTTGATGTCTCGTCATACTCCCAGCCTCCCCAACCAGTGCATTTGAACACCCAGTTTTTGATGGTACTGCAAGACAGAGGTACCAACAAGGAGTACATACTCTCTCTCATCCTGGAGGAAGCAGATAAATTTTACAGCGAATTCTTACTTGTCCAAAACGGAGATTCTGCAGCCTGTCGAGCCTGGGTCAGGCAAAATGGAGGAGATGCATCCTCTCAAATCCCGGCTTTGAATGAGAGTACTTTCTCCCATAGCCTCACCGGACGACTCAACATGCTCCTTGATGCCGGGTTTTCACCCTCGACCCTTGCATTCGTACGAAGACTATTTAAAGAGTATTCCCTGGGTGGCTTTGTCCAAAAGCTTGAAGCCCTCAAAATAAAAACCCCGCAGTCGACCTACGTATATTGTATACCTGATCCCTATGGTGTGCTTGAAGAAGGCCAGGTTCATCTTGATCTTGGAGATAGCTGGGAAGACGGTACCACAGACCTGGATGGTATCGATGTGCTGGTTGCTCGAGCTCCTGCTCATTTGCCTAGTGATATACAGAAGTGCCGAGCTGTATTTCATCCTGCACTAAGATACCTGAAGAACGTGGCTATCTTCCCCACCAAAGGCGAGGTTCCTCTTGCTTCCCTACTTTCCGGCGGTGATTATGATGGTGATGAAGTTTGGGTTTGCTGGGACCAGGAAATTGTTAAACCCTTCGTTAACTATCCGATGCCAGATATCCCGGAACCTGAGGAATACGGCCTTGTGAAGGTGTCTCGACGAGTCGGGGACATGCCATTCGACCGTTTCATGGAATACTCATTCATTTTCAATATGTCGCAAAACCCTCTTGGCTTGTGCACCAACGAGCATGAGAGGTATTGCTACCATCGGGGCGGCATTGGTTCCCCTCTTGCAATACATTTCTCAGGCTTGCTTAGCCACCTTGCAGATATACGAAAGTCCGGGTACGAGTATCCGGCGGAAAACAGGCAAAAATACCGTGAAAGCTTGGGCCCACTAACCCTGCGAAATCCAGCTTATAAAACCGACAAGACACCTGAGCAGGACGGAGATCTTATTACGTGGAAGTCGGACAATATCCTTGACTGCTTGAGGTTCGAAGTTGTTGAAATGGTTAAAGAGAGGATCTACTCTCGCCTAAACGATGACTGCCCTTCGATTAATATTCCCAGGGTTGATGAAGATCTCATAGCAACCTGGAAGAGAATTTGGGACCGCGCAATTCAAGAAAGGAACTCTGGGTGTTCCAAATTATTGGAAGCTATCAAAAAGCTCCGAGAACAGGTTGAGGCGGCCTCTGAGAGCTATCGCAGAGTAACTGATAAGCTGTCCCATGCAGCTAAAGTTACCTTTGCCGCTGAGTCCTTGATGGCCATCAAGCCCCCTGATATCGACCATCCTGTTGCTATTGTCTGGAAGGAATCCGATTATGAATGGAAGAACCTGCTGGCTTCATGTGCGTACCAGTGCTCGCCGGATTCCTGGTTTACATGGCACGCCGCATTCAAGGTCCTTTGCCACATGAAAGCTAGAGCGAACGGCAACTGGTACAGTGTCAAAGCGCCTATCTATCATCGATTGACAATGAACAAGTCAATGATGAAGAAAATCGAGATAGAACGCCGTAAGGCAGAGACGGAGGAAGAGCTGTTACTCCTGAGATCTCTCGAGGAACAAGAAATCCTCGATAATGATAGCGATGATGACTGGTATTCCGTTGTATGATCTTGGATTTTGGATACCCGATTTTATGTTTTGCATTTTTCTCTTCCCCCCCCCCCCCCCCCCCCCCTTCCTTCTTTATCTTGGCTTTTAGAGCGAGACACCGTTATGCATTTTCTTTTCTACGAGCGAACTGCGAACGCAACATACACTTTAGCAAGCGAGTCTCTGGTGATTATGTTGATTTTTGATAAGACCCGGATAGCGGTGTTGGAGTACCAAGTACTTTGAGTACTGTTTTGGCTCTTCATGTGAAACCCCACCAGTCCCCGCTCCAAACGCAACAGGTTGGCCGTGATGAGCCAAACCTTGAATTTTTTTTTTTTTTTTGGTTTGTTGGTTTTCGACTGTTTACCTTGTTTCCTCAAGGTTACAGAGTTCCTTGAGTTGTACCATGTACGATTATTCATACCAGATGGTTATCTGAGGCAAAGGTGTTGCTGGGTTTATCCATGCTTGCTGTTTGACGAGACGGCATGTTCGGTTCTGATCAAAATAGATACCCTACGGACCACTGCATCATATGTTAGATTAAGTTTTTCTAGAATCCGATGCACTGTTCTGACATACTCCATCTCTAGACATGGGTTAGCATTGTCCATCTGTTTGTATATGTACTTGTACATCGGCCTGCTTCCCCCTGCTCTGTCCCAGCCCAGCAAACCGTCTTCTCCCCGTTCGGTTTTACGTAAATGACAAACCACGTGCTCTGCATGAGCTGGTCTCGTCTTAATACGAGGATATGTGACGGATCAGTTCTGGCATCTGGCTTCGGCAGAGGACGCCTTTGGCAGACGCCCATGACATGATCAAAGCAAGCAAAACATGGCGAGATGCCTGGCGTCGTTCCACCCTCCCTTATCGCCGCCGTCGCCGTCGCCATCCGCCGGCGCTTCCCCTTCGGCCGCTGGCTTATCGCCTTATCGTTATCTGATTAGATAAACATCAAATCAAAAGTCTTGGCAAGCCGTGACTTTGTACCTTCCAGATAAGGAAATAGGGCGCTTCTCCTTCCAGCCAATAGTATCACAGGCAGCTATGACTAATCCAAAATCACATGCTGCAGCCCCCAAACAGTCACATGTCACGAGCTTCGCGCATATTTCTCTTTTTCCCTTTTTTTGGCTGTTTTTTGCGTCGTTTCAAGGCGACGAAAGCGCGAGATCCGCTGTCTGTCCAGCCAGTGAAGGCTCTCTCTCGGGCGCTGCTGGCCTCTGGGGTCCGTCCCGCTTGCTGAATTGCTGGCCGTGGACGTGTTGATTGGCATCTGTGGTATAACTAAGTACTTGGGCGATGATGATGATGGGCTAGTTTTAGCTCACTCAACGTAACTAAACTACTGGCTAGGTTGTGGATACCCGCCTCGAGGCTGAGCTTCTTTTTTCTTCTCTTTTATCACACGCAGGTTCCCAACCCTTAAAACTCCCCCAGCAATCTAGAACGAGTGTGACATCTCCTCCGTCTCCCATCGTCTTCTACATCTACTCGCCCGTTGTCGTGGGAAACCAGAGCAATAATACACCGTCAAGCCATCGCCGTCCCGAGTCCAGTGTTAATATAACTAGATCTCCCGTCGCCAAGACAAATCTACCTGTCGTCTTCACGTGCAATCCGCAAACGGCAGAGCGACGACGAGCAGTTGAACAGGCGGTCATCGAGCGCGGCTAGGACATGAGATAGCTGCTTCGTTCACCTCTTCGTCTTTGCGGCAACATGACAATGATCCAGGCCTTCCCACCCAGTAATGGAGGAGGCCAGGCGCTGTCAGCAGCTCGAGTCGCAGAATACCC